AAGATATCACCCAGGATTTCTACGACTGTTGGTATACCTTGAGCTTTACGACAACCCTTCCTTTGAAGCCTTTTCGAGGGCAGTGCTGATGCTAAACGTTGCAACCTTGCTTCTCATTCTAGCTAAAGCATGATTTCTTACACACCGCGGGATATGCTGTTTATGCCTGTGCCTCCGCGGGATTCCGATGCATGCTTCAAAGCCGGCAATGGTGAACTAAACGTATACAAGGTACCTCGTACAAGCACTCTACGCAGGGCATATGCCTACCTATGTTATTGCATGTATGGCACATATTAGGTAGACAGCATACCCCCCTTTCTAGGGATCCCCGTTCATTGGCAGGAACGTAATACTAGCTTGCGGTCGTCAACTTGAATGCGTGCCTGTCCCTTGCCTTGCGGACGGTAACAAGAGCCTGCCCGAGCCGCCTTTCACAGGGTGGATTGCATATGAGCCTAGTGGCAATGACCCAGGTACATCGTATTATATACGAGCAGCTCCTCAGCTCGGCAGGCTGCTATAACTAATAGGGGAAACGTCACATCCTTACAATATGCTCGATGTCGACGTCAACGCAATCTTACACGGCTCGGATGCCGGCTGTGGGAACCACGTAGCTCAAATCGGCCACCAGGAGACAAATCTCTTTGCTATTTTCCATATCTTGGAAGCAAGAGTACTTTTGCTTCGCAAACTACCGAGAGTTACAGGGGATCGTACTGCATGGTGTTGAGAAGTGGATGGAACAGGCACAAAGGGCTCAGAATTTTGCTCGCCATCGACCCAACAGCAAACGAATCTTGGAGGCGGAGTCAAACTATGTATCCACAAAGTTCTGGCAGCCGGCAATGTGCTAACTCTTAGGTACCGAGGCAAGCTCCAAATGGAATAGCTTGCGGTGTTCGATTTGATATACTAAGTACCTATTATCTGACCAGGATCAAATCCCCCAAGCCAGTTTGTTTTGGACAATGACTCGAACTTTTTTCTTTTTCAGCAATCCTTCTCAGGACCAACAGCTTACCTACTACTAGTAAGTACAGTACGAGCTACAGAGAGTTGCCTAAATTAGTAGTATTCACTTACTCCGTGCAGAGTGCGGAGCAATACGGAACCAGGCACAGCCATGTACTGATGACATGTCGTGCCGGTAGTTGTGCGTACCTGAGACAGAAGAAACCTGGAGCCGTGCCGTACCATATCAAAGGAAAATAAGCTCTCCAAGGCCTCTCGTCCCGATCCCCTCGGAAAGCAAGGCGCCCAAACGCCAAGCTCGCTAGGCCGTCCTTTAAAGATGCCCTTTGTCGCAGAAGCATGACGTTTTGAAGTTATGGAGCTTGCTCTGTGCGTTCACGATCCTGGCTAGACATCACACCAGTCATACCAGAGATCCTAGTGAATGGAAAGCATTAGCCTCCAGCCGTCGATCAAGCTCAGACAGCTGAAGTGCCTCTAGCATCTCCTTACGTACCGACAGAGAACAGCGACTACGCTATCTACGCACTTATGGCCGCGGAATTTCGTGGCTTCTAGACGGGTTTCCCCTTTGGTCAACACTTGCATACAAGTAGCTGCGCCCGAATATCCACCGTCAGAGATAGTGCTACTGTACTGTATTCCTACCATTCAGCCATTATACTGTCACAAGAACGTACCGAGCGAACCGCCCAGCTGGTGTCTCCATAACTCCGGAATTCGGGGAAATCACAAGCTAATCCTATGAGCGGATCTGGGTAATACTGTACACAAACAACTACGGATACTAGCTCCCTGAATCATGCGAGAATGTAGCGGAACACGCATCCGGCTCAGCTTCCAGCTGACGCAAGGGGAGATTCGGAGAGATAAGAGACAAAAGACACCCACATATTTGTGAGCGGCAGAACAAAGGTGCAACAAAACAGTGTGTAATGGGAATTACAGGCTGCGCTTGGCTTGCAACCATGCCAAAAGAGCTGCTACCCCAGTCCGGAACAGGCGTTTCTTTCGGCACTTTCTAGTTCAAGTGCCGTTCTATTACAAGTTCGGGATGGTGGGAGTTATGCCTGGGTTAGCCGACAGAATGATGTGCCGCAATGCTTTCTACAAAAAGCAAAGCCTCTCAGTCAGAGGCGCTCTCTACTCCGTACAGGGGAACATGGCTGTTGTTGGCCTTGCTTCCAAACCGCCAAGCCGAGATCATACGTTTTACAAGTACAGAAGCGCCCGGGCTTCCTCTCGCAAGGGGTAATCGGTGCTAGGCTTGCGCCTCTTTTCTCGTCCCAAGTTCTAGAGCCAGCTTGGAGTCAGCACTTCCAAAGGCCCCGACTCATAACAACGCCGCGGACCCCCATTCAGTACGAGGACGGAATACAAACCGCACTTGCAAGCCTCTTGAACTTGGCATGGCCTCTTCCCCCCCTAGCACGCGCCGTCTTACTTGTACTAGCAGAGCTTCTTTTTCTTCCAGGCTCTGTTCTCTGGCTCTCTCTCACCCCCACAGCCTGGCTGCCAGGGCTTATCCGGAAAAAGCAAAATAATGCGCGCCCATGCTGCTCCCCCAAAGGTCTGTCTGATAGCTACTGTACCATGATCCCTGGAGTCCCACGTGCATGACACCAGGTTCACGTAAACAGCCGGAATTTGAGATGATGGCGCCAGGAGAATCCCTCGTGGCATCCCGGCCACGCTGCAGAACGCGCCTGTTTGCGGGAAGAAGCCAGAGGCAGCTTCTAGCAGCGAAGCGGCGGCCCGCGGCATCCATTAAAGATTGATGGGCGGCATCATTTAGCCTCTGTGGTCACACCGTCGCCGGGCCTATTCCCTATTCCTACAGAAGGGTTGCTCGCTGCTACTATACGACTCGCCCTCCGTGGTTCGCCGGTACGCAGTTCATCTGCCGAGCACCCTGCAGATCTTGCGCAGGAGAAGCTTTTGGTTGCCAGGGCTGGGTTGCGACGGCGGGCTCTCCCCGGTTGAGATTGAAGCCAAGGCGTTCTTTGTCAAGCTTGTATAATACAAATACCAAATACCGGCTTGTACATGCCTGCGATACGAGCAGCATGGCGCTGCTTACGCTCAACTAAACTCACAGCTACTTAATAATAGGGAAGACAAGGTGAGGGGAAAATACCGCGCGTTCGTAACCGGCTTTCTATCTAACGACAGCAGGCGTTGTGCTAGATGGCACAAATACTTCAGCTGCCCGATCGAAGCCCACTTATCCGCCAACCATTGCTGCTCAGTGTCATTTCTCTTCGGCGATGTTATCGTAAAGGAAAAGTTGGAGTTCGGCGTCCTGGCGGCGCTTCTTCCCTGGGGCGTGGCGCTTTCCAGTTAGCGGGCGAAGGCTTTTTCTTTCGGTGTCCAGAACGAAGCAGGCTCTTTTTGGGGATGGCCCACTTGGGAATGCCCCGGAAAAGTCTTGGGGGAACGGGGGACTAACACTGGGCTTAGAAGTGCCGCCGAGTCGCACAACTACGTGGCGATAGGGACAACAGCCCCCCCCCCTTTGAGCGAGCGAGATGAGCGAGATGAGGCAGACCCAGGGCCTCCCCCCCTTTCGAGGCAAGCACAAGTACTACAGGTATGCTATCACAACAGACGGAGTAACTTGAACCACGGCTGCGGAGACGGGGAGATGGTGCCACACTTTCGCAGAATTGGGGAGTCGCTCCGAAAAGGCTTTGCAATGACGGGCAGTGGTGTGGCCTGTGATCGTGGCCCACGGCCCGCCGCGGCTGAATGGGGGTGGTAACCAGATCCTGACAGGCCACCCCCCGTAGCGCGCGTTTTGCTTCTGGGGAGGAGGCTTGGGAGAGCCGGAGACAGAGAGGAAGCCGAAGCGTGGCGTCGCATTGGTTTGAAGAGAGGCGCCGATGCAACCTCATGACATGGCAGAGCAGGGATTGCTGGGAATGCCAATCTCATCTTTGATAACCCGTGTATCTGGAAGAGGCTCATCGGTCGTGGTACCTTGCGACATAATCATTGGGATATTACTTGTACAAGTACTGTAGCTGTCTGTTGCGCAGTCTCGGCACGCGAGGTTTCTAGTTTCCATCGCAAACACCGCTCGCTTGGCTGGTGGAATGAGATTAGCCACGGAGCTGTCCTCTCGTTTTGTCATTCTCGCTTTCAGTCCCTCCGTCTCTTCATTTCCTCTCCGGATTTGATTTCTCTCTGGCAGCTGGGCCTCTTAACCCCCCTATTTCCCCGTCATGCTAAATCCCTATCCACCCATTACGTCCCTTGAATGGGTACCATTCGGTTCTCGGGCTTTTGGCCTTGCTCCGCCAAAAGGACGAATTTAGAGATGGGCTGTGATGATGACTGCCCAAAACGGTTACAACTCACCTGCCTTCTCTCTTTTTTACCACGCCTAGCCATAGCTATACTTGCACGTTTTTAGTGTTTCTGGCAAATCTTTTTAGTACCGGCATGGTTTACGGGGAGGTGTGTGGCAGCATGGAGCTCTTCTTTCGTATACCCTTGCTGCCACACCGATATTACTCGTCATATGCAGGCTTCACCAGCAGCGACGAATCGACGCCGGTGGAAATGCTCTAGGCTTCTTCCCAAACGCTACGGAGCAGACTACAGGGAGAGCTCATGCTCGTGCGTCTACTAGCAGCCATGCATTTCCCTTTTCGCTTTCACCTACATGGGGGCTTAGGGACCTAGAAAACCCATAGCTTCGTCCATGGAGGGGCAGCCTGGCAGCATGAGGGACACCCATGCCGTTCCAAGCCTGGCCAGGCATGCAAAGAAGCAAGAATGCGGCAGTGATCTCACTCAGACTCGGGTTGCATCACCGAATATCCTGCTACGGGCTGTGGGGTTGACCAGTGCCGTGTTACTGGATTCGGGAACTTACGCATAACTGGTGCTGCTGCGTACATGTAAGAGATGAGAAATCCCTGGGGTATTGGCTTACTATACTAGTATACTCTTTTATGACCCCTTTGTTCCCCTTCCCCCCCTTCGTTCCCTTCTACCGGCGTTTAAAGCTCAGCAGTTTTTTTTTTTTTTTTGAAATTCTTTTCGCGCTCAAAGGCTGACCGACGCGTCAAGGGCGGCGATGAAGTTGGCCGAAACTCGTGCGGCGAGATGATGCTATTCTGTAATACGTGATTGGGTTAGTAGCACTGACGCAGACACTCACATTTGGTCGTCACCACCCAAATCTGAAATGGCACTAGTCAGATGCTTTCGGCCGAGAGAGGCGGGAAAAAGTCTGAAGAATACGAAACAAGACAACGATTGCTTTTGTCGGCTGATTCCTACTTGCCGAGAGTATGCCCGTGGAGGAGGCATAATAATATGGTTTCTTCCAGAAAGATGCCGGAATCCCCCCCCTCCTGGGAGCCTTGTAACTGTTTCAGGTGATCTACCTGAACGCCGTACTTGTTTTTTTGAACTGTTGGTTTCGATGCTCTCTGCCTAGTTATGGCAATAATGAGTTCTTACAGGGATGAATACGCAAGCCCTGTGGGAATGCATCGTCCCAAGCCCGAATAACATATACTGTGACCGGGTATTTTGGCTCGGCAGTGTGCTCATGGTCGTTATCTGCTTTTGTTAGTGGTTCGACCTGTACCGCCACTGGCAGAAGGCTTACTGTATGTGTGTCATGTACTGTATGAGTAGAATTTTTTTTTTGTTATTATTACTTTAACCCTTACCTGCTTTGTGCTATTGGTGCCTGTACATACACATACAGGAATACGACCGACGGCTGATGGCATGTATTCCCTGCTAGGGGGGCTGGGGTTTTTCTTTTGTGTAATTCCCAAACTGCTCGTCCAACTGCAGAGGATTGAGTGACCATCAGCCGACGGTTTGGAATTGCACTACATGGGAATAGCGTCAGTTTCCTGAATTGGATGCTTTTCCGGAGGTAGTTTGTCTCTTTTTTGTCTGTTGCAAGAGTTACCCTGGATTTTTGACATATTGTTTTTTCCCCCTCTGATGAGGCTGATTTATGCTTTAGCAGTATCTTTCTTCGGAGAAATGGGATGTCTTGAACGTAGTAGTATCCTAATTTGGATTATTGATTCTTTCTGGTGAGATCAGAGGGGCAAAGAGGCAACGATGGAATTGCTCGGTCAAGCAGATGCTCACATGCTAGACGGGGAATTAGTTTGCGCTATAGCAGCTATCAAAGGGTCCTTGCAAGAGCTACAAGCATATGACTTGTTTTAATTTGAATGTGAAGGGAAAAAAGCGTTATTGATCTTGATCCCTGTTAGTTGTAATTGGGCGTATTATGACTTATGCGGGCGAGTCACATTTCTTTGATAACATGTGCAATGTGTAACGAATTGTTGTGGACCAATGTCCGATGGTTGAATACATACCCTCTTCATGTTGATATGAGATGATATATTTTGAATTACGTGTCTGTATCTATAGCTCTTGGCCTTTGGTCTCCGTCAGACTGTATGTAACGGTCCAAATATCCGCGAGAATCCTTCTTCAGAAATTGTATGTTGGGGGACATACACGCATACTCTCATCATCTCATGATCAGAACGAGGCTGGCGGCATCCTCAAGGCAAGAGAAAAGTCCGATATTAAAATCCCATGCAGAGCATCCTTCAGTAGAGTCACAGACTGAAATAGGAGGTGGTTAGTGGTCAACACGTGGTCTCTGCAGGATCCATTCGGCAACTTTACATTGTTCTGAAATCGTGTGAATGTATGCCTATATTATCGGCAATGGATGTTTTTGGAGATGTGTTTCAAAGGAAGCGGAGGTGTGGTGATCCTGCAGTGGGAGCTTCGCGTGTCCTTTTTTACCTTTACTGATCGGTAAAAATGATGAATTGGATGGCAGTGTGCTGGATTTGTATCCTGAAATGACAACTCGATGGGTATGTAATGACTTGTCATGCCTTTTGTTTTCCTTGGAGGCAATATTGTACACGTAATCTTGCGGCCATTGCGGCCATTAGAAAGTGACGTTTGTGATTTGTAAGACCCAAGATTCATGTGATGTGTTGTCTTTCACCTTGAAGGAGTCATCATCAAAGAGTGTGGGATTTACGTCTCCCTTTCTGTGGTTAAACTTTTGTTACTCACATCTCCATAGGCCGTCTGTTTATCACCTATCCATGACCCCCCCTTCCAACTGTCCAGTAGATCCACGACGGAGAGCGTTTCATGGCTCAAGAACTTTGCGAAGGATGTTTTGACTTTTTTCCACTCTTTTACGGCATGTGTGGCTGAGCTTGGCGAACATTGGCACTCGCATGGAAGGGAATGTTAGGATAAAGTAAAGATGTGAATACGAGTACGGCTGCCATTCTTTCTCGAATTTACTTGCAGTGGGATTGGAAAAGTGTTGAAATACGCTACCTCTAAGCTGCAATACTAAAGAATACGGCTCTCGGAAGGTATAGCTTGAATTATAGAAGAGTGTTTGGAGAAATACAAGCTGTTAGCATGTTAGTGAAACCGGGTATCCGACAATACCCCATTTTCTTTTGCGATTACTCCCTTTTTTTTGTGTCCTGATTGTTGCTCTACAGATATACCGCAAAGCTGAAAGAGCAGATACAGCTTCTCGTCCAATTATTATCGACTTGGGGGCCAAGCACGGCGATGGATATGCCACGTTTTGCCATTGCCTCGTGCGGCTGAAGTCGCAGGGGCTGGCGCTGCTTGTTTCATACATGCGGTACAACCGAATCACAGCTTTGGGTAATTCATGTTTTTTCGGCCATTGGGTTATTTCTCCCTGCAGAGATGGGGATTCTACGGTGATGGGCAGTTTTGATGATGTTTGCGTGCTTGGCGGCGATGGCCTAGGGACTTGTACAGTAGTAGCAGTCATCCACGTCACATATACCAGTGTATAGCAACGTTCCATCAGAGCATTTGTCATACAAAGAAACACCTGTTGGCAGCGTCGGTGAGAGACAAGCCTCGGCTCTTGGATGAAGCTCATTTGAAGCTATTGTATGTCGCGTGCGTTATGCCGAGTTCCAGGCAGATGGATGATGATTCTGCATGCTCGAATCGCATGTTTTTCGGTACATGATCAACACAGTCTGCATGTTGCCTCGTATACGGACGGATGCAGCTTATGCGACGGATGCGCTTCGGTGTAGCAGCGCTGGTCCCCTTGGCCCGAACGAGATGCGATTGGGCTTTGCATCTCCACGAGGCTCGCAGAAACAGGAAAACGGGCATGTGGTGAGCGTAGCCATCTACATGGGAATTCAGCAAATTAAAACGCCAGAATTAAATAAAATAATACATCTATACGAATAAACGAAGGGGGGGGGGGGGGGAAGCCACAGAAGCGCGGAATGCTTGCCGCGCGCGCAATGTAACGTCATTAACGCAGCCTTTGTTTTTCAGCTCCTCCTGTCCATTATCGTGATTTGTATGTGCTGTACTGTTCGTATAAACACAAAACACAGTAGCAAAAAACACGCCCCCTCCTCTTCCCGAGAACAAGCACAGCGACAGAGGCCTGGATCTTTTGTCGGGGCTTGGGTTGTGCCTTGGTTGCATGCCAAAAACTCATGTCGGCGCAATCCTTCAGGCCCTCATTGGCTGCGTGGTGTGGCACGTTTTGTTCTGTCTTGTGCTTGTTCCCTGCTTAGCCCTACTGCTATTAGTCTACGCGTAGATGGTGCAAACAACAGCCTATACGTGTAGACGGTGTGCGACGACAGGCCCCAAACTAGACACGACACGGAACGTCCCAGCCCGCCTCATGATCTTGCGATGGGGCCAGATTGTGTAGAGGGTGGCGATTCCAACGAGCCCATCCTTGTCCGGGCGTCTAAGTGGGCGGAGCGATGTGCTCTTTTTTTTTTTTTTTTTTTCTTTCCCTCTCTCGCTAATTTTTGTATTATTCTTGGCGCCAAAGGATTTGCTTGATTTATTCCATGCCTTTCTGTAGGTACATACATGGATTTTGCTCAACCTCTTAATTAGGCTGCTACAGCGGCGTTGACACATCACAACGGGCCTGGGTCTGGTTGCTGATTCGCCGCTTGGACGTCGCGTGATGCTGATGCTTCGCTAAATATACTCTTGGAGCCTTTCTACAGTGCTCTTAGTCTCCCCAATAAGTCAACAGAAGCAGCTGAAAGAAGATGTCCAGGCCGGTGCCAGCGCGCAGCTGATGGAGGCCCGAATATACTAGCAGTAGCTAGTAGCAGAAGAAATGGCGAGATTTCGTGCATCGAGCGAGTGCCGGCTCGTGATGGATGGCCAGCAGCCGGCATAAAGATGCTACTTATGCATCTCGATGGATCCCCTCTGTCGGTTTTATTTTGGGGGGGGCGTCTGTTCACATGGTGGATGGATTCTCTGGGCGGCTAAAAATAAAAAAAAAGGCAATCAATATGCGCAATAGGTAGCTGGCCAAGGACGTGTCTTGTGACGCTGGTGACGAGTTGTTTGCTTTTTTGGTGTTTTATGTGTACTCCGAGGGTCTGGATAGCCTTGGCCTGGGGTCCTTTTCCTTGTACGCCGCTATCAAGGTGAAGAGATTCGCCGACGATGGATCGTCGTATCATGTGCCGGGCTTCACCTGGATCGCCGATCAAGGACAGGAGTTTGAGAGAGCTTTCACGTGGATGCCCAGGATATTGAACTCTACTAGATTAATTTGATCTATGAGATGCGACGACATCAAAAGGATTGATTACTTCGAGAGATCAAACGCGCCTGCCAAAATGCAACACTTGATGGATCGAATGAATCTTTTAGAGGTGTTTGGTGATCTGAAGTTGACCGGATTCCCCAGCCTAGATGTAGTTTGTCTTTCAGAGCTGACCGATATCCGAAAGGGAAAGGTCTGAATCTAGAAGAGCCCTCGTGAGACAACACAGAGATCAAGTTTGAGAAAGGGAAAGTCTTTTCTGGAAGCTGTCGTTAGGTTACCGGGTTGCTTTTTCGTTGTAGTTCTGTTTGTGTGTAATCACTTGGCGATATAACTCATTGCAGTTCTGACAAGAGGTTACAGTATCGAAAAATACCCGGAGATTTCTCAAGTGAGACATTCATGATGCGCTCTGTGCACTTTCCAGCGCAGCTTGATCGACACTTGACTAGGCCAAGGCCTTGGTCTATATCTTTTCAATAGATTAAAAGTCCATGGGTTGTCCAGCATCTCGCTAATGATAAGAGAATGTGAGTATACCACGCTCGACCATGGTAGTGTCTCTGTGATGGATACGTTTATCAACATCTTGGGTGTGATACTGATGCTCTGGTCTCATTTCTTGCGCACAGTGGTCATAAGCTTACTGCTTTACCTTTAAACTGCCTACGAGAAGCCCATAGCCTGAACTGGAATATGGACAAGAACATTTCTAGTGTTTTTCGTCGTTGAGATTTTGTCTCGAGTGGCGGCTGAGATGAGACTTTGAAGGGTCTCAGACAAGTCTTCTGGATCAACTGGAGAATCTGAATCAAAGCAGCATTTGCTTGATTGTTCATAGATCAACCTCTGATGGAGATTCTACAAACGATACCGTACTGTTACCACGCAGTTCACCCTCAAAAGGCCAATGGAGTCTCCCACGAGTTCCATCTCCTTCCATCTGGCCTCGTCGTGCTCAATTGCAAGCAATTCGCCGATATCGACGCCAAGAGCATCAAGGATGCCCATCTGCGCATCTTTGTCAGTGATTGGCATCTCAATTTGAATCTCCATGCAGTTGTCGATGATCTCGGGGAAGTAGAACTCAGCGCTAATACTGTCGGTATTACGAAGAGGAGTGTTGGTTGAAGTTGCCTATGCTATCAAAGTTGTTTGTAGCGGTATTTGTACTGTTGAGATGGTTGATGAAGAGTTGTTGGAGCGCAAATTGCAGCCATTGGATTCTGAATACGAGAAGCGCTGCAATGAATTACTGCAATGCATGGTGGAGGAAGAGCTCAAGGAATACCGAGTCTCTTGTATCCTTGTTTGTCAATGCTGTTGAAGTTATGAGGGATGCGCAAGGGATTCAGGCCAATATCCTTGTTGAAGGAAGCCAAGCTGATGCTGGGCATTGATTCTGGCACATAATTACATGTTACCAGCTGGCCTGAGTGGCATCGTCACATGCCTTGCTGTTTGTCCAAGGAACATCTAGAAAGTCATTGGTGTTCATCAAGACGTGAGTTTTTCACTCTTTACCTATTATCTGATTCATAATTGATAAGTCAATGAGCAATCAAACCAACTCAAAGCAGCTCCACCAGGGTTGGCTCTGGATGTTTCCCTTCCACTGTTAATCTGTGCGAATGGTCTGCCCTGCCCAAGGAGGCCCGCGACCATGTTGAGTCTATCGAAAACTTGTTCAGACACTGGTGCTGATCACTTGGACATGATCTGGCGCTTTTGAACTGAGTACTGGTTGAGAAACACGCCACGTATATTGTTAGACCCCCCTTGCTATTCGTTTTTCCGCGCTCATCGGGAGAGATTCATGTTTGGGGTTTTTGTCACAGCTATAAAATCGCGATAGATGGAGCTGATTTGACAACTGAATCAGTCAACATTATGGAATCCCATCTGGTCAGCTGCGGAAGCGCCGTCGCATGTCAGGACGTGGCATAGAAATAGGAAAAGGGTAAAAGGAGGGAGAAGAAGGAAAAAGAGGCTAGTAAAGATGTATAGTGCAAAGATATGAATACAGTGGTGATTGGTGATTGATCCAAACCCAAGGTCTCGAACCAATTGGCACGTGCAGCTGTAATGCGCAAGCTCTCCCGCTGTAAGACCGGACAAGTCCGTCTGATGCTCTTCGTATCCATTCTGGACAGCCAGAAGCCCACCAGCTGTGGATTGAAGATGTGGGGGGGGCCCTGCCAAGGGCAAGGCTGCGCAGGGGCGGCGCAAGGCTGGCCAATCAGAGGCCGCCGCCGCTAATGAATGCCGGTAGAGCGGTACATGTGCCGCCCAGCTTGGCACACGCTAAGCGCCCAGCAGCGCCCAGGTACCGCTCTAACGCCGATCAGATCCGGTCTAATCTGGGCCTCATCCCCTGCCGCCGTCCCCCGAATCCATCTTGCCAGCAATCTTAAACATCGTCAGCCCGCTTGCGTCTCTTCGTTCTTTTTACCGCTTCTGCACTCATTCCTCGGTTGGCTCTCTGTGCCTCATTCTTTGCTTCTGGCCTGCGATTTTTGGTGCATCTCCAATGACCGTTTCAATTGCTTAATCTGTCCTTTTCTACAAATTATCCGAGGCACGGCCGTCTCTCCTGTACTGAGGCTAAAGACTGGTTCTTGCTCCTCATTTCTTGGATATCCAACGGCTCCGAATACAATACAGCTTTATTATATATATACCTACAACCTCGTCGAGACTAATTCGCTTCGAAACTCCAATATCCGCAACAATGGGCTGGCTTGCGACATGCACGGGCTACCTGGCGCCCTTGTTCATTATCCTCTCGCCCGTCCTCTCCTACGGCGACCAGGCCATCTCGATGCACCGCAACAAGACCAGCGCGGGGTTCTCTCTCGACATCCCCCTGATCATGCTGGTCGCATCTCTGTTCAGGTGCGTTGCTTTCTGTGCTTCGCGCTCTGTCGTAGTGCCGGCTGGGCCCTTTTGGCCGTCCGGCGGATCCGGCGCATTCTGCTAACATGCACGTGCTGGACAATAGGATCTTCTACTGGCCCGGCGCACGATTCGACCAGAGCCTGCTGATACAGTCCCTGATCATGGTGGGGATGCAAGTGGCGCTTCTCAAGATTGCGCTCGATCACCGACCGGCCCCTTCGAACAAAGGCGGAGAGGCCGGGCTGCCATTCGCTGCTGCCGAAGGTCTCTTTTCGCAGCGGCCGTATAATTTCTGGCAATGGAGGTCGCCGAAGCCGTTGAGTCTCACCAGTTGAAGTGTCATTGACGGTGGTAGCTAGCGAGCAAGGAGGAGGCTAACAGTATGATTATAGATACTGGCAATTCGTTGTCTACCTCTTCGCGGGCCTGTTGGTTTGCGAAGTTGTCATGTCGAGCATTCCTCCCGTCTATGCCACGTACTCGGTCCTCGTCGGCTACATTGGCCTCTCCGTCGAAGCCACGCTCCCGATCCCGCAGATCCTCGCCAATGCGCAATCCAAGTCTTGCAAGGGCTTCCGTCTGTCCGTGCTCGCCAGCTGGATCGGAGGCGACGCCATGAAGATCTTTTGGTTCTTCACCGCCACGTCCGAGATCCCCTTGGCCTTTAAGATCTGCGGCATCTTCCAGGCTTGCTGCGACTGCTTCCTCGGCGTCCAGTACTTGATATACGGAGAAGGCGAGACCACCGTCAAGGGTCACCCTCTGCAGGATTTCTCGGCTCAGGAGATTGGGACGCAGCAGCAGGGGAGTACGACGCCCACACGGCGGTCGGCGCCATTTAGCGACTACGAGAGGAATTAGACGGGAGCAGGCGTTAACTGGCACGGGAGACGATGCAGGGGTGTTTGAGATTTTTGGATACACGCATTTTTTTTTAGACTAACAATATCGAACCTCATGGTTATCAGTGATAGATTTGGTATAATACCTAACTAATAGTAGGCCTACCTATCATACTTTTTTATTCGAAATATATAGATCCCTGTGTTTATACGCATATACGTACATACATGTCGAATTGAAAGCCATCTACATGTTTGCATTTTTCAAGCTTTTCTCATATTTCATACTGCTTGTTGCTCTTGGTATGAAAAGTCACCAGGGTTGAATCGCAAGTGCCGGGCGTTACGCTACGATAGTGCGTTACCACCTTGTAGAAACCAGATCCAGTATCGCGACAAGACGGTGGCTACAGGCAAACCAATTCCAACAAATCAAGAGAATAATTAATACAAAATTTAAATCTAAAATCTCGATTCTCATTCAATTGTTCCCTCTTGTCTTGTTCTCGACTACGCGATGCTACATCCAAAGTCACCCCTTATGCGCTCTGCACCAAAGTACCTTTTTGAGAGAGAGACCCCAGCCACCCGACTTTCTCATCGCTGCTGGCAAGGGAAAACCTGCCGCATACACGACTATACGAGACTGCCTGTACAAAGTACATCTACAGCGAGTGCCTTGACGGGCTGGATCGTATAGGTCGGGCTTTTTGTTTTATTCAATTGACACGATAAGAGGCCCAATTGTCGGTATTTTTTGACAAGTACCATTGGCCTTTTTTCTTGTCAGATTGGGCACTAGCGAGACAAACCAATCGTGTGGTGTTTCGCAAAGTTGTTGTAAAGAAGCAAGACCGTAATATCTGTTGAAACCCTCTACCATTCGCTCTTTATTCAATTTCTGGCCATCTTAGGCTCAACAGTTTATACGTTGGTTTCAAAAAATCCCAACTCAATCATCAACAAGCATCTGACACGCTAATAGGTGCTAGGATCTTGCTTCGATTCAGCAAGTTTGCCATTAGCTATATACGCAATTCAACGGACAGCTACTTTCTACTGCCTACCTATCGAGTATTATTCAATGAAACAGTGGTCTAATACCTACTCAAATCACAAGCCGTCTTTTTTTGATAGCCGGCCAGCGATAGAGGCATGTCCTGCTCCCGTTTTATTCGACTTATATACCACTAACATGGCATGCAGTCTTCATATCAATTTTTCTAATTGGTCTTTACTCAATTACTAGAGTCTTTTTCACGAGACTTGAGCGTTTCTACAATCTTGATAAACCATCCATACAGGTAGGCCAACGAAACCTTGCCTTTCCCTGGACTTCTTCTCACCCACCACCTCCAAAGCTCTGCATCTCTTTCACTGCATCCATCCTTCCCTCGTCTAATTCACCCGTCCTCATATGCCAAGCCCAAACTTCTATCATCTTGGGGCCTCATAATCGTTCCATCCACTCAATTTCATCGCAACTTCAACCCCTCGCCTGCTCAACTTGCTTGGCAGCCCCGTTGCCGGCTGGCAGCCCTTCTTGGCCCAGGCAACATTCACCTGCAAGTCACTTTGGCCTTTTTCTTCTCTTCACCCGCTGCTTCAGATTTTGGCTCAAGTCAGGTGACCGTGCTGCCTCTCGTTCAATCTGCATAACAAACATCTCTTCCTTTCTGCCGCTTCCCAGCCTTCTTCTCCTTCACACTTCTGCCCACAACACTCTCTTCTTTTCAACCAAACATTCACTTGACCATTGGAATCTCTCAACGAATTCCATTCGCTCTCACTGCATTAGTCAACTGCCTGACTGTGTGTTGGTTCAACTGCGCCATCGCTGTCTCTCTCATCGCTAATATCCGATTCTCATCGAGAAAGACTCAAAACGAAAATGGCTCCTGCAAGCAAAGCCAATTATAAAACCTACGAGGCCCAAGCCCGTATGGTGCGAGCCATTGTTGCCGCTCATCCAGATGTCAAGTGGAATTACAAAGGTAAGCCGTGTTTGTCTTCATATGTTGCTGTACATCCTTCACCACCGTCCCTCTTCCATTGTTCTGCTTCTTTTGCAGACTTGGAACATGTCTTATTCATCTGCTCTTCGCTGTTCTTGCCATCTCTATGTTTTATTTGGGGCGAAGGTTGACTCTTCGTCCCAGAAATCGTCGCTTGCTATGGATCCGACATGACTGAGCACGCGCTGAACCATCGATTCCGCCGCCTCAAAGCGCAAGTGGTCATCGTTCGCGAAGGCCGCGGCAAGGGGCTTGACCCAAAGAATATCTGTGCAGACGGGGATCTTCCGGCCACCATAGACGCCGTGGATACGAAGAGTATGCCTAGTCCTTGACTCCCAACTCTTGATCCCGCCCAACTGCTTCTCCCATCCAAAGCACTTCCGTCTGAATATGCATCTTGACTTGAATGCACAACACTCTTGCTTTCTCTGGTCACAATAGTGCCACATTTCTTCTTTGTTACTGCTTTCCCCAGCAAAGAGCTAACGCGTTGCCCCTATAGATATTGCCAAGTACTTTGGCCAGTCCACCGCAGACGGCATTCAGTTTCAGTTTCGTGGCATCAAGAAAGACGCCGATGTCCTTCGTAAAGTCGAGGGCGAAGGAGGCGATGTTGCCAACTGCCTCAACCTGGGCTCAGGCGGCCCCAGCGTCACTTCGACTCCATCTAAGCCAACTCCTGCTCGCAGCACGGGAAGCCGTACCGGCACTGGCACGGGTCGCAAGCGAGCTCGCAAGATGGACGTGCTCGACATCATCAAACGATCTTCATCCGACGAAGAAGATGACGACGTTGAGGACTGGAGCGGACATGAGATGACGCCTACCAAGAAGCCCAAGAAGACCGGAGCCTTCCCGGGCCAGAGGAACGGGACTCCCTATCGCAGTGCTGCCGCCTTGGCCAACGTTACTATCGCTGAAGCCGCCAAGCAGCTTGACGCGAGCGACTCCCAGCCCGAAGCTGAGGCTCCAATGCCCTTCACAGCCTCCCCTTTTGCTACTGAAACCGTCATCATTAATCAGCCCGCCTACACCGGAAGGCCCGTTGGTATTGACCCTGGACCAGCTGGGGGAGGCGAGCCGCATTCAGTTTATGGAGGCTTCCAAGGCTATGGAGGCGCCCATTACTCTCAACAGCGCCACGGCGAGATCTAAACGGAGATCCTTTCTCCTTTTCTACCCCATCATTCGATTGCAAGGAGAGTAATGTTGGTTTCTCAATTTTCTCCGTTGAGTTTTCGCTTTATATTTCCCTTTCAACTTCCCTCGCACGGATAGTCGGCTGTTTAGCATCGAATAGGATGCTATATTGAGATGAAGATATGCGACTCTGATTGCGCATGCGTGTGACGTTGGGAGAGAGAAAGACTCTGTTTTTGACTCTTTCTCTCCATGGATTCTGCCCCCCCTTTCTTTCTTCTTCTTTTTCTTCAATCTTATTGCTTTGTATTTTCTTATCGGCCCCCTATTCTTTTTCTCTTCTTTCATCTGGGCGGCACATCTATTCTATTTCCTAGCAAATTTACTTTTTCTTCATATTTCGTTTTCACATGCTTCATCTCACTTCTCATCTTAAAGGCAAAAGAGCCAATGAAGGGAGAACGGCGGTGGTTGATCTGACTCGGTATTTTTCTTTTCCTTTTTCTTTTCATTTTTATTTCCTTTAGCACCATAGTGCTCTCTAGCTGTTCTCACAGCAGTGCGGGCATCGCAAGGAATGGACGATACGGGAAACGTCAAGGCAAGGATTTATTTATAGGGATTTGATCTTTATGCGCGCGGTAACTCAGACTAGTGTCGGTACAGTTAAAAAAAAAGAATTTGTGCTTTTGAACCTTGCTATTGTGTGATGCTGTGTACAAAGTTTGTTGAAACGACATAAGTTTCGAGATTTGACGGATTGCCTTCGCCTTTTTATAACTCTGGATTGTGTCTTGAAAATATTGTAATAGTACATGTTTGTTCTGTTGCCAGAGTTGATTCTGTGGCATAAAAGAGATTGCGAACCCTCCGTTTTTCGTCATGTCAGTAAATAAGTCGACTAAACCCTTGGATACATTCTCTCTACAATTTAAATTCTAACAAATAATGATGCCTTTCTCGCAGTAATTTGTACTTTTCTTTTCGCACCACCAGCCTCCTATATCCATTACTCACTCCCGCCCCCCTAATTCAAATACATGACCCGTGAAAGATGGTGAGTGGCATTTTCAGTTCGTCAATAGCCTCCACAGAGCCTCTGTATCTACGTAATCGTGGTGGATGATGTTCACCAGCCAGCGATCCTGGCCGATTTCGTTCAACAGCTTCTCGCTGTCCGAGCCTCGCCCATAGACCTTTGCCCACTCGGCCCAGATGTCAAAGGCCTCCTCGCACCAGGCGCGGAAGCTGACCTCTTCGATAATGGTTGGCGTGACGATTTCTTTGCCGGGGAAGACGCCCCATGTCACGGCGTTTGTGCTTGCGCTGACGGCAGCTCGGCTCGTGCCGCCGGTTGAGTCGGATGAAACAAAGTCGCCGTTGGCGTTGCTGGCGTAGAAGCAGACGACTTCCTCGTGTTCCTCAGAGGTGAGCTTGTCGTAGAGAATCTTCCAGTCTGCTGATGGGATGAAGAACTCTACGAATGATTTCTGGAAGACAAATCCAGAGGCAGGTCCCCATCCGAATGTGCCATGGTTTGACGGCAGGTCATTCACCGCGGGTTGGGAGGCAACAGTCCACCAGCCCTTTTTGTTCATCGCCTCTAGGCTAGACTTGATGATGTTGGATTCGGGAAGGAGATCTTCCTCGCTCCACGGGATGGCGGAGATTTCTCCTCGGATGTGTCGCACAAAAATGTCATTGATGTCGCTGGCCGTCTTTGGGTGACCCCAGAGGGAGACGGCTTGTGTGACAGACATGTGGATGCTGACGCCATATCCGTCAATCTCACCGTAGGCAGGTGAACGGGCATCACCGAATCTGCCGTTGGGGAAGTCATCCCACGTCGCCTCACGGCCAAGAGCTCCTTCGCCCTCGGAGATGGCCAGCGTGTTGGCACGTGTGTTGATGCTTTCGGCAGGGAGGCCGGCCTCTGTGCTGCTCGCTTCCCATTCGGGGTGCGCGGCGGCTCTTCCAACAATGACTCGGTTGTGGGGGTCGGAACCAACAGAAGATTGTCTCCTGGCTGTGCGGGAGTGACTGCGGCTCTGGCGAAGTGGAACATTCCCATTGACGCTGATTCTTGGAATCGATCGCTGGCCTGTCACCGCCGCCGGCACGGGCTCATCCACAACAGCTTCTTCATCTTCTGGGACGTCAGGGATCAGTTTCGTCCTCTCCAGAATGAAGGAGATTGATTTCTCGAGGTTGAGAGTGTAGAAGTGGAAGCCTCTGGGGCCGGGAGTCCTGCTCTTGATTTCTCTAATCTGCTCTATCAGTTCGCTGAGGATATCAACGCCGACCATCTTGACCTTCTCGTCGTCTCCCTTTACAGCGTTTAGCCGGGCCATGATTTCTTCCGGCATCTCGGCATGGCTCAGCTTGGCCGTTCGCTTGATCATTGCGTAGCTTTGAATTGGCATCAAGCCAGGCAAGATGGGTATCGTCTTGAAGGCTCCGCTAGGGTCGTCTCTCAGGGTAGTCTCAAACTTCTCATAGGCCTTGATGTCGAAGAAGAGCTGCGTCATGATGAAATCCGCCCCGGCCTGGACCTTGTCGACAAGATATGGGAGATCGTGCTCAAAGCTCTGTCCTTCGGGGTGGCTTCCATCGCCATGGCCTTCTGGATACGCAGCAACACCAATGCAAAAGTAGCTGCCATATTTCTTGCGGATATACTTGACAAGATCAATTGCCCATGTAAACTCCTCAGAGCCGGTCGGTTCGTCGGCGTCTCGGTACTCGGCGCGGGGCGGATCTCCTCTCAGAGCCAAGATGTTGCGAATGCCCAGCGCTCTCGCATCTTGTAGTGCCTGATCAACCATTGCTTGGCTCATGTTTGTGCATGTGAGATGGAGGCAAGTGGTGAGGCCAAGCTCTCGCTGACATAGCTCGGCAAGCTCGATTGATTTCTGGGCTGTTGAGCCGCCAGCTCCCCAGGTGACATTGACGAAGAGCGGTCGCAGGGCTCGTTCCATTCGTTGAAGGCGAACACGCAAGTTGGAGAAGCCCATCTGTGTCTTGGGAGGGAAGAACTCCAGAGAGAAGTACTCTCCATCGGCCGGCAGCGCCGCGATTTTGTCTGTGATTTTGTCCATCATGGTTTCGACAGATCGTTATGCGAGCAAGATTATGCTCTTGAGAGGGCGTTTCCAAGTTTCGAGGTAGAACAGCAAAGATTCAGGCTCGAGCAATGAAGAATGGGTTGATTGGCTGTCGAATTGGGCCGGCGCGTGACCCCTTCGCTAGCAGACGATACGCTCGATGGCACGGATAGATGCGGGTTTGCCTTCTTCTGATCAACCTCGTAGGTAATAGCCGATTTCCAAAAGGAGCTGTGGGATGACAGGGATGAAATCAATTGGAAATGACAACAGGATCTATCAGCGTATCGTAAAAAGTTATCCAAAACCAATGCGTGAAGCCCAAAGCGATGAGCCAACTGACCCAGCAATGCGGTGGTTGCAAGTCTCTGGGCAAGACAAGATCAGAAACTTTTGCGATGCCGCTGTCGCATGGTGGCGGGGCAGCTGTACATGGAGATTCGATTTGGCGGGGTTGCGTCCGTTGTCGCTGGACCCAGAGTTGCGCTATCGCTATCGCGCTGCCGAGCGCTATGACGCAGCAGGCCATACAGTGCCGCATGGGGCCTTTTCACGGGTCGCAGGACCCCCACTAGAGGTTGCCAGAGGCCCTGCCAGCTCTGGATGCGCGCTGTAGGGAGCTCCGATAGCAGCCGTGGGCGGAAAAAAAAAGTGCGGCGACCTGGATATCAACATCGAACCATCGCTCCGTCCTATTGCAACATCCTCCTCTTCTTGCGCACATTGCCTCTACTCCCACCATAAGCAATTGTTGCGGGGGGTTTGTGCCGCAACATGAAAATACGATAATGCATATGCTTCATGGAAGCCGCATGGGCCTCACAAGGGCCGGCTCGGCAGCTTGCCGCCGATATATAGCAGCCGGCGCCAATGGGGCGATAAATCCAACATTTGCCCTCGTGCGACATGACCCGCGATACCTGACCCGGAGAGGATATGCAGTGGACCTTGTTGCTCTGGACAAGAAATGGCGTCAAGTCTGGGACCAGAAGCCTGCGATTGGCGAGCATCAGGCGCCGGACAGCCAGAAGCACAGCTACATCTTGCCCATGTTCCCGTACCCAAGCGGTACCCTCCACCTTGGCCATCTTCGAGTCTACACCATTGCCGATGTGGTGGCGCGATACCACACCCTCAAGGGTGACAAGGTCATGCTGCCAATGGGCTGGGATGCCTTTGGTCTGCCCGCAGAGAATGCTGCCCTTGAGAGGGGCGTCCCCCCTGGAGGTTGGACCAAAACCAACATTGCCAAAATGAAGAGTCAACTGGATGTAATGAATGGGAGCTGGGATTGGTCACGAGTGAGAAGACGCTTCACATTCCCGTTGCACTTGCAACAATGATGTAGCTAGGATCTGACTGAACTGATTTTACAGGAATTGGCCACGTGCGACCCTGAATTCTATAAGCATACGCAAAAGCTGTTTTTGATGCTCCACGAAGCTGGCCTGGCATATCAAGCCGAAGCTGAAGTCAATTATGATCCAATAGACAAGACAGTATTGGCCAACGAGCAGGTCGATGCAAACGGCTTTTCGTGGAGATCAGGCGCCAAGGTGGAAAAGAAGAAGCTGAAGCAATGGTTCTTTCGCATATCCGAGTATAGCGAAGACCTCCTCAAGGACCTCGATAGCTTGGCCAAAGACGGTGCTTGGCCTGAGCATGTCATTTCTCAGCAGAAAAATTGGCTAGGAAAGTCCACCGGTGCTTTGGTCAAGTTCCCCATCATGGCCATCGGGCATGATATTGGCGCTGCCATCGAAGTGTTTACCACTCGGCCGGATACCTTGTTCGGAGTTCAGTATATTGCGCTCGCTTCCAGTCACCCCGTGGTGGCTCAGCTGGCAAAGAAAGATCCCGAGCTGCAAGCGTTTCTTGACACGCTTCCTGGCCTACCTCCAGACTCCAAAGTTGGCTACCTGCTACCGCACATCCGTGGCGTCAATCCTCTGGCCTATCATGACGATACCCCCGACGCTACCAAGGAATCGTTGCCCATCTATGTAGCTTCATATGTACTGGGTGACTACGGCGAAGGAGCTGTTATGGGGGTTCCTGGCCATGATACGCGGGATCATGCCTTCTGGCGAAAGCATACCGCCGAGCAGCCCGTGCGAATTGTACTGGCCGCATCTGAGGACGAGTCAACAACGACATTCGACAACGAGCCCGAGCCATTCGTCCACCATGGCTATATGACGGAGCATAGTGGCGTCTTCAAGGGCAAACACTCCAAAGAAGCGGGCGAGATGATGATTCGTATGCTCGAAGCAGCTGGTCTTGCCACACCCACCACGAAATGGCGATTGAGAGACTGGCTCATCAGCCGCCAGCGGTACTGGGGTGCTCCCATACCCATCGTTCACTGCGATTCCTGCGGCTCTGTGCCTGTGCCAGACGAGCAGCTCCCCGTTCTGCTACCGGAGGTAGATAACCATTGGGCACAGGGCAAGGCAGGCAATCCTCTGGAGTCGACTCCCGACTTTGTCAAGACCGAATGTCCCAAATGCAACGGCCCAGCCCGGAGAGACACCGATACTATGGATACGTTTGTCGACTCAAGCTGGTACTACGCTCGTTTTGCCGATCCTCACAATTCAAATCAGCTCTTCTCTCCCGAAGCCGCCAAATCACTCCCCGTTGATATTTACATTGGAGGCGTTGAACACGCCATTCTTCATCTCTTATATGCCCGATTCATTTACAAATTCCTAGCCACCACCTCGCTTCTACCTCAGCCTTCCGAGTCGGAAGCCCTGTCTGCCGAACCGTTTAAACGCCTCATCACCCAAGGCATGGTACACGGCAAGACTTACATCGACCCTGAGAACGGCAAATTTCTCAAGCCAGACGAGGTCGACCTGTCAGATCCTTTGGCGCCTCGGGTCGTAGCCACAGGTGAACCCGCAACGATAGCTTTCGAGAAGATGTCCAAGTCGAAATACAATGGAGTAGACCCCACCGAGTTTACATCCAAGTACGGCGTCGACCCTACCCGAGCTCACCTGCTCTTCCAAGCGCCAGTCGCAGATGTCCTTAACTGGGATGAGTCCAAGATTTCTGGCGTCACGCGCTGGCTACAGAAGCTCCACGATCAGGTAGTGGCGCTGGCGAAGTCGCCTGAAGAATCGCTACCGGCAAAAGAATATTTTGCTGCGCGGCCCCCTCTGAGCGCCAGTAAGTCGAAGAAGTTGAGCGCGGCAGAGAAGGAGGAAGTGTTGAAACGTGATTCCGAGACGGCTCTTTGGCGCGAGACGCAAAAGAAGATTGAATCCATCACGCGGAGCTACGAAAAGATATACCCGCTCAACGTGGTCGTGTCAGATCTAATGACTCTCACCAACGAGTTGGTTCAGTACAAGACAGCAGATGAAGGCATCCGACGGCAGACGGCAGATACCATCATCCGCCTCATGGCGCCCATCACACCCGCCTTTGCAGAGGAGTGCTGGAGTCTCCTACACCCGTCCAAGGGCTCCATATTCGAGTCCGCCAGCTTCCCCGTACCGGATGGCAGTCTGTCGATGCTCAAAGCGGAATTCATCAACTGCGCCGTACAAGTCAATGGCAAGCTTCGCGGCACGGTGACCATCCCGCGCCCGTCGAGCGGCTTGAAAGGCGACGCCCTACGAGACTGGATAGTGAATGCGATTCTGGAGACGGAGGACGGGGAAAGTCGGTTTGGCGAAGGCGGGTATAACGTGCGGTCAGCCAGGAGGACGATCCCGGTGGACGGGGGAAAAGTTATCAACTTTGTAATATAGAATAGCGTTGAAGATAGAACGGATACCCAACTCCGTATGTTCTTATAGACATGTTTTTTCCCCCTCCCTGGTATTGCAATGTTGTCATGGCCCACTTACTCCTCTCAGTAGTTGGTTGTAATGAGAGTTCTAGTTAAGGATGGGCGACTTGTGCAAATTCTAGCAAATTGTAGCAAAATCAAGCTAGCAATCAGGGCAGTCTAAAGTCTAATCTAATCGCGATGTCTCCTGTCCTCTTCCGGAAGAAGACTTTGTTCCTCGTCGCTAGTAGCCTTACCACGGTAAATCACATAGTGCTGGAACATGAAGATGGAGTCAAACACCAAGCTGCAGTTGCCGAGCATAAGCTTTACGGGGTTGCCTGTGACGCCGCTCCAGTCATGCTGGAGGTAGCTGTCAATACCAAGCTGCGCCAAGCTCAAGATGCCTCCAACCACGTCGAGAATGATCTGCCAGATGCTCCAGCCGCGCGTGCTCTTGTTGCGGTAGTTGGCGAGGATCTGGGGCGAATATTTGACCAGCGTCACCAAGAGCTTGACGTAGCCAACAGCGTATACAATGTCCAGCTCACACCAGTCGGCCGCAGGATTCCCAGACGGAGTCGCCCAGACAATGAAACAGGTAATCAAGACGCCCAGCGCGGAGCCGGCGATGATGCCGGAGATGAAGCGGCTAGGGCGAGCGCCGGAGCTGGCCTCAAAGCCCCAGAGCGGGCGGAGGAGATACTGCGAGGCGGTAATGAGGCTGAGAATGAGGGCGTGAATCGCAAAGACGATGTCGTTGAAGGCGACGGTCGGGGTCAGGCCGTTGTTGCGGGCGGCATATTGGCTGCGCACGACGGGAGAGTAGTAGAAGGCGACGTTGGAGACAAAGTACGCGGCGAAACCTAGCGGAACGGAGAAAGCGTGAGCGAGGCGCAAGAGAGACGCACCGTCTTACAGGTGCTGATACGAAACATGGAAGAGGCATGGAGTCTGAGACAGCCAGGCATCGAGATCCAGAGGAGCATAAGACGGACATACCGATCACGTTAATGGTAGGGAAGTCGGCCGTGGTGCCGGACGTCGACCGGCGCTGCCAATTGAGCAGCGGCTGGGGATAGAAGGAGAGGCTCCAGGCGAGGGTGTAGATCCAGCCGAAGACGGCGGAGATGAAGGACAAGAATGCGACCATTGTAGTGTTAGGGGCCCGACAACGGTGTCAGAATGACTCTGGACGAAGAAAAGGCTCCGGAAGGGTGAAGAGCAGCAAGCCACTTTGCAGCTCAGCTCCGTCCGGATCGGCCCGAGAGGAGGAGGGCTTTGGCGATTTCCGAGGGTCAAGGTGAGGAGGCGAAAGTTTTGAGCTGCGCGCGCGGTGGATTCTCGGTATCGAGATTCGGGACCTTGTTTTGTTGGGATGGGAAGCTAGAGAGAGGAGAGAGGCTCTACCGTCTGCTTGAGGCAGTGGAGGGTGAGAAAAGAGAGGAATTATTCGATAAAAATAACTGATCTCGTGATGCTCATGGAGAAGATCAGGTGAGAGCTTCTACAGAGGTACCCATAGCAGCTGGAGAGTATGGCGAGCTACTTTGAGCAGATGCGATGCGATGCGATGGCAGGCGCGACGGGAGGGATTGCATCATTTGTTGCTTCAATCACAAAGTACTCGGGTACTGTGCCTTACGTAAGACTCTACCGAAGGGAGTAACCATGTTGATATTCCCTCTTAGGACGCGACCACAGTATGGAATCGTGTAATTTTATCTTTTTACGCATAATTGTATGTATATATATATATATATATATATTATATATGTAATATATATCATACGCTATTTCAGAGTGGAAAACACTAATACAGACACCTACCGCAAAGTTGAGTTGATAGGTGCCACGGTGAGGTCGACTTGGAGAGACCAACTTTCGAGATAATCGCCGGGCATCATCTCATCAAAAGTTTCACGAACAGCCTTTTGCAGCCATCAAAATATCATGATCGAAACTGCTATTCCACACAAACTGTTACAACCTTTTCGCTTAGCTCACCTAGGATTCAGGTTTGCAGCCTACTCAGATCCTCAAGGTTTCTTACTGTAATATCATCCTGCCGATCATAAGCAAGCGTAAGAACCATTTATTTGGAATACCTGTTGTGCCATAGCATTCATCATATGTCTCAAATGATATACTTGGCGCTCTTTCTCATATTTTTGTTTTTTTTCAGTTTGCTGAATTAGTCCGATAATCTTGCAAGTCTCCAGCAGTAGGATCCCTGCAAGGAAAGCCATCACTTTTCACAGCATTCTTCAAGCTCCCCGAGGTTCATTTACTAGCACATAATTCTAGGCTGCGCCGATGACCGTCCAAATTTCTAGTAGTAGGATCCCTGCAAGTACGGCCAACCTTTTGACAGCATTCTTGAAGCTCTCCGAAACTCACTTATATTCAAGGTTGTACCTATATGATTGGCCGCCTGCAAGTGTCAATTGGGGATATGTTCGCATTGAGGAAGGGCAGGATAACCATTGCTCTTATCATGGCAGTTTTTGTTGTCAAGATTAACCGCGTATCTCGCGTAGAGAGATTCTTTATTCGAACCATCTATCAAATCTTCGCAAGCGTGGGCGCCAGTGTAGATGCGGGCACAACAACTGTTCCATTTCTGGAAAAGATACATAGTAGCTAATGCTATTAGCAGTGATATTCACGCTTCAACATTTGAAATTTGCCAGCTTCGAACTTGACCGAGTTGACTGTCCGTCATCTTCTGCCCTTACACGCGTATTCTGCTCTAGCAGCAAGTACTAGCAGCACTACTAAGACCAAAAAGATACTCACCCATCCATCTTTTCAATCCCTGCACAGCCTTCATCCTCGGAAGCAGATCACAGATGTAAACTTCCTTTCCTTTGCTGTTGACTGGTCCACATTGCAGCCTCTTACCTCTTTGAGCAGTACTTCCAGATTCGGCAAGCTACAAGTACTTGTTACCACAACGGCGTGGTGTAAGCACCATCTGCCAGGTACATGCTACCCAGCTTCAAATGTACGTTGCATTCCGGTGCCCCTTTTCTGATTTGTTCGTTATCCTCGGTATTTCGACAGTGCCATCCATCAGCATCATCCATCACCACTACACGTTTTCTTCTTGTCTGGCATCCCCTTGCTGCATGGATACGACAGTAAAACGCAAAGTGCATGTATGCAACGTGCACCGTCATTTCCGAGATATTCGCTATCAGCTGAAGTGGCATGGCCTGATCGGACGACGGTCGTTGTGGGAAAAAAAAAAAGACTCCTAGCGCCAGGACGGGTTTGATCCACTTATACAACGGCCAAACCGCCGGCTGCTTATCCGTCGAATGGGAAGGGCAAACAGTATTGCCTCTTAGGCGATAGCCGAGCTAGCATGCTAGAAAAAAATAAGAAAAATAAAAGAAGGAAGGGTTATTCCTGTAGCAGGGCGTAGCAGTGAGCTAAAGTGAGCTGACAGCTGAGGACCCGATTGTGATGTATCAGTCCCAGTATCAAAGTGGTCTACGAGGATATCATGTTGGTATACCCCTGTCTACGAGAGAAGACAGTCATCAATTCCTTCGTAGAGCCTACTTCTTTTGTGGCGGTCATCACTAAGAGCTTAAGACGGAACCACTTCTCACCTAGCTCCATATTGACGTCTCTTAGTGTAAGTTGACAGGCGGCAATAAATACTGCTAGCGATGAGCATATCTTGTGATTCTAATGATAGCCGTGCCTTGTACTAGAGCAGTAATAAAATATACATTAGCCGGCTACCCATACCTAGGTAAGCACCTCATTTCAGTCGGGCAGCACCCATCACACAACCTTTAATCAATATGCAGCCGCAGCCACAGACAGCATCAGCAGATAAAAAAAAAACGCCCCAGCCAGTTACACACCGCCAACAAACACCAGCAAACACGCTCATGCATTATCCTCCACAAATGCACATATGCCCTCAGATCAAATTAAATCCAAGGCCATTCATCACCAGCGGATGCATCGATGCCGAAGTTCGTCTCGTCATCGCCGCAAAATCGGGTCAAGCGTTACCGACGTCCGCTGCATGGCGCTAAGGCACAACAACATTCGACAGACAACGCCACCATCTTGAAAATCAAATCTGCCTGGGCCCAGATACCGAAGACCATGCAACCATAATCTGGTGCCTTTTCCCGTTTTTCTTTCCTCGGGCGACGCCGGCACACCACTAACAAGGTTTCATTTTTGTGTGGCCCATGACGTGCCCATGCTCTCTTTTGACTCTCTGTCTTATTCCCATGCTATCCCAATCAATGGGCTTTAACCAAGGTCGATGGGCTTCCCTCATTGGGTGAGGGAGACGACCCTTTTTCTAGTGCCGTCTGCCGATGACATGGTTGTGTCATCCCCTTTTTTCAAATAGGTATCTATATCCTCGGATGAGGGATCTCGGTCAGTACGACGCCGTCCAGTTTTTAATAGTGGGGAGAGGTAAGTTTCCGATATACGGACAGGGATTTGGACTCTATTGTGCCAGATATGGATCGAGCTTGATGTCAGCGAGAGCTGTGAGGATCAAGTCGTTTAAATAAGCTTGGCCGCCGTGTTTGATATCCTTCATGTTAGTCTGTATACCAAACCATATTACAAGTGCCAAAGAATATCACTTATATACCGATACCTCGTTCGACAAGCACCATTGTATAAGTGACTGTTGTATAAACGAAAACACCATCAGCACATACTTGTTTACATATACGCCACCACTTATACCATCACTTGCAGAGCAAGACAACACAAGCCACTGCTTCAAAACATTTTGAAGGACCATCATAAACCACCAAACATGTCAACATCAACAACATCATCACCACAACCAAAGCCCACCATCGGCTTCATGTCCCTCCCCCTCGAGCTCCGCTTCCAAATCTACTCCCTCCTCCTCACCATCCCCCCTCGCCCAAAATCCTCCTCTACCACGCACGAAATGGCCGCCTGCAGCGGCTCCGCCCCCATCTACGTCTACCCAGCCATCCTCCAGACCAGCCGCCAAATCCACTGGGAGGCCACGCCCTTCCTCTACGCCGAAAACATGTTCGTCGCCCATCCAACGCTGCTGGCCTCGTTCCCGCGCCTGCGCACCTGGTACCCGCCCATGAGGGAGGCAAACGCCCTCGTGCCGCTCATCCACCGCTTCCACGTCCAGGTGCCGCTCGACATGGAGCTGCCTTACGACCGCGCCGCCGCGGCCAAGTCCTTTACGGGCGTCGACGAGCTCTCCATCGATCTGCGGCAGAACGCGTTTCTGGGCGTCAGCTGCAACAACCTGACCGTATTTGATGCTGTCCGCGGCGTCAAGAAGGTCTACATTGGCGGAAGCACCACCGGCTTCGAGGACTACATTGCCTGGCTCAAGGACGCCATGACGAGTCCCGTTGGCGCAGAGGTTGCTCCCTTTGAGGCGCAGGCACAGTCCCCGTGGGCGTATATCTGGAGCAAACACTCCAATCTGTGGAGTCCCTCAATAGCACTTGTTGGGAAACAAGAAGCATAGAGAGATGCCTAGATCTGTATGTATGATGTCCAAAAATCCAATGGAGCTACATCACGAATGGCAAGATACAGTCAGCTAACAAGTCAGTCTTGGATGAAAGAAATCAACTTTTACATTGCGCTGAAAATTAGGTATCTCTACACCCGCATACACCATCATCAACAACCTCTCGCCAATATCTAAACTCTATATTCTTCCGGAGCCTTTCCGCCTCCCAAAAAGGGCTTCTATATTCTTTTCTTTTTCTTTCCTCTTGATCATCTTGAGCCATACCAAAGAGCCCCCTCTAGTCCCACATATCCCAGTCTAGGTCTAAAGGTCATCTCATACATTTCGACAAAAGAATAATAATAAAAGAAACCGCATAGGACAAACCCGTAAGAGAAAAAAAAATAACAACACAAAGAAAGCGTCATGTTTCCCTCCCTTTTTGTTTTCTCCGAAAGATATCCTCCACGTCCATAGCTTTTGTTTTTTTTTCTTCTCTATATCCCTCTTGGCTTTTTGGCATTTTCTTTTCTGTTTGTTTTTTGGGTACATACGGTTATCGTGTAGATAGATACACGAGGGAATGAAGAAAAATGGAAATGGGACACAAAAAGGAGAACAAGGTAGATAAAAAAATAGAAGCAAGTATTCAAAATAACTCGCCCATCGTGATGCATAATTCCACCCAAACGCCTGTTCTGATGCATCGTATATCGGAGAGAAATGCTCATGTCACTCCCCTCCATCTATAATTTCGACGATGCACGTCATTTATTTTCGTTTCTGTCTTGTTTCTTTTTCTTTACTGCGCCGCTGCTTGGCCGCCACCTCCAATAATCTTAGGCAGGGACTTCCAACCTCTCTCATTGGGCAGCTTGACCTTGCCAAAGTCCTCGTCGAGATCCAGGATGATCTTCAGCGCATTCCTGCTACGGGCAAAGGGGCTGGAGTCGAGCTGCTTGGACCTGAGCGTAGACAAAGCATCCGCCATGCTAGCATGCGACTTGTCCTTTGTTGCTGTTCCAGGCATGGGCAGCACGTTCTGCAGCACTTCGTATGCGGCTAGGGTGAAACCAAACTGGGGTGATGATCGGAAGATACGAGCGGGGCCGCCCTTGAAAAAGGCCGTGAATCCCTCCTCCTTCCAGATGGTCTGCGCGGCGTGTCGCAGACCATTGTACGTCGCCTCTCCCTTGCGAGCCTCCACCTGGAGACGGGTCTTGATGACATCGCAAGGCGTTGTCAGATACGCCGCAGGCATACCGGCAATGGCACCAGCCGTCAGGAGCTGCAAGACACCGAGCTTCTTGGTTGGTGATTCGCCAAAGAAGTCCTTCTTGAGATGGCTGTAAGTGGGGAAGTAGATGGCTGAGAAAGGTACGTCTCGCAGCAGACAGGCAGAGGCACCCTTGTACAGACCCATCAGACCGAGGTTGCGGACAATCCACATGGCCGATCTCTTGGGCGTGCCCTCGACAGTCTTGGCGACCTCTCCTTGAATTTGCAGACGAATCTTGACAATTTCAAGAGGGTTTGTGAAGACCTACAGATAGAACAGTTAGTTTGGACCGAGTTTGACGCAAAATCATCACAGGTTCAACTTACTACTTGACATCCACCAGCAGTGCCACCAGCAAGAATCTCAGCCCACAAGGGAATGCCTCCTTGCTTGTCTGTCAAGCGGCCTCGCACCAAGTCGTTGACAGTCAACTTGATGGCCTTCTCCGGCGCTACACCAACCAGCTGGGGCAAAACACCAGAGTAAAGGCCACGGAAACCTTCGTTGCGAACGACCTTTTGGAAGCAGTCAATCGAGTTCTTGTACAGGCGCTGTCCGGGCAGCGCTCCACGCTGGTTCTGCAGACGGGTCTTGACAAGATCAATGGGATACACCATGAAAGCACCAAAGGCACCAGCCACACTACCCAGACCGAAGTTGTATGCAGACTCTAGGACCTGATGCAACACCGCGCCACCCTTGGAAGCGACCCTGTCAACCGCCTGGCTGGCGGTATCCAAGGCGTCGTACATGGGATTCCGCCAAGAAGGATCCAGGACCTTGGCAAAGTCACGAAGACCCAGTCGTCCAGAAGGTTCGTCCAAGCTGGCAAAGTGGAAGAGAATGTCAGCCTCCATGGGCGTGAAGAGGGCGAATCGCGTGATGCCGGCCGCCTCGTTCATGAACTCTGATCTGGTAATCTTGCCATCCTTGGTTTTTGAGACGGCCCGGCGCAGAATCAGCTCAACCATGTCCATCTCCATGATGATGTTCTGGAAGGCTCGCACGTTGGCATAGGACACCTTGCTGCTGGCCGAGATGTTGCACAGGGTGTGCAGGTTGTTCAGCAGATGGTCCGAGAGCTTGTGTCTTGCCGTCTCGCGGATAATGCGCTCAAAGTCCTCCGGGTTGATATAACCATCGCCATCCTTGTCGAAGCGGTGGAAAGCCTGCCGGATGCGCTCGCCCTGAAGGCCTCGCAGCAACTGCGAGAACTGCGCATAGTTTAGGTTGTGGCGGTTCTTGTTCGTGCCAATGTACAGCTTGGCCCATTCGCAGTCCCAATCGAAGGGAATGTTATCCGGTCCTTTGTTGAGTTCGTAGAGGCGCTTAAAGTCATTGTACTTTACGATACCGGTCCGGTCGACGTCGAACAATCGGAAAGCGATTTCGTACTCGGCATCGGGCTTGAGGAGGAGGTTCTCGAAGACGCTCCAATCAGTCAAGGAAACTCTGCCGGTGCCCTTGCTGTCGGCGACGCCAAAGAGGATCGAGTACTGCTCCCGCTTGATCTTGTGCTGTTTGCGTTGAATGCCATGTTAGTCACTAGTCCCGCAACTGCCCCGATATAGCTCCGATGCTGAAAAGAGAGAGAGAGACGAAAAGGGGCCTAACAACGAAATAGGGGAACACAGAATTGGCGCAAAAAAAAAAAGATGGAAATCGAACTCAATGGCAACTCACATAGTCCTCGTCCTTGGGCGCAACGGCGCTGATGAACTGCTCGGGCCCCAAGTACAGCTCGCCCGTCTCGGGGTCCTTGATCGCATGACTGCTGAAGCGAGCCTTGGTTTGCGCCGAGAGCTGCGCAGGCTCCTCGGCGCCAACCAGGCTCTCCTTGACAGCTTCCTTGACGCTCGAAACGCTCGTCATCTTTGCCAGAGGAAGTAGCAAACTCGACTCTCGGGTTCAGCAAAGGGTCTCGGAGAGTTGAAGAAAAATGTCCGCGGGGAGAGAAGACGGGGTAAAGATTGTTGGCCTCTTGTGGAGGAAGCGGCGAGGCTGTGGAGCTCGACAAAGTGGATTTTGGCACAACGGGGAAGCGCCAAAAAGCAGGCGCCAAAAGGATCTAGAGAAGAAAAAATATCGGAAACAAGCCCCTCTATGATTCTAAGTCTATTAAGCAACGCAAAGGAAAACGGAAAACGAACAAAAAGGAGAGAGGAGGAATAGGAACGAGGGTCGCAAAAGAGCGAAAAGTAAAGGAGGGATTTTGACTTGGCGAGTTGAGGCAGAAAAAAGTTGCGACCGCCGAAAAAAAAAAAAAAAATATTACGCCGTCTCTGCTCCGAGTACGAATCAATTGGCGGCAGGATGGCTGCAAGGTTTGGCGGAATGCTAGGTACCAGGTACCATCACAGGTCCTGCCGCCACGCCGCTAGCTCGACGTCTACAGCGGTCAGAAGACGCGCTGGCCTATTATTCGTGGCCTAAAATCGGGGGCTGCGTTAGGGGTCCTTTGAAAAGTCTTGCAAAGTCCTGCTACTCTGCCACGTGAGCAGCAAAGAGCGGGAGGCGCACATTGAGAAGTATCCGCTACAATGATCGCCGTATCGCTTGGCCTTAGCCTCACCAAGAGGTACCGGCAGAAGCAACAAGCAATTGTGCCTGGACCAGCCAGTGGTAGCACCTGCACCACCGTTAGAAGCCATCCGCATGACTCGTTTTGGTCTGTTTTTGTGTTCCACCCAATTATTGTTTGTTTTCCTTTGAGGGTTGAAAACATGAAAAAGAAAAAGAAACAATTAATTAGAGACGACACAAATACCAATAAGGCGCAGTCCTTTGAGCCGGCTGGTACCTCCCTTCTTGAGCAGTTGCAAGTATCAGTACTGCGCATATACTCACGCAGTCTTATGTAACGCCGATGCACACCCAGCTGACATCAGATCCTTCATCGAGCACCCAGCCAATCTCTCTGCTCAAAACGTCAGAACCCGAGGGCGGCCACAGCTCGACTTGCAGTTCTCCTTTTATCCAGAAACCGAGGAATCCGTGTAGTCACTCCGTACTTGCTCTATAGCGGTCATAACACCCAGGTACCTATCTAGGTAGTAGTCATGGCGGTTCTTACAAGTGGGTACAGCGAAAGCCGATGCGATCACCTGGATCTCTACTGTTTGTACTACGCAGGATGGAAGTGATTTCTAGCAAAGAGATAGGCACTAAACACGGCGCATACGGCGGTGGGAAAGATGGTATAGCAGCATCTTTCTAAGCTAAGAATCGCCGTCTGCCAACCTAAGGGCATCTATTCCATAGTCCACTAAACTAGACGTAATGAATCCGGGGTCGGGTCCAGTCGGACACAACTTCGGCCAGTCCGGACAGCAAATGCCAAAACGCCATGCCAGCAGAACACGACAACTCCTAGAAAGCAAGGCACTGTGTAAAAACACAAGTGCGTAAAATATGCACGCTACTCCGCATACAACAAGAAAAGAAAAAAAAAGCCAGCCCCAAAAAAATGCTCTTCTAGAAAAAATCAGCGGCGCCACCCGGAGCCGGTCCGGAACCTGAGCCCTGGGGCCTGCCCAGCCAATACGTACTTTGTTATCTTGTGCCTTACTCGTCTGTCAATTTCATTCAGATGCAAGACTGTAGATAAAGACCCGTTCTACGCCTAACGCATCACAGAGACGATTAATCCTCATTATTACAAACCAATTGGCCCCAACAAAACACCAGTTGCATCATCACGTACCACGTATCCTGCATGAAACCAGACCACCTCTGCAGTTCCGTAGGGCCGGGCCTATCCCGGAATCCCGGAGAGGGCCCTGCCTGCATAAAGCAATCGATCCGGCGGTCAGCAGCAACAATAGATGGCACATTATTGCGAGTACCAGGTATGGAGCACATACAGTAGGTGGCTGCGCTACTCTAGCAGCTTCCAATAGAAATTCACAGAGGCTATCTCACACTTGCGATTCTTTGTTGTTCATGTCTTCTTGTATTATTCAGGCTGTAACACAGAATCCGTAATGTAATGCCCAAAATAAATAACAGGGCGGTATTAATCCATACAGCTTTCCTCAAAGTGGTATTATCAAAGTCAAGAGCCAATCCATCCGTTTCTCCTGCTATGGCGCAGTGCGTGCCATGCCGAAGCTTCCTTTCGCCTAATTTCACACACCCTTTTTTGTTTTCCCTCGTTCCGCCCGTCCCTTCCACCCCCTCCAGCGCCTGCGTGGTATATATAAATCCATTTCATTACCGCCAGTTCCGGAGCAAGCCACCAACGCCAGACAGTACAATACAGAGCTAAAGAAAAGAAGATGATAGAGAGAAAATAAAAAGAAGAAAAGAAGAAGAAGAAAGAAAACATCGTCGCGAGTGCGTAGTGGGTCATCGTCTTCGTAAGATCGCCTGCAATCCCCGAGGAAAAAAAGGAGGGATTCACAGTAAGCAATGTCGAGGTGGCGGGTTTCAAAGTATTAAAGAAAAGCATCTCAAGATGCAGTAGTGGTATCGAACAATCAATCTCATAGCTTCCAAATAGTAGAAGGCTATGAGAGGCAGCAAGAAAACAAACATCACAGTAGATCAAAAGTGTCGGCTCTCATCCTTCTATAGGGATGAGAAGGCTGCCGTATTGCAGCTCAGAGACACTCGGAATTCGCGCCGGGCGTAATCGACGAACAGGTGTGGAGTGGTGTGGAAGTGTGAAACCAGCGTCAAGGGCGTGCTGAACCTGGATAGACGCCTCCTTGAATCTCTTTTCTCGATATTTCTCATATACGGCTCCGTGGTGCTTCAGAGGGTTTTCGCAGCACTCAATCATCATGGTCACCAGTGACTTGAGCTGATTCCACGTGTAACCTGAGTAGTGAACGTGGCGCTTAGTCTGTTTGATTTCAGTCAGTGATTCATTGCTCGTGACGTCTGTAAAGCTGATGGAAGAAAGAGAGAGAGAGAGAGAGAGAGAGAGAAACTTACCCATTCGCCCTTGTCCAGAATAAGCCTAGATAAGCAATGCGCACCAGCAGCCAGAAAGCTCGGAGGTGAGGCCACAAAGCGCTCATCCATAATAGTAAGCTCCAAAAAGTATTTAGCCAAAGTTCGGGTATCGATGTCGTAGTCGTCAGCCTTGCTAACGCGCCGCAAGAAGCTCATCGGGCCCGGCCATCCCAGTTCAAACCCGAGCATGCTGAGCATAAAACGCTCCGCCTTTAAGATATCATCTCCCGTGTAACCACCGTCCACCATGTAGACAATCTCCTCCAGGGAGGGGCAGTTGATCTCTTCGTATTTGGATGCGACCAAGATCGCCGTAGCTCCTACTAGCTGAAGCTTCCCGATAGACACAATCTTGCTCGACAGGAACCGGTCGATATAGTTGACCGTGAGGAAGAGGGTCTCTGGTAATAGGTTGAATCGGTGGTGCACCTGTACCAGCCAGTCCATGAGGACAGTCCGCATGGACCAATGGATTTCGGTTTGCATCTCCATATAATGGGGGTTAGGGAGCATCTTAATCTACAGAAGAGCAAAGACTTCCATGTTAGCAATAGGTCAATGGTGCATAAAACAGATTGGATAGTCATCTATCCAGATTGCTCACCTCCAATTCTCTCAAATAGTCGAAAATCTCTTCGCCATACTCGGCAACCATGCTGACGTCCCACAACTCTTCATCAACTTCTTCTCGGGTAATGGTCTGCACAACCTCAATTCTGGCCTCTTCCAGCTCACGTTGCACACGGCTAGACACACGCGGCGCGAGCATGGTTGTGGCGTTTGCTAATGTCATATCGCGGGATCGAGTCGAGTGAGCCGTCGTATATCCCTGGTCATGGTCGTCATAACCGTCGTCTTCGTCCTCGTCCCCGTCCTCGTCCCAGTACTCGTCGGCTTCGGAAAATGCGAGAGTGACACTGTCTTTATAGGTTTGAACGACCCCAATAGCGGGCTCCTCAGATATATTTGGGAGTTTGGATACCGCATCGGCATATTCTTTATCGTGATTCACGTCTGCGCGCGAGGGTTCTTCAGATGGAAAAGTGAGCGGGTCCAGGTATGAGTCGTGACCGGTTAAGAAATCTTCAATCAGCGCAGGCATCACCAGTGGCTCAATTTCGATTAGGGCGAGGCTCTCTCTATTGATGCTATTGGTATTGTTGCCAGTGGCTCGATCGGCCTTCTCCACTTTGCTCTGAGTTCTTCGTAAAGTAGGCAATTCTTGTTTCAGTTGTGGCTGGCTTGTGTGATGACGAGGCTGCGGCGCATGCAGGTCGGAGGCGGATTGAGAAGGAGTCTTTTTTTGCGTTACAGCACTGCTCTTGGTGCCAAGGAGTTGCTGGGGAATATCAACGTCGAGTTTGTAAATTGATTGCTGCGTGGTAGTAGCGGTAGCTGCCGCAGCCAGAGTGGTTGTTGAGCTTGAGCTTGCACTTGTGGGCTTTCTCTGCAGCGGCTCCGCACGAGATTCGGTCGTCGTAGTCTTGGATTTGTTGTTTGCCATCGCTACGGGTCGCTGAGCAGGTCGAGAGAAGGAATCTTTGCTAGGCCTCACCACGTTTTCCTTGTTCAGAAAAGACGCGGGTACATGATTTGACGACACGCCCAGAGGCTTCTTTGTGACTTTGGCCTCGTCCCCACGGCCTCCAGGACCCTTGGACATGTTTGTCACGTCGCCAAAGGCTGCTCGTTTGGCAGGACCCTTGAATCCGGCGGCGGGGGCAGACGGGGCGCTGCTGACATTTCCCATTGATTTCTGCCGCTGGTGAAGAAATTGTTGGGCATTCTCGCTGCCGCGCGGTCGAAAAGGCTGGATATGAGGTTGTTAAATTAGCATCACCACAACCTGTATCGAGAAGGAAGAAGACAGAAACCAAGGGGGGAGACGGGGAGAAGATGATTTGAGCATCAAGGGAACCTTCTCATTTTCCAACTTACCCGTGCGTCCATTATGATAGATTGCCGCCTTGACCTTGCTTCAGGGCCTTAATGATAATAAACTCTGCTTCGGTAAAATGCGCGAGAAAAAAAAAAGCTTATGCGAATATCAAGCCTCGAGCAGCGCAGCCTCCCACTGGTTTTCGGAGGAGTCCGCGTCGAGATATCATACAATAGAGATTTGCGTTACGCGGCGTCCAGCACAGTCCGTGTCTCCGGGGTCGTTCTTCGGGGACGATGGAGTCTCGAAGATGATGAAAAATAAATTAAGTGGCGTCGCCAAATCACGTCTAACGGAGGCCCAGGACCACAGCCGTGGCTATTTTTGACCACACGGCGACGGGGGAGGCAAAAGGTGAGAGAAAGGGGCTGGGTTGAATGAAGTGCTTCGTACAGATGGAGACAAAAAAGACAATGTGGATTTGGCGAGAGAAGAAGCGCCCCTCCCAGCCGGAAAGATGCTGCTCTCGACTCTGGCCCCGGTCTGGCGGATTTCCAATCCCCCTCAGCGGCGGAAAGCAGGCGCAAGGTGGAAATTGAAATTGGCGATGGTGACAAGGACAGGGAACATGCGCCGGTCAAGGTGCAAAAACGATGCGCCGCGTGCAAGAAGTCGTCGATACGGGCTGCCGCAGGGTTGCAGGATGGGGAAGCTGCCTGGGGATCCGAACTTGCGTGGACTGGCTTTAACCAACCGGCGGCCTGTCATGAGCCGACCTGGACGCTGTATTTTGGATTGTTTATTTGTTTATACCCCAAGCGCCGCAGACGCTTTAGCGCAGGAAGCCGTTAGCGGGAGCTGCGCAGCGCTGCCGCGGTTTTCTTTAGTTTTTGGGGGGACGGTATGCGCGCACGGACCATCATGCGAACAGGTCGCGCAATTTACGCTGTCGTCCCGGAGATGACGATATTCCGGGGGTTGCCCATGGCAGAGGGAGAACGTACCGCCATGCCGCTAGGCTGCTTCCGGACGCTGGATGTTCTCGTCGCGTCTCACTTGCGATGGCCAAAAACCGCAGAGTTTCACGTTTGCGCATCTACAGCAGCACAGCGAGGCGATGGTGGCATCTGGGCACCGTTAGTACCTGCAGGACGACATTGCGATACGGATTTCGACTCACCATCCGCCAATGCACCGCCCAGGCGTGATATTGCAGCCGGCGCATTCTGGCGCCTTTGACGCGTTAGGGCTCTCGTGGCCGTCTGCGCCAGAGAGACACGACTTCACGTGACGGTGCGCTGCCACTTGACGCTGCCCTTTTGCTGCTCCACACTGAACCGAATCGAAACCGGCACCTGGCGAGGGCGAGGCATTGCATGCGAGGAACAAGTAAACGGACGCCTGCGTTGGGACTTGTCCCCAACGACTGAGACACTCTGTCTTGGGGCAATGCGGTCGGCCTCTCGATTTGGTCAATTGCGACGAGCCAGTGCCCAGTAAGCTCCGGCAGTTAAAGTGTAAGCTACTGGCTACTAATAGGCGATAGTCGCTCCGGCCAGGCCGCTTCGTCGTCCGGATGTCGCAAATCCCAGGCGAGCGACCTGCTCTAGAGCCCTGGAGATTGATGAAACAGTATCAGATGCGGTGGATTGTGATGAGCAGGGAGCGGCGATGAAGCATTTGGACGAAGCAGCTGTCTTGGAGGACATCGCGAAAGCCATGGAATCGGCGTCGTCAAGATGCCCTCACACAAGCCCCTTCTTTCCAAAAGAACTGCACTAGCAAGCCTAGCTGAGCATTGCTATCCCGCCTCAGCCACGATTTCTCTATCCCAGGGGTCTTGGCGATTACGAAGTCGCGTGTTGCGGCGTTGAATCAAGTTATGTGTTGATATTGATGGATGTTCGATGCGCCCGGTCTCACGCCCTCCAGACGACCAGATTTGATCGCCAGAAGCGGATAAAGGCCATGTCTCTTGTGAATCAGCCAGTTGCATCGCAAACAAGAACAGGAGCCTCAAGAAGCAAGCCTATGCTTGGACCTATTTCTACTGTTGCTGTGCAAAATTCCAAGCCCGCAGCCACTCAAATGAGCGAATTTGTGCGGGTTCGATAATATGATATCATAATCTTACTCATTAAACACAGCATCGCCACCGAGATGAATATCTTGCCCCGTGCTCCATTCGTACGACTTGTTCTGAGAAAAACGACGGCAGCCGCATGGGGTTTGAGAATCTACGGCTATACAGCACTTTGATATCCATCGCGCACATGTTACCATCAATTACCTTTTACCTACATCTTGTACGTTTTGATTGAGTCACTTGGTCAATTTTCCATGCAGCGGGATGGTCCTGGGGGCAACGAGCGCAATTGCGCATTGTGCGTGCCGATCCGGCCGCATATGGCTGGGCCTTTTAATCCGTTTCAAAGTGATTCTAGCGTCAGCTAGCACCACAGTGTATTCTCGATTCTGGATTCTGGCAGGTCATGTTAGGGTATGATCGTGTACATGTCGAAACGGCCTCTACTGTCGAGTGCTGGACAAACAGCAAATTCTGCTGACCCCGAACGGCGCATATTGCGGCAGCACAGGAAGCTTCGCCGTGCCACGCCGCATGTGTGCTCCGTCTAGACGTACATGCATACAAGTAGGTAGTAGAATCAGGAGATTGAAAGAAGGGTGCCTCGTAAAAACCGGCAGCGAAAAGTGAGTGAGTGCATGGCAGCGACGAGATCCGCAATTCGTTGGGTCTAAAGGCACCAAGCAGAAGCAGAAGAAGCCCCCCTCGTCTCATCATCACTTGCATGGCCCGAAACAATAACAACGCACACTCGAGTCCACACACCGTATGTACAGTGCTAGGTACTACTTGTTGTTTTTGCAGGGCGGCATTTCATTGGGAGGCTGGATTGGATTGCGTCTACCGTCCAGTCTGGGACCCAGAATGCAGGCAATCATAAACTTTGGCCACTTGCCGCAAGGCACACACACAGGAGAGGAGAACGGGGCCCTATGAGCCGTCGATGGCTGGGCGGTCCTATCAACCTATCGCCATGGCCATTGTTGATCCTTGGGAGCCACCGTTCTGGCGCTGATTCGGCACGCATCTTGTCCACCCAACTGGTGTATCCACAAAGCCTCTCAGCACATGCATCAAAGCTCGCGCGGGGGGAAGACAGAGCGGTGACGAGCTGCGACTCAGAAGACGCTTCGAGAGCGACTCTCGCTTGTCGTATACCGTGCAAGATTTATGCGGCGCTCGCCCTAGACGAAGCCAGGCGCTGCTAGCTCAGAGGAAGCGCATTCAACCCCCTGCTCACCTCGACCAGAATTCTGTATCTGCCGGTACAGGTTATATGTTGCCCCTCTAACCCCGTATGTACTACTTACCTACCTAGGTGAGAAACAGGACAAGTAAAAAAGGAACAGACGCAAACTGAAGATGGAAGCAAAAATAGTACAGGCAGACCTTTGGTGAGATAAGCATGCGCCGGATGCAGAATACCACCAACGCGGACACCCGCGTGCTGCCCGACCTCAATGTCTACCTACCCAACGAGTAGCCTCAGGATACGCGGACGCCTCACAGACCAGTGAAGCGTTGGAGTCGCCTTGTGACTGGACATTGAAGCCGGGGGACCCATACAAGGGACATGGTCTGCGACTTAGTGAGAAGCACAGCTTGTGCAACAGCAGCGGCTGGATTGGCCATCGTTGTCCTACCTTTTCGTTTCTTTTTTTCTGCTCCAGAAGCCATCAAAAAAGAGTCTCAAAGCAGTAAGAGCCGATGAGGGGAAATGGGGGGCCAAAAGAGGATGAAGAAGGAAAAAAAAAAAAGAATTAAAGAATTAAAGAATAAAAAACCCTGAATAAAAAAGGATAAGTCAGTTAGCGGCCAGGCAAATACCGTAGCCAAGCCACGCATAAACAGTGTCGCGACCTGCGCTTTTGCCAGCAGCCGTAGCTCCAACCGGAGGCTGGCGATTTAACAGCCCATGACGGTGGGATAAAGCAAACATTGGATTACTACTCGACTTCCCCTCCTCTGCCCGCATGAGAGAGTTTGGGCCGATCTTGCAACCACGGGAGGGGGGCTGTCAGGCACACCCTCAGCCAGTGTCGAATCTCGGGAAGCTGGCATGGAATCCAGCATGAACGACTTGCGTTGCGGGTGAGCTTTTACAGATACTCCCTAGGGACTGGAGGTGGTGGATTGGATATACAGGTACAGCTCAGCGCTGCAGACATCAAGTTTGAGTGAAGCCCGGTGGTTTGAACTCACCGAGCGTCGTTCTCGATCTTTCTGCTTAGCAGGATCGAAGCAGTGCCCCCGGCAGAGCACTAACCAAGGCCACCACCCTGGTCCAGATTCCAGATTCAATGGACACGCAGCAGGCAGTCATGCTGGTATGAATCGAATCGCCCACCACGGCATCATGAGCTCCGCCTTGGCCTGGTTCCTCGTCCGCTCGACAGCCTTCCCTCCACGGTCCTCGCCCAGTCACTGGCTGGTGACGGCTTCGTCCTGAGACCCCTCTGCCCTGCCTGGGCCCGTTGCCGCTACCGCCTCAGAGTTGCGATCCCCACCTCCTCTGCCTGCTTAGCCCACACACCTGCGCTGCTGCTTCTTGCTCCAGGATCCCTGCAGGAGGGAAACGGGCGCCTCTGCGCCGGGTCTCTGATGCGGCGCCATTGGCTCTGAGCAGTCGTCGGGAATTAATAACAAGCACAAAGCAGGCAAATTCGGTGCTCCAAGCCGATACCTACTAGTCACCCCTTTCGCCTGCCGCAGCCGCCATAGAAGAATGCTTGGAGATGATGGCCAAGTCGACAATCCAGCTGGTATAGCTCTCATCAACTTCTTTTCACCAGCTTCAGCACGTGCGTTTTTCTCATCATTCTTTTTTTTTTTTTTTTTTTTTTTCGTCTCTCTCTTTTTCTTCTTCTTCCATTTCATCATCATGAGTAGCAAAGTTAGCAAGGGGGGAACTTGCAGCCTGAGATTGCTGCATCGAACCAAAAGCTTTGATTCTGGGCGTGCCGCCTTTAGCAGCAGCCCACGGTTGTCGGAATGTGCTTCGCGGAGCCTGGGACCCCTGGCCCATTTCCTGTGTGTTTGTTTGTCTGCCAGCGTGTGGTGCGGAGAGGGTGGCGGATCAGTCAATCAAATCAATCAATCAAGCAATCGCAATCAATCAGCGCCAGGCCGCATAGACGCACGTCCGCACGCCCAGCGAGCGTCCTGCCTGCTGGCTGCAGCTTGATGGCGCATGCCATCCATGGCCATCCACGTCCCAAAGGCCCATATACGGAGCACGACGTCCACACAAGATACAGACGACTGACTGATGCTCCGTGTGAAGCCGTAGGATTGCTGCTAGCTGCGTGTACTAAGGCAATAGACTACATGTACTCCGTAGCGCCCACAGGCCCTCGCCAGCCGTTGCTCCTCCTCGACGCTCACTCGCCCGTCCCAGGCTCTCCTCTGCATGTCAGTTGCCGGCCACATCTTGGGATCGCAGGCGAGGAGGGGCTGGTGGCGTCGCCTTCGCTGGCAGACTGGCCGGTCCGGGTGGGCCCCCCTCTGGCTGAGTTTGACAACGAACAACTCCATAATTATAGATGATGCTACTACGGAGTCGTCGTAGCGAAAATGGCCGACGGGGTCACCAGACTAGGGACTGATGAGTTGGTGACGGGTCAAACGGGCCAAACGAGCGGTCTCTGCACCCTATGCCTGTTCTGGCCCTCTTTGCCATCGCCTCAGCGCCGTCTGGCTCTCCTTTGAACTCAAGGGACCCTCTCACGGCATGGGACAGCTGCAGTCTGTACATATGTGCGCCGACTAACGTATTATGTATGTACGGCTACATGTAGGCTTGTCTCGTAACGGCAATGCCAATGGCGAGTCTGCGCCCACATCCGTGCGTACTGTGCAGCAACGGACAGCACCAAAAAGTGACCGTCGACATGTATGCTGCCCTATTTATCTGCTGTGGTGCCTGACGCAGGATGAGGGCTTGGAGATGCCGTCGTGCCATAGGTCCATTTGACAGGCTGGGCTTTGTGCCCGCAGGAGATGAAGGGCATTGACTGTCAATTGTCTAATTTCTTGTCCAGAGAGGCTCGGCGCCGTTCATTGCGACTGGAAACGTTCATCTCCAGAACGATCAATCCAGTGCTGGAGCGGCTAGTCAGTAATACTTGTAGAAATGATGTAACATTGAACCTTTGTAGCCTCATAGAGTGCGCGACGTGAGGAGCACAAGGCCGAGTCGTCGTCGCTGGGCTTTGATTTACTGTAGTGGAAACAGCCGTCATTCGCTGACTCTCTCAAGGTTCGAACGTTGTTTGCGCCGTAAGAGCGCGGGATGCTGGCATGGCGACTGCGGCCCAAACTGCCTGCGGCCTTTCCTCTTTCTCGCTGGAGGGGCTATTTATTGGCAATTAAATAGCAATGGATCGTCGTGCCAGCGTAAATCTCGATAGGAAGAGAATCGAAGCGCCAAAGCCAGCCCAAGCGCAACGGATGAAACAAGAAGCCTCATCTGGATGAATGCGATCCGAGGCGGCTACCGGTCTAAACTCAATATTACTGGCAGTACCTGCGACAGCTAGACGCCGCAATTTCAGGGCCCTAACAGCGCTACGCAGGTCTGCGCAGCCTTGGACAGCGCCACCGCAACAGGCCCTTCCGCGACCCAACAAGTCCAGCTTCAGCGCTCGTCTCGGCACGCTACAGGCGCTGTAGGGCCAGTTCCAGCAAGCGACGACAGCCTGAGCCACCTGGACGTTTGAACGTTTGGGGGAGCATTCGTGTTAGTGAACCCAGCCGGCAGCGACAAAATCGTTCGACCTCGCCTAGCAGCTCCTCTTTTCTCCATGCACACATTCTACCCAACTTCGCCTCCAGCAACAGCTTTGCAGACCACTCCTGATCTCTCTGGTGAGTTTCCATCGACTCTGTCATCAAGCGCGATCCAGCTTTTGCCCTGAATTTGGCCTCCCCTTCCGCCCCGTCCCTTGGACTTGCGCCCAGCCTGCCCGTCTGTGTCTTGCGTCCCGCGCCTTTGTTCACACAGGCTTTTTCCCAACCCGCTCCGTCTGGAGGCTTCGCGACGCTCATCAAACCCTATTTGCAGCCTTGTTCGAAAGCCATCGGGGCCGTTCACAGCTAATCTCCCTGAATCGTCGTCCAGATACCGTCCAAAGCGCGGCCTTTGCCAAACCTCGTCGCCGCCGCCGAACCCGCCGCCGCGCCAGCCAGGAGCTGAACCAAGAAGCAGGCACTTACCGCACAGCCTGGATGGTGATGAACTTTTGAGATTGCCTCATCATTCATCGTCATCTGGAAGCGGAAGAGCCCATTACGAGACCTGGCTGCCGGCCAGTGATGAAATTGTCGGCCATCCCGCAAAACGATACTCTTGTCTGAAGCTGCTGGTTTTGTCCACCCACGCAAAATCCGCACCCGAGGTCCCCAACCCTCAAAGCCCTCTCTCTCTCTCTCTCTCTCTCTCTCTCCAAAGCTCCCTCCGCGAGTTCGATCGCTATCCTCCTCCCATCCGATCCGACATCAAATAAAACATCAAGACACACAGAAAAAAAATGAATTCGTTATCCCCTATAAACACTTCAGGCGGCGGCATGTCCGCAGCGTCTTCAAATGGCGGTAGTGTCTCGCCCCGTCAGGCGCCCACCCCCAAGAACGTCGCATTTGAACTGCTGTTCCTTGAATCACCTCAATACCGTGCGCGCTTGCCTATGCGAGTGCAAATCTATCCTCATGATACCACGGACTCGATTGTCACAACCGTCAAGAACTTCTACGGCTTGTACTCGGGTCCGACCGGGTCAAAAGGCGTCAGCTTTGAGGACGAACTCGGCAATACCTTGATTGCGCGATATGAGAATTTCCGCAACAACATGATTGTTTATGTTCGAGTGATTGAGGAGGCGCCCATGACTGCCCTGGAATCACATCACTACCGCGGCCTTCACATGGGCGCCGATTCCTACTATGGGGGTGAAGGATATGCCCTCCCTCAGCGCTACGGCCCTGAGATGGCCCAGTCACCGCAAAGACGGAGTCCCTCGCCTTATGGGTCGCGAGGACGAAGAAGTGACTCTACCAGCACCAAGGGCCACTCCCGGTACACCAAGAGCCGGGCTCATCAAAACCACGCCGATGCCTACGCTGACAGCATGAACGGCTACAGCAGCGGTGATGGCGGCGCCCCAAGCACTACGTCCGCCAGGACCAAGGAGCAGCTTGGAACAACCGACATTAGCGTTGAGAACATTGTCGAGGGCGGTCGACGAAAGAGGGCCAAGTTTGAGAGCTCTGTAAGCGCGGCGCATCATCATTTCAATGTCTTGTCCGCTATTTGCTAATTTTTGTCTTCTCTCTCTTGCAGGAACTGCCATTATTCGCACCGCCTCAGATGCCTGCCGCTACTTCGAACCCATCCGTGTCGCCCGCCCGTCGAACCGATCATCACAGACATTCTATTTCTTATATACAAACTGGCCACAACCCATTTATAAACCCACGCCCGCTTCATTCTCCGCAAGGCTACGGCGGTGGGCATGGGCAGATGAGCATGTACTCTACCCCTGTTGCCAGTGACCGCCGTGGTCGGGCTAGCATCTCCTATGGTAGCCACGGCATGGCTCATGGCATGGGCATCCTTCCAACTCCCGACCCCACTGTCGGAAGTTGCATGTCAGAAGAAGACAAGGATGTCGCCATTCAGCTCATGCGACTCGGCGAGATGTCCAACATTTCTCACGGTCGGACATCCGCATCAACTTTGGACGATACATTTAGCGGTCGAGCCGATGCCACATCCTCCACTGGCGCCACTAGTGAAGGCGAAAGCGACAGCGATGTTGAGCTCCCGCTATCTCGCCGTCAAAAGTTGAACTTGAATGGCATGTCCAAGCAGATCTACCAGACCACCGAGTCGCACTTCATGCCGCCCATTGATAGTGCCGAAGCCAGCGGTGAAGACGCCGATTACGAAGATGGCCTAGACGCCCGGGCCAAACCGGCTCAGAGCAAGTCGACAAAGAACAAGTCGACTCCGACTACCACACCCAAGGTGGCCTCTTCAAAGGCCAAGGTACCCCGCGCTGCCAATGGCAACAAGACCAAGAAGCCGGTCGTTGTCCCTGTGCCCAATGGGCCAATCTCCCCGGCAGCTTCCAGCACTCATTCCAGGAAGCAGTCAGTGGTGTCTATTGGACATGTGGCTCAGGCTGGCGAGGACGATCATCCCGACCTCTCCACTAAGCCGCGCTGCCAGCGCTGCAGGAAAAGCAAGAAGGGCTGTGACCGCCAACGACCTTGTGGTCGCTGCCGCGACGCTGGTCTCTCAGCAGACCAATGCATCAGCGAAGATGAAGGCAACGGCCGAAAAGGCCGTTATGGCCGCCACATGGGAGTGCCACTAAAGAAGGACGAGATTGCTCTTGCATCCCAGCCCGCTCTTTTGCCCGCCGCCCCCATTGCTGCCAACACAATGACCACCGACAAGGCTAAGAAGCGCAAGCGGTAGAGAACAATTTTCTTTGTTTTCCTGCGCGCCGGATGCTGTATGATGTATCAGTTTAGACGCAAAAAGAAGGGAGGCTCTCTTTTTTTCTTTTTTTCCGATTCTGATCTTCAACGTTTGTGTATCATTGTTGCTGGGGTTCTTACGGTCCCTACAGACTTTATCTCGCAGTCACATCTCCTTGTCTGTCATCCACATACCTGGATAAGAGGCGGGTATGCAGTCTTGTTTTGATTTTTTTTCCAGAGCAATCTTCATTTTCTCTCTTGATGCTATTATGAAGACGTAATTACGACGGCCAATGCAGGGCCATTACACTCCTTCGATGGCGTTTGGGATGTGTATCAGGTGTCACTCGATTGTTTTTTTCTGTTTTCTTTATTTTTCCTTTTATCCTTTTTTTTTTTTCTTCGTTTACATATGCTTTTTTTTTTTTGTCTTGTTATCTTGGTCATCGTCAAGCTGCGCAAGGAGACAGCGACAACAACAACAGAAGGGCAACACACATCCGCAGCCACACTCTGCAGTTTGCGTGTGTGTAATACATACCATCACTGATGGGGACATGGGGTTGACAATGGATGAGATGGGGTTATAAAAAAAATTGGCGACCGTGGCTGGCGAGCTTTGGAAATTGTCTCGCTAGCAGAAAAAAGGGTTAGAACTGAGAGAGAGGCGATAGGAAGAGCGCGCTCAACATTTTTCTTTTTCTTGTTTCTCATTTCCTTCATTTTCTCATACTGTGTCTAAAGTAAGAAGGCTTGGTCGGGTTTTATGGTGGCACGAAAAAATATTTGCCGGTTGGAGCGCTCGTCTTTGGTGTTATTACAAACTGTCTAGTTTCTTGACAAAAGGGACTGGTTTGTGAGGGAAGGGGGGTGGATTCTTTTTTTTTTTTAACCTTGTTCTTCTCTTTTTCCTCTGCTCTTTTCTTTTTTGTTTTCATGATTTTTTTTTTCCTCGTTTGCAAAATTTCCTATTTTTGGTGCGCCGAATTTTCAGCGATTCGTGGTCGGTAGTTTGCGGGTTTTTTTCCTATTTTTGGCTGTTTATTCGTCGTCGTTGAGATTCTGGCACAGCTCAAAATATTGCTGTTTCTGGAAGGAGGGGGATGATGGGCCTTTGGAAGGGACATGAGTGTTCATAGAGAGAGAAAGAAAAGAGGCACCATTGCGCGTTAAATATACGTCAAACATTGCTTTTTGTACGTTTGCGACTTAGAATTGCAGAGTGATGAAGTGAAAACCGCATGCGATGGCGTATGCGCCTTGACATTGAGGGAAATATACAAGAGCGCGACAGCTTACGACCAGCTTATCTGTCCCTTTTCCCGCTCTATAAGAGGCGATCCCCGAGCCGCTAGGAGCGTTTCGCCCGATGTTAGCTTCATCGCAGCGTCGCAGAGATGGAACGCTCCCGAGGGCGCGCTGTCCCGCCCTGCAGCCTCCAAATGAGAAGCTACCCCGTTCCGCCCAGCCTCGGGTTTCCAGCGCTCGGATATTTGCCTCCCTCTCACCATAAGCGCATATTATATCGCTTCTCAAACACATACTTTGCCTTCTTTCTCACAGAAAGTCGGCAGATGTAGTCAAACTTGACTCGGTACGCTATTCCCCATGTGACCTAGCGCCCTAGCGGGCCGGCACAAGCCGGGGCGCGCAAGGATTTTTTTGGAGTCAGGGGTTCAACAGCCGATTGGTCCCGATGCCATGAGGTCATGTGATTTTGCACGAGAAGGGGAATACCTAATAGGGGGCGTTTTTTGCATACTTTGCGCTTTCTTTTTGGCGGTTTTTTCGTTGGGAGATGGGTTTTCGGAGTTTGTTTACGTCATTGGTTATTTTTTTTTTTTGTGTTTTTACCCCGCGGAATGGAGGGGTTGTAAGAAAAGACAAGGGAATGGGAGAAAAGGGAGGAGAGGGTAATTTCAATTGAGACAACAACAGAACAGTAGGGTTAAGTCTAAAAATAGCTGCAAGTTGTAAAGGAAATCATTTATTGTAAATGAGCTTTGAGTCAATTGAAGCTGGGCTTCATATTTCCTCTTTGTTCTTCTTTCATCTCCATCTAAGACTCGGCAGTGTTTTTCAATTCACGGCACAAATTAAAAGCGATGCCATTTACGGAACAAATTGCCCCGTTGTCGGCTCATCTAAGTTTTCCATCCGATCTTCTTTTTTTTCCCCTCATCTTCCAGCGAAATGTTTACGTACGTATTACATTTTTCGTTTATCTTTCTTGCCCGAAAGCGGAACTTTATTCTTCTTTCATTTTTCACCATCGGAAGCGGTGAGAAGAGCTAATTGGAGGGGAGGGGGCCAGAGAGCAGGTATGCTAATTAATTTAAAAAGAAGAAAAAAAAACTTGGTCAGTCGCCGACTTTCTTGTCGGATGTGGGGCCCCGGGCCGGACATCGGAGCGGGGAGTGGGGCTGGGAATAAGAAGCGAGAATAATGACCAGCAGGAAGTACTTTCTTTGTGAAAGGGAAAAAAACTTACCCTATATGGTATGCGGTCTGGGTTGCGCGCGTATGGGGGAGATGCTGCAGCTTACCTACTAGTAGTTGCGGAGTAATCCGGGGTATTTATGTGCTGACTTGTTTGACTCTTGTGATTTTATTTTTTTGGGTGAAAGAGTTGATGTAGAAGAAAATGCAGTTTCTCCCTTGTTTGTTCGTTGCGTATGTGTACTTTGAAGCTAAAACGCCAGAATGTCTAAGTAGCACACACCTGCATCGGAACAATTCAACAAGGATCGTGTCTTCAACCACATTTGCCGGCAAACCTTCTTATCTCAATAGCCGATACAAAAAAACTAACCAATCCCATCAACGCCCCCTTTGCAGCACTGTAACCCTGCTAGATGAAAAAGGACAGCCACCGACGCTGTCAACCCCCTTACATATCAATACCAAACCTCCCGCAGCCATACCGGGAACTTTTGCCCTGTTGGCGGCCAGCTGAGCAAACCGTGCATCCGGGTTCGGTGAAAGATGCTCCGGTTTTCTTCTTTTTCGAAATATATACTACCCGATTCTAGTATCTACCAGCCCCCAGTTCCCACATTACCGATTCGGCTTCTTGCCCGTCTCAACAAGGGGGGGGTCCACACAAAGGCGTAAGATGCACATCATTACGGCAGACCCCAAAGGCTTTTTGCCCTTGACTGCTACGACCTACTCAAAGCTACTGACTTTATTAGGAAAAAAAAAAGGTACAATGACACCAAAATAATCCTAGTGGGCTGGCGATATCGGGGCCAGGATCCCCGACTTACGGAACGGTGACTGGGATCCTTGCAGCTTACTGCTGGCAGCTTGATAACATGCTTGGCAGAAGGCAGTATAAATACGTCGGCGCTGGGAGGTGAGGAGAGTTGCATTGGCTTGGTGGGAGCTGACTTTGGGTAGTATCATGGCCTGCAATGGTTTCCGCAACCTCCCTGTTTTTTGTTAAATTGACAAGTTAAATAATATAATATTTTGTTTGATTAGTTGACTGATACCCCCATCTCTCACCCTCATTCACTCACTCACTATTCCCCTTTCCCCCTTCTTCCTATTCGTTTAATTCGCAATGACGTTACGAGATGATGAAAAGGATGCTGCCATCCAAGAAACTGGTGTCCTGGGCGTCACAACTCCCAACAGCAACAACTCCTCACCACCCTCTATCCTAAATACCGCCCAAGACGTCGAGTTAGGAGGAGAAGAGAAGGACTATGGACCTCCACCAGACGGCGGCCTCGAGGCGTGGCTTCAAGTCCTTGCCACGCACCTAATCAATGCCATGACATGGGGCTACGCCGCAGCCTTTGGCGTCTACCAGCTCTACTATGTCGAAACTCTGGGGCTCCCCGCCTCGCAGGTTTCGTGGATCGGGTCTGTCCAAATCTTCTTCACCTACGCCATCTGCGCCGTGTCCGGGCGGCTCGCAGACGCGGGCTATACTCGCATCACCGTCGCGGTGGGCACGTTCATGGCAGTATTCGGCACTTTCATGACGAGCCTCGCCAAGACGTACTGGCAAATCTTTCTCGCCCAAGCCGTGTGTATCGGCATTGGACTCGGTGTGACGTTTATGCCGGCCATTTCCATCCTGAGCTCGTACTTTGAGAAAAACAGGGCCTTTGCTCTCGCCGTCTCGGCGGTGGGCACGTCGGTTGGTAGCGTGTCGTTTCCTGCCATGATACAGCATTTGACGGCGAGGATCGGATTCCCCTGGGCAGTGCGATGTGCGGGCTTCCTTGCCCTGGCCATGGCTGTTGTTGCCAACGTGTTGCTGAAGCCCAGATTGCCGCCTCGCAAATCGGGGCCCCTGTTGGAGCTCTCGGCCTTTTCAGAGCTGCCCTACCTCTTGTTCTCCATGGCTGCGTTTGTATACTTTTATGCTCTCTACTTTGTCTTCTTCTATGTACGTAAGCGCAATAGTATCAGGCGTGTGTTCCTTTTTGTCTCGCTCTGTGAAGAAGAAAAAGCCGTGAAGTTGAAGAAAGCGAAAAGAACCTTAAAAATTGTCGTTAACCCCTTTCTTTTTAGATTAACAGTTACGCCCGTAACGTCATTGGCTTTTCAAACAGTGATTCCATCAATCTGCTCATTATAACGAATGCCATGGGCATCCCCATGCGGCCGATTGCAGGCTACATCGCAGACAGATGGACTGGGCCAATCAACCTCTTCATCGCCGCCCTCGCGGCTGTGTTCGCCATACTGTACTCCTGGACCGCAGTCACAACCCGAACGGGCATGTACGTCTTTAGCGTCGTCTACGGCCTATCAATCGGCGCAAACCAGGGCCTGTTTGTTGCGTCCCTGACGAGCTTGACCAAAGACCCGCAGAAGATGGGTGTCAGGTTTGGCATGGTGGAAACGCTCAGTGCGCTGGCAACGGTGGCCGGGGCACCAACAGCGGGTGCCATTATCGATCACAACCATGGAAACTATTTTTGGGCACAGATATGGGGAGGGACCGTGATGGCTGCGGCAACAGTCATTTTCATATCATGTCGTATCTCTGCGACCGGATGGAAACTCTGGGCCAAGGTTTAGCCAGCCAGCTAGTTGGCGAAGCTGTTGGTAAGAGCAGTTGATTAGAAAACTAAAAAGGGGCTTTGAGGACTAGGCATGGGAGTAGGAATCACAATGGGAAGACCAAAAGCATAGACGCCGATACCGGAACATGGCTCACCAAGGAATCGTGTTCTCAGGCAGAGGTAGCGGTAGTAGCGGTAGTAGCAGTAGTAATAATGACGGCTTTAATCAATCAGGCAATTCTCTGTTCCCACTTGGCGCTGTGCGATGCGATGCGATGCGATTCTCAAGGCTGTTGCAGCTTTGCCACAGCCTTGGCTACGAGAGCCGCAACTTGTGTGCCCTCTCTCCAAATGTCGTCGTGTTCAAGGCTGAGGTCCCTGATGGCTATCGGTGTGATGCCGTCTGCGATGAGCCTGGCTTCCATAACGTCGAGCTCTGGCATATCGATCAGGGTGTCCTCTGCAGAGTTTGCCAAGATGACGAGACGAGGCCCGTCCCCCCAGACGTCCTTGAAGTTACCAGCAAACGTTGCCGGAGACACTGCGTCCCAAACCTGCTTGTCCGGGCCAAAAACGCCAGTCGTGAACTCTTCGTAAATCCCGCCGTGCCTGGCGACCATGCCTCTCAAGTCGTGGATGCCCGATATGCTGATGAGGGCTGCTGGCAGCGGCACTGCGGGAGCCCAGCCACACGATGCGTCGCTGTTCATGACGACCTGGTGGGCCAGCGCACCGCCCGCCGAGTGGCCAATGAGCACGTAGTTGTTGCCAATGCCGTACTTGCCATCGAGAAAGCGCAGCGCGGAGACGACGTCCCGGATATGGTCCGGGTGACGGGCGTTGTGCAACTCCTTCGCCGGCGTCGAGGGATCCTGGGGAAACTGCGGGTGCGGAGACAGGCGGTAGTCAAGGCTGGCAAAGCCCCGGATGGCCGACTTGGGCAGATCCGCGCGCGCGGCCATATGCTGGACGGGTGGCACAAAGTCGTCGACGGTGTTTCTGGGGTCTCGCCACGCGCCTCCGTGGACGAAGCTGCCGCGCGCACAAGGTTAGAGTTACAAGTAAGGCTCTGTGGGAGCAGTCAGAGTCGTACATTATCCAATAAGCTGACGCTGGCGCATGCGCCTCTTGTGTGTCGTCATCGTCATCAAACTGCCAGACGGCGACTCGCTGGAGGGTATGATCGCCGTATTGGAGGCTGGTGTAGTTGAGGCCAGGGATGTGTGCAGAGCTCATCGTGACTCTTTGCTGCTGGGCGTGATGCGGGGGATTTTGGAAAGGTTGGTTTCAGAGCCTGGTAGTGATGCTACTTCGTACTTGCCAGGCTACGCTACCTATGGGCACCTCCGATAACAGACACTGCACAGCGATTAGGCGGGGGTGCGATACGAAGAACGTGCATTGTGAGTCTAGAATGTACCTATACGAGAAATGCGGCCTTTCTTTCTTTCTTTTTCTGTTCTTTCTTTTCTGTCTCTTCCTTTATCTTGACTGAAGCTCTGTACAGTCTCTTGATGCTGATGAGAGACTATAGCAGACGAGCAGGGGCCACGAGTGGACAGGGATAAGTGCCGAGGGCGGTATATACTGCAGAGATTGCAGAAATGAGGTTATGCGCAAATGGCCATTTTCAGCTCAGCTGTCGTGGCATGGCAATTGAATCAGAGGGCATTTCCGGCGGGCGATCTATTGAGCAGAAATACGGGGTAGCGAGTCGCTAGCGGCTTCGAGAACGAGGCTAACGAGATGCTAGTGCTTCTTAGGTAATGGGAACCAACTGAAGCTGCCTCTGCGGCTGCCAACAGCGCTTCTGGTAGGTGACACCGAGAGGGTCTTTCAATGGCCTTTGGTGGGGACTCTCCCCACTATTCATTGTCGAATGCTTGGCAGGGAAGCCTAATCGCAGAGGGGTTATGCGGGTGATTCGGAAGGTGAGAAGCGAAAGGTGCAGCCAAAGTAAGATTAAACCTCAGTAGAATGGGAATAGGGGCGGCTGAATAAGGGGTCCGAACTGCCACTTGCATTGCTGCCAGCAGTATCCGTACAGGCAGAGCACAAGCAGTTGGTAAGTAATTGATAGTGCTGAGATTCATTCTGTGCAGCCACGCGCTCAGTCTCGCGTGGGCGTGTTTGTCTGCTGTACCTGCCGCAAAACCAGCACAATAGCTGGATGATTCGAGCGCAACAGCGTGCCAGACGCCGCCACCGACACCAGTGCCAGCGCAGCCAACAAGTGGCTTGACTCGGTGATGAAATTGACGGGTTTAGTTTTTCCTGTCTCTTCAATTAGCTCGGGGCCAAGCTTTCTGATACAGTGCCCGCGACACGCCAGCACTGTAACACAGCCTGAGCTCTGGAAATAGAGAGCCAATAAGGCGCTGCGTCGCTAAGCAGATTGCGGTACTTGTACATTCCATGTCATATCAGCGGGGTCATCTCTCTCTCGTTTTATATCGCGAGACGCCGATCGTTTGTCGAGCTGATGTTTTGTGTCGGTGAGATCGCCACTGCTGCCAGGTAGCAACTGATACGTATTACATACTGTCACTGCTTGTGAGCGCCTCGCTTTTCTCCATATTCAAGGATTGGTTTTTTGAACTGAATGCAGCGGTGAATGCCTGTATGTGTGCAAAGAAAATCCATCAACCACAGCCTGTGTGTGCGAAGAAAATCCATCAACCACAGCGAGGCTCGTATTCTCTACGACTTGCTCTGCCTCGGTAGCATTCTGAAATCATGCACAACGGCAGATGTGAGACGGCAAGGATGAAACACAGCACGGGCTTTGCCCGAAGCACATTGTCTCAGTCTCGGCCCGGGTCCATCACCCGGTGTGCATACAAATATGTCTCATTGAGACTCTGCATCTGCCATCCACGTCTATACTCGCACTATGCGACCAACAACAGGATGAAAAGAGTGGATGGAAAAGTCAATTGTCCGCTAGTGACATGTCAATGGCATGGAGGCAGCGTGTAAGCATGCTGCAGAAGTTTAAATCCCACGCGGGCATCTATTCTTGGCATCATGGGACGCCAAGTTTCGAATATCAAGCTCTTGTAAGGCTCTTGTAAGGCTCTTTTTATAACTAATCACGGGCGTCAAGCTTCTTGCAGAGGACGTGGAGAGGGCTCTGTTGTAATTAGCCGATCGGCGTCATATCAACATAGCCTCGATGGAGTTCCATTCTGCGGCGTGAATTTCCAAAACCTGCATCAATGCTGTTGTCTCCTCTCTTGACGAAAGCGGATACTGTACACGGAGCGCTTCTCGAGCTCAGCGCTAACAATAGCAGTTCTACATAATACGAACAGACGAGCCACACCACGATTACCAATCGCAATGCGCTGATCTCCTCCCAGCCAAGCTCGCCATCTTGATCCTCGGCGACTTCTCATTGTGGCAGTGGTGCGTCACTATGCCCAAATACTTGTAGTAGTTGTGTAGCAGCGCTAATACGCACGAACATCACACACATATAGGCCCACGTACCTAGGTACTAGTAAAAGCCATGCTAGCCTGCCACGATGGATGAAGCCGTCCATATCAAATGCCTAAATAGCTTCATGTTCAGAAAAATACGGCGCAAGGAGCATGCTGTACCCCGTACCGGTACTTGGATGCCCTGTCCAAAGGATCTGGCGCAAGAGCAGTACGCACAGTGCGCGCTCATTTTAAGGGGCGTCTGCTGCAAACAGCAGCCCAGGTACCAGAGGCTCGCTGTGCACGCTACACTGGGGGGTGGCTACCTAAGGCGGCTTATGTGGGGCATTTCCCTCTAACGGTATTGCAGGCACGCGACACTCGCTCCAATCCATCCGCCGGGATTTGCTTCCACAGGCGCCGCAACCCACTAACTGTACGGGGCACGGAGGCCAGAAAAAAAAACGAGGAAAAAGGCGTCGCTAGTGGAGTGGCGGCCATCAAGAACTTTTGTTGTCGCTGCCACCCGCTCGTTCGTTCATTCTCCTGATCCGGCCCTTTGTCTGGTATTTTGCGCACGCGACCACTCGCTTCTTTGGTTTCGTCTTTGCATTCGGTCTTTTCTTTATTTCTCTCTTGTTTTGTTTACTTGTTTGCGTTGCTTTGACCGGCGCCTGTGCAGCGAGAAAGGAGACAAGGACACTCTTTTCTACCGCTTCAACAGCGGCGCGTTGGACATGAGAAGCGTCACTTGGCCATAGCCCCTGTGTGTGTCTCGCTCTCTCGCTCGCCTTCGCCTCTGGTTTTTACCTCGACTTCGATTTCGATCTCGGCCCCGACTCAACTCTCATCGAACGGACGGCATCGACAACCCCCCCTTTTCTTCTTCCTCCACCGCAATGGAATCGACGCGCCGCTTCACCAGCGGCATGGCGTCTCGCATGCGGATTCCCAGCCCGACGCGGCGACACTTTTATACCGCTACGTCGACCGTTTCGCTGCTGACTGCACCTGTTTTGCGGGTGCTGTCTGCGTTCTTTGCTCGATTTGCGAATAGACGGTTTCTGTTTGCTATAGGCGTCATGGCCGTGATCAGCGCCAAGTTGGTCCACATATATGCCCACATAACAGCCATTGCTTTTCGCTCCATGGCGCAATGGGGCCTCACATTCTACACACAAGATACTGCCTTCTTAATACTAATACGGCTGTTGCTCGACACGGACTTGTACCCCTGGAAGTGGCTGCGAATCATCCTCACAACACTGGCCTCGCTCCTCGTCACCTTTGTGCTGGCCCTGGCGGCCATTAACAACTCCTTTTTTATTGTCGCGGGCTCCGAGCCCCATTGGCGCAATGCTGGCCTTGCGAGCGATGCGGCGTCGTGGAAACTGGCAGTTACTGGACTCTTCACATGCCTTATTGTGTTGGCCGTCATCTTCGTCATTAGCTGGCTGACGCAGGACATCTTCTACTTCTTGGCTGGGCTCGGGTTGAATTTGCTCAAATGGCCCTTTGCTTTCCTCTACAGCAAGCTTCCTGCCCGTTTCCGTCCTGCGACACCCACTTCGAGATACACTCACATCCCGCAGCAAGATATCGAGATTGGATCCGAGCTCATGGGCAAAGAAGACGACGAAGTCGACTCCAGCACCTCTGGCGGCTCTAGCATGGCCTCCGACATGCGACCAACTTCGAAGTTGACCATTGCCCTATACGTCTTGGTCGGTGTCATCATGTTGCTTCAGGTCGTGCTGTACATTGCCCGGCCAGATGAAGGCTCCTACGCTTACATGTCATGGACTCTGCCGTTGATTCCTTTCGCAGACTTTGCGCACTCTTCGCCTATTCTGGCCACACTCACCCCCGTCTTTGATACTAGTATTGGGTGGAACTGGGATAACCAAACCGCACTGGCCGACCCAATTCGATGGGAATGGTTGCCAAAGGATCCTCTGCCGGGCTTCCAAGATTGGTATGAGAACGGCGAAAAGCACTACCGTGCTTCCCAGGACCCCCTGAAAATCTCAAACCTCGGCAATGATGTCCTCCCTGAGCTTCGCGAAAAGCTGGCAAATATCAACATCAAGAACGTGGTACTTATCAAGCTCGAAAGTACGAGAAAGGATGCTTTCCCGGTCAAGAAGGACGGTTTGTTTTATAAACTTGCTGTCGAATCGTTTGAGAACGGCACACTGCCAAAAACAGCCGAAGAGAAGATCTCTACGCTCACTCCTACTGCCAATTTCCTGACTGGAGACTACAACGATGGCTTTGAGCACAAGGATAAGAAGCGACGCGGAGGCCTCAACGCGAACAACTGCCATACATCCGCCACTTACACGCTCAAAAGTTTAACTGGTACTCTCTGTGGACTGTCACCCCTTGTTGGCGATTTCAACGCTGAAGTTTCGCACCACATCTACCAACCCTGCTTGCCTCACATTCTTGATGCCATGAACCTCAACTTGGCAAATTCTTCGAAGCGCGCTGACAAGAATGATTTTACTACCCAAAAGTGGAAGTCATCGTTCATGATGTCGGTCACAAACACTTTTGACAAACAAGATCAGCTCATGGTCCAGCTTGGATTTCCAACGAACAATACCGTTTCAAAGGAATACCTAAAGAGTGACGATGCCAAGTTTGGTAAGACGGATGTGGAGGATATCAACTACTACGGAATGCCCGAAGATGTCATTGAAGATTATGTCCGTGATGCGTTTAAGTCGGCCAAGGAAAACAACGAGCGAGTGTTTTTGACCCATCTGACCAGCACCACGCACCACCCCTTTGGGCTTCCTGAGAACTTTACGCACGTTCCCATCACCAGCGAGGAATCTGGCAAGCTAGAAAACGTATCCAAGTATCTGAATGCTATTGGATTCGTCGATCGTTGGCTGCAAAAAGTTTTGGATATCCTGGACGAACAAGGTGTTGCGGACGAGACCTTGGTCATCTTTGTCGGCGACCACGGCCTTTCTGTCCCGGAAAACGATGGCATTACACCATACTACAATACCAATATTGGAAACTTCCATGTTCCGCTTGTCTTCTCTCATCCTCAGCTCCCCGCCATCGACATCAACGATGCCGTTATTTCATACGAAATTCTGCCCACAATCCTCGATTTGCTGCTGGAAACCGGCTCACTCTCCGAGTCCTCGACCGGCATTGCCAAAGACTTGATTCAAAATTATGAGGGACAATCGCTTATCCGACCGCTCATCAATTTTAGCGAGAAGACTGGCCAGCCCAACTGGCAATTTTCCGTCATGAACCCGGGTCGCGCCACCGTTGCTGTCCGTGACACCAGCCAGCCACATTGGAGACTGACGGTACCCATCATTGAGAACACTGAATGGCGATTTACCGACTTGGACACCGAGCCTCATGAGGAGAAGCACCTTGTTGCTTTTGACTTTGGCGCCTTCTTGCAAAAGATTGAGGACGAGAGATCTGCCGAGGCGGCACACTGGGCTGAAAAGGCAGCGTTCGTCGCCCGATGGTGGGTTGAGGAAAACAGCCTACGCTGGCACTACGACCCATGAGGATAATATTGGCCGCTTGGCTTGAATTCTGCGACGAAAGAAGCTCACATGCTCTGTTTTCGTCCTTGTTTTTTTTTTACCTACTACGCTATGACATACTGCCAGATATCGATATCTGCTGCGTTGTTAAAATTTCTCCTTTCATCACATATACTTTTGTCTTTTTTTTAAAGCTTTCTTTCCTCGTCATATTAGGAGCATTGGGGCATTAATATTGTTTTCGTTTCCTTGTTTTTCCTTTTTGTATATCCAGTTCAGGTATATACAAGGCGTCTCGTATTTATGATTGTGAATTTATGGGTGGACCCTGTTTCAGCGCAAGTTGAAGAAAAAAAAAGGGAAAGGAAGAGAGGACTTGCAGCTGCTGAGGCCTTTTTCTGTTTTTGTTCTGTTTCATTCTCTTTTTGGTTTTTTGGGAAGAGTTGTTTAAGATAGAAGACGGGCATCATGGGATGATGTATATATAGCATATTCATTCCCTTGGGTTTAGCGCTGACAATGCGGAGAAATGATTGGAAACATGCGTTTAAATGTTTTGCTTTGGCGTGAATCAAGCTCCTATGATGCAGTGACATGGTCGTATGCATTGCATCAAGCTGCTGAAACGGTTGGATCTTTATCGTATGCTGGAAGATGTACAATGTGGTTTGGGGTCGATTATGGTCGCTTGGCTGCGTGTATCACGACCACTACCTTACTCAGCCGTCATTGCAACTGACGAGCAAATGTAGACTGTCAAACCATTTGAGAAACTACTAGTAGGTAAATAAGCAGTGGGATCGTGTCACTCGTCCTGAAGCACGCACCCGCCGGGCCGTGAAAACGTGATTCCGCGGTTTCACGTCTCAGGCCTTACTCTCTGCTCCCCTCCGCGTAATACTCCGCACTATTGACCTCTTCTAATCCACACCACGTCCATTTTCGCCCAAGACCCGGGGAAAAAGCACCTTCTGTTGGTAGCGGTCTATGCGGAAATTCTCCGATGACTTTGTTGACTTTTGCCTGATTGCTCCATGGTTATTTTCGTCACATACTGCTGTTGGTTCTTCACCTGAGTGCGCGCATCAGCCACAAGGAGAGCAGAGTATGAGACATGCCCAAAAAAAGAAGCAGAACCAGAGCAATGACGACACTGAAGCAAACAGCTACGCTCGTGCCTTGTCCGTGGGTGCCTTTTCGGTCCTAAAAATACCCACCTTGGAAACTCTTGCTGCTGCTGTATACATTGCAATCTTGGCCGGGGTGGGCTCAAGCGGGCCCTTTGCAATCACCCGCGTAAATCGCCCAGTCCTTGACTTCGATTCGCTCGTTTCGGCTACCACCATCTCATGCACCCGGCGCCAGTTTCCGACCAACCACGGCCGCCCGTCCATGGGAAGTGCCCATAGGGGAGCGTCTCTGAGGCTTGTATGGGGTGCCCTGAGAGGGACCTTTGGATGATCTGCTGGGTGCTACGGGGCCCAAAAGTGAAAAGAGAAGATGGTCATGGGAAATCAGTCACAAAGAGAGTTTTTTTGTCACCATCATCGTCGTCACACTCGAAAGTGATTTGTGAGTGGAGACGTTTCTTTACACCAGAGATATCAAGGTTGCAGCAGCAGCAGCAGCAGCAGCAGCAGAAGGCTGGGGTTGGCGAACCGTGTTGGGGTCTGCCGCAGGGCTGTTCTTGTTGGTAGCGAGCGAGCGCCGAGCACTGGTTTGGATGGTTTGGATGGTTTGGATGCTGCTGTTTATTCTCTCTTTCTGCGGTGTGATGAGCTGCTCTGCTGTGAATCGGCAAGGGTTTGTTGGACCATTGAGCGTCGCGCCTCAGGGCTGTGACGGAGTTGGGACGCCGCTAATGTTGGTCAGATCCTTTGCGGTTCACTCCCGTGGGCCTGCTTTCCTACAAGCCTTTTTTTCGTCCCTTGTCGCCAAACATTGAAAGGACGATGTGTGCTGTTGAGACACCAACTGGCTCGATGCTTGACCCGTTTGTAAAACTCTGAATCTGCCTGTGTCGGACAATGTCTCTCTCTGCGGTCGTTGTTGTAGCTCCCGCCCCGCTATTTTCTGGCGTAGGGACTTGAGTTTCTCACGATTCGACTCTCGAGATCGATTTACGACTGTCTCAGATGCAGTCCTGGCAGGGGCGTATTCGCTGCGGGTCTCGGTTCGCGCAGCCTGAATGGGCCACAGCGTTCTGAGCCCCCTTGCGTGCATCACGCATTCACATTCAAATTTGCCTATACTGCTGCCACCACCACCAACGGCGTATCTCGAATGCTGGCTGCTACTATTAGCATCCTTCACGGACCAGTGCGGGCCGTCGTGCCTCATGTCGCGGCCCACTTGATTGATACTGCTAGCATGGGGAAGCTATTCCCGTTACACGTTTGCTCCCAGTTCGCCGACCCGGTCGGTGCATGACAACCATGCCTGCAAGCCATGAGAGTGGACAATGTGGGATGAGATCAAAATATCCGCCTGGGAAGAGCAGGCGCCGGACAGCTACCCTCATGTGGACGGGCCATGAAGCTTGGGATCCCAGCGCCGATCTGCCTGTGACTCGTATCGTCTCTCCAACAAATCAGCAAACTTACACGGTTTGTGACTGCCGGTTGTAGTTATAGCACCCGCTGCGCCGTCACCGTCACCGTCACCGTCACTTGTTCATATCTTCTTATTTCCTATTTGGCTTATATTCTTCTTCATTTGCCGTTCGCATCCCGCGTCGGCTTGTCGTCTTTCTTTTCTCGTCTCTCGTTTTACTCCCCCGCGTCTCTACCTCTGTTGCAGCCGTGGTAGTGCTATGCTTGTCGTCAGCTGTCTTGTCGAAAAAGTCGAGACGTTGGAGCGATATGGCCGATGAATATGTCGACTTGAACGCGTATAATGGCGCCCCTCTAGTGGCCATATGTGTGGTCTTCCTCAGTCTGACTTGGCTGGCCGTGGGGCTGAGGATATATACGAGAGCGATGGTGATTAGGAGTCTCCAGGAGGATGACTGGCTCATGCTTGTGGCTCAGGTTAGTTTAACTGGTGTTTTGTGATTCTCAGTGGACAGAGGCTGAAGACTCCTGTACAGCTTATTTTCACACTCTCGTGCATTTTCATATTCAACGGTATTCATTCTGGAATGGGCAAGCATAATGCTGCCATCACAGATGGCGACGAGCAAGCCACAGCTCTCATGGTAAAGCTTCCCTTCTTCCTCCCTCTTTCTCATAGATGACCATTCCAAACTTTTTATATTATTGTGAGTCTTTTTCTTACTCTGCTCGTAGTGGCAAGCCTTGGCGGCGGCCTCTTATATACTCAACATGATGTTCATCAAAATGAGCATTGGCATATTTCTTCTACGAGTCTCCGCTCGAAAGGTCTACAACTGGATCATCTGCATTAGCTTGGGCGTTGTTATCGTCTGGAGTCTTGTCACTTTCTTCTACGACATATTCCAGTGCAGTCCCATTCAAAAACAATGGGATTTCCGTATTGAGAGCGGAAAGTGTGTATCGACAAGCGACCTTGTTTCTGCCGCATACGCCATCAGTGTGATGACAATCCTATCGGACTGGTTATATGTAAGGGAGCCATGTACTGATAATCTCTGAGATGGACTGAGCTCTAACAGTCCCAAACCTAGGCTCTGCTGCCCATACCGATGTTGTGGTCAGTCAAGATGACCCCTCAAGCCAAAGCAACTGTCATCATCATCCTCGGCCTTGGAATATTGTATGTACCGCCTCTTCCTTCGATGAATATAACAGCTTCGTAAACGAATTGCTAATTGTCTTTTCGAAATAGCGCGAGTGTTGCCACTCTTATCAGGATCAGATATTTGACGGTGATGAAGGATCTCGATGATTTGCTGTGTAGGTTTCTTGTCCGCCTTTACCTCTCTCCCATCCGGCACTAACATAAGTGATATATAGTTGCGGCAACACAAGTAATGACATGGACCGTAATCGAGCCTGGAGTAGCCATCATCGCTGCTAGCCTTGCTACAATCCGCCCTCTACTCCGCGCGTGGAGAGTGCACGGCTTCGCTTCTACCTTCCGCAGCCGCAGCCGCACAGCGCACAGCACACCCTCTGCCTATGCGAGGCAGACTACCGAAAATCGATCCACGCCTGTCATCGACCATATCTTTGGGCCCGACGACGTTTCTCTAAAAAGTGTCCAGCCCAGCTACGAGACAGTACCTCCTGAGACGTCGATGAAAAACATCGGCTTGACTATTGAGCAAGCCCAAGCTAGCACGGCAACGGTTTCTCTACTGGACGTGGAGCAAGCGAGGAGTCATGCTAGCCAAGGTCAAGGCCGCGCTCCATCGCGCAGCGTCATTACAGAGGCATCACACAAGACCAACTCGTCTCTATTCGATGACCTCAACGGTCTCGAAGCTCAGAGCCAAGAAGGTGGCTACTAAGGGATCGGGGACTCTGACCAGAGGGGACGTTGGATTTCCTTTTTGTTACATTGTTGTTGCATTTTGATACCTCCTCTTTTCCTTTTTGTTCAATGAGTTATGTTGGGTTCATGTTTCATTTGTTTCATTTGACGGGGTCAGGTTTACGCCACTTTAGCTGCATTGGACGGGCAGGGACCGGAGTAACAGCGTCACATGTTGGGCGAGCGGATAAAATCTCACAAGGCAGATTTCAAAGGGTCATGTTTGATGGATGTATTATGAATTGGGTTACGGGATACGAGTTTTGCAATGAATGCTATTTTGCTAATGTATAGTAGAATGGGGGATGACACCGCAAGGGTCTGGAAAAAGGAGTGGAAGAAGACTGGAAATTGAATGTTGCATGATTTTGTATGCCACCAACATTTTGCTGCCTTATGTGAATGTCTTTTCGAAGGATTGTTACATCAAATGTACTGTATGTGCCTGCATGCACGTTGGGGAACATGGGGCCGAGAACTTGGAGGGGTGGTGGAAATGAAACTCTGTTAATGTGTGGGTGAGCTGATGTTGGTTGCCCGAGTGCCGGATATCTCACACGAGGGTTGCAGCCAAATAGGTGAATTACAGGCAGGGCCATGTAGAATGAAATCTATATGTTACGAATGAAGAAGAAGAAAGAACATTATACCAAACAGTCAGTAGCCATTGCACTACCAAAAACATGATTGCTAAACTTGTGTGTCTCTATAAGAGCTGGAGGGGAACACGCCTTAGTCCAAGTAGTGTGTAGTGTGTAGTATTTACATACTTTTCCAGGCATAAGTTGCATTCGGACGCACCAGCAGGGGTCGCGCGGAATGTCTTCCATTTGGCTCTTTTTTGCCCTTCATCCTTGTTTTTTTTTTATAAGTCGAACTATTGGTGTTCCTGCGTCTTGACTAGCGCTGATGACGATTTTACTTGGATTGCACTTGTGCATGAGAATGGGGAGGGATTACGGAGTTGAAAGACGGATGGATATCCTGAAAGAGGACAGGATGAAAATGTTTGGGGAAAAAAGACGAATGACATGTGAGGTGCACTATTTACATGTGGCATGATTATCTCCGTATATTGCAAATGCTAGTACTCTATGGCTGCTATGACGAACTTTTATTGTTGTCGCTGGTCCCGACTTTGACAGCTTCGCGACAGCAGAGAGGCCATCTTCACTCATGAAAACACAAGTAGAGTCAGATATTCATGTTGGAAAAAAAAAAATAACAGCCTGTATATATCCAGTGCCCCTTGGCAGCATGTGCTATGTAGAAAATGCGTAGTGTAAACAATACTAAATGTACATCCTCATCCCCTTTCTATTGGTGGATTTTAGTCCCCTTCTTTTCTTTATTCCTTGCCCTAGATTATTCATTCATTGATTCGTGAATCTCAAGTTCCTCCGGCGCGACGTCCCATTCCTCCTCCTCGTTCCATATCGGCGCCAGGACAAACCGGCCCATGATCTTGCCCATGCCAATACTCTCGCCCGTCGTCACGCCGTTCTGGGGCTTCTCGTCCGACTCCTCGACGATGACGGCCGTCGTGAGGAAGTTCATGCCCGCGGCAGGGCTCATTTCCAGAATGCGGCCACCCCAGTCTAGTTCGACTTTGCCAGATTTGCGGACATTGAGCCGTCCGATGAGACCACCGTTCGAAAGAGCTTGTGACCGGAAGCCGCTTCTGCGCTCTTGTTCTTCGTCGTCTGAGTCTAGTTCGTCCTCTTCCTCTTCCTCCTCGCCCTGCTGGGTAAGATCCACAGGAGTTGCTGTAGATGACGCGCTCGCGGGAGTGTCGTGTAGACTGATAGGCTGTTGCTCTTCTGCCTTGACTTTGACGCGAGGCTGGGGGGCGGCAACCTGCTTGAGGGGAGGGAGTAGTGGGGGGAATTGGAATAGATATAATCGGCCGTCTTTGTTACCGGCCTCCTCGACCTTGTCCTCGCCGTCGCCGTTGATTGTGATGGCGCCAAGCTCGCTGGCCAAGAGACTCAAGTCTGTGCGAATCATATTATCCTCTGGGTCTTGAGCAGTTGGCTTCTTGGCCTTCAATTTCGCCACAGGCAGCTTGCTTTCGACCGGCTTCGTCTCGACGTCCAAATCCATACAATCATCTGTTGGCTCCTTCTTGACTTGAACTGCCTTGTTGTTGTCGCTCGTATTCCAATCGCCCTCTTCAGCTTGGTCAGCCGGAGGCAATGCTCCAGGTGCTTCATCATCAACCCAGAGGCTCTCTTCCTCGCCTTTCGACTTCTCTGCTGCTTCCAGTTCCGCAGTTGTGGCGACAACAACTGGTGCCTCTTTGTGTTCTCGTCGGAGTATACCCATTGGCATGACGCCCCCAGGTCGGGTGTGGAGCGCAGCCAGCATCGCCTCGTCCTCGCTGTCCATGCCCTCCTCGTGTACCATCGTGTGAAGCTTGTCGGCGTTGATTCTGGTTTCTCGGAAGCCGCCTTCGAATCCAAATCCTGGGCCACCTTTTCCTTCGAACTTGCCGGTCCCTGAGAAGCCGCCGCCACCACCACCTCCTCCACCACCACCCCCAAACCAACTTCCGCCAGATGGACCACCTATTTCAATGAAATGTTAGTAACATCCTTCTCGGCCACTTCACCAGCCAGCTTTGTGACGTACCTGGGCCTCCCACTCCTGAAGAAAAGGGCCCGCTGGCCCCGGCTACTGGCCGGCCAAAGCCGCCGCCTCTGCTTCCCATTGCATCTCCACGACTTCGTTTGCTGCGAAATCGTGAACGGCCTCTCGCCCGCCTCTCTTCTGCAGCTCTCTCGCTGGCCTTGTGCTGCTCTTGCTGAGCCAATGCGTCTCGCTCCGATTCGTCTCGTCGAACGTTCTTCGGTCGAAATCTGCCGGCCGGTGCACCTCCGCGAGCCGCTCGTGCGGACATGGCTCCTCGGCGAACTGCCGACGCCGCTGGCTGTGATGATGTGCCTTGTTCGGTGCCTGAATCGGTCAATGCCATGCTGGCCGTCGGCGCTGCGCTGCTCGTTTCGCCGGGATTTGGATCATCGCCTCCGGTTGTCTGAGATCTTGAAGAGGCGGCGGCACCTCCTCGCCGCACGCCCCTACCAGTAGCGGTAGCTCTTCCGCGAACCATGCTGTGTGAGATGTGAGGCCGAGACGTCGACTGAGGTCATCGAAAACCAAATCGGCGCAAACAAGGTCGACTTTTTGATAGCACGAGCTTTCGTCTACCTAGAAAATTCAAAGTTTTGGCGGGGCTCTTTTTAGTGCTTGCAACCGCCAAGGTGGGGGACGACAAGGAATGATTACAGAAGGGGCCTGGATCAGGCTTAGTGGACTCTGGCTGCTGTGCTCCACCGCGGTTGAAGCCGAAGCTGGGTGTAAGTGAGATTGATGCGATTGATGCGATTGATGAGATGAAGGTGGAAGGCTGGGGAGCAATACGAGTAGCTGTGGAATGCAAAGAACGGATGAGACATATGAATGGGTAAAAAGAAGAGTAGAACGAATGGTATTCTTGTTATAGGGATCGTGGAGCTGTATATATTCATATATAAGCTAGTATTGTTCGGCTAGTTGGCTCCCGAAATATATCCATACATATATCGGTAGGTATACACAGTGCGATATCTACGTAAAAAATAACATCAAGTGCCGGAATGCCTCAAGGTTGGACACACATGAGAGCAGTATCGCCAAAGTATGCCGCTATACTGCCCTCCCTAATCAACATTGACCCGATCCATGACCGCCCAGCCTCCACCGTAGCAGCTCCAAATTTGACAATGACACATCCGCGAACTTGAGCCGCTGACCACAAGACGCCCTGCTGGCTTTCCAAGGCTATTCTCTGTGAACGCCATCGCTCTAGTTCTGACTTTTCTTCCAGATCCTTCTCTTGGTCCTCTTTTGATCGAAAGTCCCGAGACCCGATTCGCGGCGATGAAGCAAACTCTGCCATGAAGAAATCCCCAAGAGGCTCCACGACAGGCCCTCGAAGTATGAGGGTACCAAAGACACTCATTTTGTGCATCGTATGCTTCAGCGGTAACCCAACCAGCTTGCTTCCATCCTGATTCAATATGATATTGTCCCTGATGAGTAGCCTCCCCTTCTGCCCTGGCTCAGATCCCTGTGTCCAGACTTCATTGCGCCCTGTCCATGTGGTGAAACTCCAGTCCTCTCCACGCGCTACTCTTCCCTGTGTAACCCAGTCCAGAAGACAGAGTGATGCCTGGCGACCCAAATTGAAAACCTGAGTTTGCTCGTATACGCTGTCTTCAAATGGCTGAACAGGGTCCGGCAAGAGGCAGACTGCGGCGTCTTCATCCACCTGTACTCGCAGCTTTTGGCTTGTTAAGACGTCAGGCGAAGGAGACTTGAATATCTTGGTGTGGCCTTGAGTGACTAGGCTGAGGCTCGACCCGGGACGCACATGAATAGAGAGATTGACGCCATCACCACCAACTAGGCCACCTCCGTATGACAAGAGAAAGACCAAGGCGCTTTTCTGGTCTACTGTAGGAGAGGGCGAGATCAGTTTGAGGGGGTATTGGTAGCTGATGGTCTCAAGTCCACTACCACCAGCTGGAAGAAGCCTCACGACGAGGCGGCCATCGCCAGGGAGCGAAGTTGAGCGGGGGAATGGCGAGATCATGATAGTCCAACCATCGCTATAAGCTGTGTGAATAGCCCACTCTTGTTCTGTGGCTTTTCTTGGAAGATGTTATGTATAAATATTTTCTAGTCTCATGTGCAACGCCGACATTGGGATAAAAGCTGATTAGACAGAGGGTTGGATATTATTAGCGCACAGAAGCTCCCTATGCGGTTTGCATTTTTTTGCTTGCAGAGCTTTTCAAACGTGAGACACAGGCTCTTATCAGAGTAGAGGTGATAATGGCTATTGCGTACAAGTATGAGATAAGAAGCTCCTGATAACGACTTACATCTGCCCGAATTTATTATGGAACTACTAGTCGGCCTAGTAATTGCTCTTGGGAGAAATTAAGGGCCTGATGCTGGAGATGCTCCAACCTTTCAACCAATTTAGTAGCGTGCCGTCTTTACTGCCCATATAGGACTAGACGCTTCAGATCCAGCGGCTCTCCGCATTTTCAAGCAGCAAGAAAGGTACTGCCGAGATTCAGCCGATGTTAAAGTGGGTTGCTCTGCCCACCTCGAAAATCAAATGGGCAGCAGGTCAAACATCGCTGCACGACACAAACGAACGCGACCAGGGCGCCACAAATTCTCCCATCGCCGCAAATTGCCCGGACCTGCTGCTGCCCGGCCTGGCATCTGAGCATCCCCATGAAGAATTAGAGACACTTCCATCGCCCAAGACTCGACGAAATGGACGCCAGCGCCAGCGCCAGCGCCACCGCGTCGCCAGAGCCAGACAATGCGGCGCGTCGACGATCTGGACGCGTCGTTAAAGCACCAACGAAATACGCGCCGGAGCCGACAGCGTCAGCGTCGAAGCGTAAACGGAATGACGACGAGGGAGACGAAGGGGCCGAGAATGGAGAGGCCGAGTCGGATGAGGAGATGAGCGATGCTGCCAGTGACGCTGCCAGCGACGAGGACCACGCTGCGCCGAAGCCGCGAAAGCCGTCGCAAACCACTCGCGCAAAGAAACCAAGCATCAAGAAGCCCAAAATCAACGGCGCACGACCTGCCGTGTCGGGGAACATTGCGCGCATTCCCAGCAGGCCCAAGAAGACTGTCCGCATCGATCCAGGAGAGAAAGGAACTGGGCTTTATGGTATGTTTGTCTGCGTGCACCATCTTCACAGCTTGCCCCTCCACCCCCTCCCCTGCATCTCGTTGCTGATGTATGTATCTAATGTTCTACAGCCGATATTTTTGCGTCCGGCGACTCTGCCCAGTTTGTTGCTCAACAATGGCTAGAGAAGTACAAAGTTGGCGATGCGGCTGCCTTGGGCGACCTCATCAACTGCATCTTGCGATGCGCTGGCTGCGACCTAGAAGTAACGGTTGACGACATTCGTGATCCAGAGAATATTCCCAACCGACTACTGGATCTGCAAAGTGTATACCAAGAGGTGCGTCTCGGAACAGCCGCCGAGAAATAAAATCGTCGGTGGAAACTAAAGTTAACTGTGTCTATAGCAACAAATCGTCGATTACCCGCTGATTGCCAGGTCCAAGACTACACGGTCGTTTCGAGACTTGCTCATCTCATTCATCCATGCTCTCATTTCTCTACTGCACGAAACCGATGTCATGTACAAGGATGTCGACCTTGTTGATAACCTCCATGCTTGGTTGGCTAGCATGTCGTCTTCGCCACTGCGTCCTTTCCGTCACACAGCGACTACCATTTCTTTGGCAGTGCAATCGACGCTTGTTGAAGTCGCCAGCATCCTCGATCGACGCATTGCAAACATTGAGCAGCAGTCACAGGCTGCGAAAAAGGGCAAAAACAAAAGCAAGACCGACGAAATCCAACGTAGCTTGGCCGAAGCAAACAACAACAGGAAGATCTGCAACGACTCTATCCAGTCCTTCTTCGACACTGTTTTTGTTCATCGATACCGCGATATCGACCCGAGAATTCGAGTCGAGTGCGTTGAGGCCCTCGGAAATTGGATTTGGGATCTGCCAACGGTCTTCCTAGAGCCCGGCTACCTGCGCTATCTGGGCTGGATGCTGTCCGATACTAACGCTGGTACGCGACAAGAGGTTTTGAAGCAGCTAGGAAGGCTTTTCAAACGCGATGCACAGCAACTAGGTCACTTCATTGACCGATTCCGCCCTCGGTTGATCGAAATGGCAACGGGCGACGCCGACGTCTCTGTTAGAGTTACTGCCATTTCTGTCATCGACTCGCTGCGGGCCGCTGCCATCCTTGAACCCAACGAGATCGATGCCATTGGGAGACTCGTCTTTGATAGTGAAATCAGGGTTCGAAAGGCCGTTGTTGGATTCTTCGTTGCCTGCATTGATGATGTAATTGAGGGCAAAGTTGAAGAGATGGGCGGCTCCGAAGTCTTGGAAGAATTGGACCTTGCTGGAGAAGGCAATTATGACGCTCCGAGAAAGGACTGGCTCAATTTGAAGTCACTGGCCGAAACCCTCACCATCTATGACGCTCAGGTTGAGGAGTCTCAGCAGGCGGAAGGATCACCGTTGGACCTCGACGTTGACTTGTTAGGCAACACTATGCCGGATACAAGAATCTCTCTGGCTTCTCAGGTGCTCTATGACAAAATCCCAGAAATTAAGACTTGGGAGATCCTGGCCGGATATCTCTTGTACGATCATACGACAAGCACCAAATCCAAATCGAGATCAAAGTCAAAGAGCAACCCGTCAGAAGAGGCTTTCAAGAAGGCTGTTGCACCTACTGCCGAGGAAGAAAAGATTCTCCTTGACGTTTTGAGCTCCGCTATCAAGTCGAGCTTGCTGCTGCTTGCCGACCATGACAAAGGCAAGAAGCGTGGCCCTCGCTCTGATGCAGCCGAAGCCCAAGAGGAACTGGCGCTGGAGTTGGCCACGAATATCCCAAAGTTGCTGAGCAAGTATGGTGCGGAGCCTGAGACGGCGGCGATTGTTCTTCGGCTGGAGCGTTACCTGAAGCTCGACACCTTCCAACGACTGCGACAAGATTCGAGCATATACGAGAAGCTACTGGACGAGATTATTACGCAGTTCAACAGACACGACGATAAGATTGTCTTGACTGAGGCTGCGGCTGCTCTGCTGCACGCTCGCCAATTCGAAGAGTTGGAGGAAATGGCCGACAGCAAGCTGTCTGTTCTTTGGGAGGTCGTCATCAACTCCCTCCGAAGCTTTGACAAGACTTGTGAGCTTTCCGCAAGAGGAAATTTGGACGAAGCACCGCTTCGGGAGCTGTCTACTGTGTTGATGAAGATCAGCAAACTGGCAAGCATATCAGATTGTGTCGACGTCCTTGAAATTGCCCCATCCAAGGGCGACTCAACGGCCCCCGCCATTCAGATCTTGATTAACATTGTGCACCGTGGAGAATTTGTGGCCCTAACAGACGAGATTGATAATTTGGAAGATGACGTTGTTACTTTGGCAATCAAGGTCTGCCAGTTCTATTTCATGTGGAAGACGCGCAATCTAGCACAACAACTATCTTCTGGCGCCAGCATTGCAGATGAAGAGCTTGATAGCCTATCAGTGTTGCGACAGACTTATCGAAAACACTTGATTGTGACCTTTTCATCTCGATCTTCCATTGATCAACTCCGCCTATTTGCCACTGGTAGTCTCTGCGATTTGCACTTGACATTTGCAACAATGCGTCCGGTGATTAGCAACTTCCGCCCATCAACTTCTTCTTCTCAAGCCGGCGGCGGCGAAAAGTTCAAAGTCTTGGTGCAGCATATCGAATCCAATCTCGTCTCTGAGCTCACATCAATATTCGATGGTGCTGAGAAAATATTTGCGAAAAAGGCCAAGAAAGAGAGACTGTTAAACGAGCCGGCGGAAGACGAAGATCCAGTTGATGATGAGGAGTCGTCTGACGATGAAGATGACGACGAAGGTCTTTCGAAGGAGGAACGGCTTGCAGCTGAGCTCAAGGCTGAAAAGTCTTTGTGTGAACTGACTGCCAAATACGTTCTTGTTATAACAGCAAGCTTGATCGATCCCAAGGACAATGCCGTCAACAAACTGAAGCGGCGGCTGCAGCGTAATGAGACTAAGCTGGGTCACAACTTCAAAGAGGTTGTCGCCTATCTTGACGAAGAGAAGATGGCGAAGCGCAATAAGAAGACTGCTACCAAAGCGGCGGCGGCACCAGCAGAAAAGCCACAAAAACCAGCCCTCAGCGCTGAAGTTGTACATGATGAAGACGATGACGATAACATATTCGAGGACAACGAGCCAGAGGAGGGTTCGAGAGAAGATCTTCGTCGGAGAGAGTTGATGGACGACCCGATTGAGGACGATGAGGACAATGAAGAGCACGAAGACGCTGAAGTGCCAAATCACGATGCAGACGATGACATTCTTGGAGATTAAATGAATTTGAAAAGGAGAAAAATCCACCATGAAAAAACAACAAGGGCAGGAAACAGCTGGGAAAATGGAGGATTTACGAAAGCATCTCTCACTGTGGATAATGATCAGAGGGCTTTTTCACTTTTTGCTTTATTTTGTTTAGGGGGGGCAAGAGGGATTTGTTCATTTTAAATGCCAGGGTATCAGTTATATTATATCTTTGTCTTTGTGTTACGCCTTGTGGTTTGTTTTTGTATCAAAATGCGGCATCAATCAATTCCTGTTCTCGCATTCTTTCTTGAACCTTATTTTTTCTTCTTCCTTTCGACGACGACGACTGGTGTTTTATTTTTTATTTTTTTGAAGAACAAAATGGACATTTGAGAGAGATTTAGAGATTTGATTTGGTTGAAAGTCGCGCAACTACGATTCTGGCAACCATGGGGAGTGCTGGCAAATTAACGTGTAAAAGATATCCAACAAGTCGATAATAGTACTTTTCAAGCTTTATTCTTTTCAGTATGAGAATATCCTATCTCACTGGTTCTTATATATTGCAATCCATTACATAGTAAAGCCTTATGGAAAAAAGAAGTGCTTCGTTAACGTAAAGTGTATCGCTCTCACAAAGTTTCAACTTAATCACCCGCAATTCTGCTTTTCTCTTCACGAACTTGGACTCCGTATTAGCCAATGCAGCAACTAAGCGGCCTGTTGATGTGTGACGATCTTTGTTCCGAACAATCCAAACATTCGCTGCCACCTCTTGCCTTCGCCTGCGTCCGCCTTGGCTGGATCCTCTTCGCCAACTTTGACTCCGTATTGGCGAATGCAGCAACTAAATGGCAGGTTGCTGATTTGCGACGATCGTAGTTCTATTTCTTGTTGCTGCGGTGCAGTGCCCTCATCGTCGGAACTATGCGATGGAGGCCGATTCGTAGCTGTGTTTGCTAGAGCTACCCGAGCTGCGCGGCGCTTGTTTGCTTCTCCGATGCTCTTCTTTTCTTCTAATTCTCCCCATAAGAGAAATAGCCGGTCACGTAGAATATCGAGATTGTCGTCGTCTTGATGCAAATCAGAAGCGTCCAGATTCAAAAGACACTGTGCAGAAAAGTTGTTTACTGCTACCCAGAGGGTTTTCTTCTTTCCCCCTTGGTCTTTGGGGGAATTGGCATCTTCTAATTCCAAGAAGAATCGCCATTCCCATTGTCGCACCTCGTCAGGGTCCGCTGTTGACCGTCTCTCTTCGTCGGAATCCGCGTCCGATTCCTCATAATCAGAAAGTATCGCGTATTCCGAAATCTTTTTTGGCTGAGCAAAATCTCTGAGATCATGAGGCATGAAATTGATGATTCGCACGTCCGCGCGGTAGTTCAAGTTTACAAAGGGAAGCTGTAATTCGACTTCCTGGTCGTTGACTTTCGTTTTGAGGTATATAGGATCCAAGATGTCCTCAAAGGTGCTGATGGTCTTGTTTTCGTAATCGCATTTGACTGATCTTGTTAGGTCAAAGTCGTGCAAAAAATCTTGAAAGGAGGTGGAGAAAAGAAAGATGGAGAGTTACCATTTGAATTATTGACATTTGTTGAAGATATAGTCGACACTGCAGCTGACGATGTCACAGACTCTTCATGTCCCATTGATTTCTTCTTTGCCTTATTCTTATTCTTATTCTTGTTCTTGTTCCTCTTTGGCTTATCGCTTGATGTGATCCCCATTTCAGCCAAGTCACTCTTTCTCTTCTTTCCGGCCCATGATGCGTTGAATATCTCTTGCGTTTCAGCCTGTTTCAACTTTTCATAGGCAAGTTTACGGCGGAGAGCCTCTTTGAGGCGAGGATCAGGAGACTCCGTATCTGTGGTATCCATCTGCGTGATGTTAATCTTTAGATCTGAATCATTTCTTTCTCCTCGTAAGAAGCCCTCGAGATTTGCGGCGTTACGTCCGTATTTTATGTGAAGATTTCGAAGCATGACCCAAGAGCCCATAGAAAGTTTTTGATCTCTGATGTATGCCGCATGTTGATCGTAACAAGTGACTTGCATGCTTCGTTTCCCAAACGGACCTTTCCACTCCCCTCCTGAGCCTGCACCGTATGGCATGTCGTATTCAGACTCATGGGGATCCACGGGCTTATCTGCACGAATAGCAGGCCCCTTCCATGCAAAATGAAAGAAGCTGTCGTTTTCAGAGAAATCCGATATCCAGAGAGTGATTCTGTCGGCGGTGTCGTAGGGCTGTCTGACTAGTTGAACTATCACATCGACATATGTATCCATCTGGACATCCTTGAGCACCTTGAACTTTTCATTGGCAGTGATAGACTTGGCTTTGATGTGCTGGAACTCTACTTCAGATGGGATGCAGCTCTTATCGACTGAGTGATAGAAGAATGAGACGTATTCATGTATTGGCTGTCCGGGATTGTGGGTTGTCTTCTTTGGCCCGGGGCGGAGCGCCTTCAAGGCACTCTCTGGTGGACGTGGAATTTGGCTTGCCGAATACAAATGAATATCTGTTTTCCAATGTGTCACGAGTGACAGGACATCATTGTGTGATTGAAACTGGCATCTTACTTAGCATGATGAGTTTACTTGGGAGAGAAGAGTGAGCCGACCTTTGCTTGGAGCAACACTATCACATCGCCAAGGCCAGGAGCTGGCATCTCATTTTGTGGCCGGAAAACGTTGAGTGTGATGGAATCGAACGAGCCATCTTCGGTATAGCGATCATACAGGCAGACCTCACACTTCCAATCTAAGTGTGCCAGCCGTTATTTAGAATATGGGCGTAATCTTATCCTGAGAGAGTAGTGCTTACCAGATCTCCTGGTCTGGGCAGGGGGTTTGAAGTCTCTGACAATGCCAATGACATTGACAAAGTTTCCAGGCCCACGTTTATACAAGTCCTGAACCGATGTGAAGCTGCTGGGCAGTGACTTTTGCTGCTTGTCGGGGTGAGGAGCCATGGCTGACCATGGCTTTAATTATGCGATTCAACTAAGCCTCCTCTGAAGCACAGGTGGTGCCCAATTAGTACAAGCAAGTCCCAGCGCAATACGCCGTATATTGGCTGCTGGGCGGATTATATGACAAAACGACGCGTATCAGCGATGGATTCGCGTCTCGCTGAAAAGAGGACTAATTATGGAGCCGAGGGGTTGATTTACAAGGCGCGAGAGCACGTGATGAGCACCGAACGAAAGCGGACGAGTGACATAATGTTCCTCTTGCTTCACTGACCTATTGTACGGAGTAGTGGGAACTTGGATGGCAATGGTTATCAGCGCAGTCTCAGCTGTGAATCACGAATGAGCGCAAGTACAGGTACTGGGTACATGCGCTATTGTGAATCAAGTCTCACGAGACGGTAGGAAGAAACAGCACGTAGCTTCTAGCATGCTGTACCGCAGTGACCACCAGCTCAAGGCGGGGTAATCAAGTACTGCGCGATACTGAGGGACGGCTGCATGCCCTTGGACCGGCCACTCTTTGTGCCTTAGGCATCCTGTCTCAGCGTCAGCGGCAAGTGAAAGCTTTTAGCGGCGGCTCAGCGCTCCAGCAACCGTAAAGTTTGCCGCAGTCAATTCTTGCCGCCTATCTAAGTTTAGTATTTGATTTTGACTTTGCCCTGTAACCCTCCGATTTCTTCCCTTTTCCCCCAAGAACCTCTTTTTTTCCCCATTCTGCACCTTACTCCGAAAAAGTAGGGACGCATCCAATAGCAGCCTGAAGCAGACAATTTCATCGTCGACGGCGCTACAGCTCGCATTGCGAACCGTCCCCGCGCAGCAACTCTACAACCCCTGCTCAGCCCGCCTTCCGTCGTCTTCGTCTGCCAGAAGCGCATCGTCGTCAGCACCATGGCGGACCGCTATATCCCAGAGCATCGCCGAACCCAGTTCAAGGCCAAGAACACATTCAAGCCCGATGAGCTCCGCCGCCGCCGCGAGGAGCAGCAGGTCGAGATCCGCAAGGCGAAGCGCGAGGAAAACCTAGCCAAGCGACGAGGCATTGGGTCTGGCGATAGCCGCCCGGGTGCTGCTCTGGGCGCTGCGCCCGACAGCGACGATGAGTCCGCCCCTACCGAGTCTCAGGTATGCAGAGCACAGCTCTCTTCTTTAGTCTATTCCCTCCCCATTCCCAGCCTTTGTCCCTTGCGAGGATCCCATTTTACCTTGCAGCGCCTTGTCGTGATGCTGGGGCCTTCTTTTGCCTGTGATGTGGGGGAATTATGACTGAACCCCACATCCTCTGGTGGGCGCCGCTCTGACCGACTGGGCAGAGAGCTGCACATCAGCACTTCTGCAGGCTTGTTCCAGCCCAGCAACCGCATGGCGGCTTTGAAACGACAAGAGCGTGTGAATATTGCCAAGGCATTGCTAACATGATATCAAACAGTTGAACGAGGATCTTCCTCAGATGGTCTCTGGCGTCTTCTCCGACCAGATCGATCTCCAAATCCAAGCCACCACCAAGTTCCGAAAGCTTCTGTCCAAGGAGCGGAACCCTCCCATCGAGGAGGTCATCAAGACCGGTGTCGTCAGCCGCTTCGTCGAGTTCCTGCGATCCCCCCACACCTTGGTGCAGTTCGAGGCTGCTTGGGCCCTGACCAACATTGCCTCTGGCTCGGCCACCCAAACCCAGGTCGTCATTGAGGCTGGCGCTGTCCCCATCTTTGTCGAGCTCCTTGCCAGCCCTGAGCCCGATGTGCGGGAGCAGGCCGTTTGGGCCCTTGGAAACATTGCTGGTGACAGCCCCCATTGCCGCGACTATGTCCTTAGCTGCGGAGCTCTCAAGCCCCTGCTTAGCTTGCTGGGAGACAGCCGCAAGCTCAGCATGCTTCGTAACGCGACCTGGACCTTGAGCAACTTTTGCCGTGGCAAGACCCCTCAGCCCGATTGGAACACTGTATGTATCTTCGAGACTTTTGAGACCTTGCGACTCTTTTTTTTTTTTATTCGATGATATCTGACCATCCTTTTTTCAAATAGATTGCTCCGGCCCTTCCCGTCCTTTCCAAGCTTGTGTACTCTCTCGATGACGAGGTTCTGATCGATGCCTGCTGGGCCATTTCTTACCTGTCCGACGGTTCCAACGATAAGATTCAGGCTGTTATCGAGGCCGGTATCCCTCGTAGACTTGTTGAGCTTCTTCTTCACGCATCCACCTCAGTGCAGACTCCTGCCCTTCGATCTGTTGGCAACATTGTTACTGGTGACGATGTCCAGACCCAGGTCATCATCAACAGCGGCGCCCTTCCTTGCCTTTTGTCTCTTCTGAGCTCGACCAAGGATGGTATTCGCAAGGAAGCCTGCTGGACCATCTCCAACATCACTGCCGGAAACTCTTCTCAGATCCAGGCTGTCATCGATGCCAACATCATTCCTCCTCTGATCCACCTTCTGCAGAATGGCGACCTCAAGACTCGCAAAGAGGCTTGCTGGGCTATCAGCAACGCCACTTCAGGTGGCCTCCAGAAGCCTGAGCAGATTCGATACCTCGTCGCTCAAGGCTGCATTAAGCCTCTGTGCGATCTCCTTGCTTGCCCTGACAACAAGATCATTCAGGTTGCCCTTGATGGCCTGGAAAACATCCTCAAGATTGGCGACTTGGACAGACAGGCCGCAGGTGAAGGTGCCGACTCGATCAACCGCTATGCTCTGTTCATTGAAGAGTGTGGTGGCATGGAGAAGATCCACGATTGCCAGAACAACGCCAACGAGGAGATTTACATGAAGGCGTACAACATCATTGAGAAGTACTTCTCTGACGAGGAAGAGAACGCAGATGAGGGCGCTTCTCAGCCCACCGGCGCCAACGGCACATTTGGTTTCGGCACCAACGGCGCTGCGCAAGCTGGAGGATTCAACTTTGCCAATGGAGGTGATTCTATGGATATGTAGGAAGATCTGCGAGCTTTTGGCTTTTGAGAGCTTTCAAGTTGATGCTCTCATGCAACCAACCAGCTGAACATGCCCCGCCTCCCAAATTGATTGGCTTCCCCAAGACCATAACAACTCCCCCCAACGCACTTTTATTATTATTGTCATGAACACGAGCAAGAGAATACCCTGTGTTATATCCCTGCTCATAAACCCCAAAACCCTTTGGCAACACTACACTATTCCCCCGTTTAATTTGGCTTGGCAATTTGTGCGAGGAGAGGAAGAAGATGAATGAGAGAGGGGCAAGGAACAGAGTAGCCCAACGAATAGCAGGCCCTATGGTAGCTTGAAAGCTCCAGCCTGAGATGACGCTGTGATGGAAGAAAAGCAAAGAGGATAGTCTGGAGAAGGAAATCTTGGGACGAAAACTTTGTGGGTATGGGCCTGGATGGCCGTGGTCAATGAAGAGCGAGCATCGAGGCCCGCGTGACACCCGATCAACTACTCTACCTGGCTCTGTCTAGTCTAGTTTAGTGGTCTGTAGGCATACACCATGGTTGACGATGCGGATACGAAGGCAGTGCCAGTGCATTGTGCTATTATCAAGAGAGGCGTCAACAAAGCAAACTGCTCTGGATGCAACAATCAAGTGTTTGTGCATCTCATATCTACATATTCAAGTAGTAAAATAAGAAGCAGATGATCCTATTACTATCATAAAACCAGAGAAGCCGAGATGAAATATGAAATATGAAATATGCGACCAAATACGGTTGCTCTCGGCCTCAAAATCGAAGCTCATGTAGATCTCAATCGCGTAGTTATCCTTTCTTTGCGTTCTTAGTAAGAGCTGTTGGGCAGAATATTTAGCATTTGACCATCTTCAGGTCACCGCCGCCGTTATCACTCAGTGCTTGTTGTGTTTGAAAAACACTGTATGTAATGCGCTTCTAGTCCAGTATTCGTACAGTGCGAAAACTGTTGAGGAGCCTTATTTTCGCCCCATAAAATTTGCATCGCCGATACGTCTAGCATCTAAGATGAACCCCAGACGAAAAAAAAACCCTGACCGTATCGGAGTAACGGGCCAGAATGTCCTGACGGTTGTGTATCTGGATTACTTGGCTGTTTGTTTATTCATTTTTACTGGACGTTCACCATTGCAGCGTTACTGAGTTTGCCATCGCTCCCGCACGCCAATAATCTCGACTCCAACCCGAAGCTCAAGAGACGATCCGGCTTCTGTTAGTGGCACATCCGCATCTTTGTATAGCATGGTAAAGAAAGGCAAGGTGAAGGCCCCAGCGCCTGCACCAAGCCAAGCCTCTGCAGCATCCAAGGATGGAAACGGCGGCGGCAAAGGTAAAAAGGGGCAAAAGGCAGCAGATACCGCCCCTGCTGAGGTATTGCCGCCGGTTGCCCCTAAGCCGACGGTGAAGCAGCTCATTGGAGGCTCGTCCTGGACAGGCAAGCTGCCGGTGAATCTGCTCAGCGAGTACTGCCAGAAGCAGAAATGGGACAGGCCGGTGTACGATACGCGGAAGACGCCGGAGGGATTCTCCGTCTGGGTGACGCTGAGCGCCAAAGACCTCAAGACCCAGCAGACCATTACGCTGGAGCCTTTCAAGATCCCGTTATCTCATAAGCATTTGTTATTGAGGGATACGGCTCTCGAGGCCAAGCACACGGCTGCTACGTATGCCTTGTTCAGGGTATGCAGCATGCAGAACAAACACATGGTTCTCCCTCCGGACTACAAGTCTCTGTGGAAAGACTTCCAAGCACTGAAGACTCAAGATGTCAAGGACGGAAAGGCATGGATGTATGAGGCTGATCCGTTCAAGACCTTGCTTGAGCGCCAGGATTCCAAGGCTGCGGCAGAGAAGAAACGGCAGGAGATTGAGCAGGCTAAAGCCAAAGCCAAGGAACTGCCTGGAGCGGCAGGGTTGGTGCTTTTGAGCAACAGCGGTGGATCTGGATCCAATGTGATGAAGGGCTGGACGAGCGTGCCCAAGGTCGAGATGGGGAAGCAGACCAGAATCCAGTTGGAGTCTCTGCTGCGAGATGGCGTGACATGGAACCCTCACAACGTCTCCATGACTCCAGCCGAGAAGAAAAATGTTGTTGCCGAGCTTGGAAAACTGGGCTTCCGACAGAGTCACGTAGCAGAAGCCGTAGAGTATTGCAAAGATCGCCAAGAAACTCTGGAATGGCTTCTGATCCACGTCCCTGAGGATGATCTCCCTAGGTGGGCTCTTCCCGAGAAGTATTCAGCTGGTGTGACCATTGGAGCTACAGACCTGAAGAGAGAAGGCATAATACAGCGGCTTTGCCAGACCGGATACTCCCTGGAGCTGTGTACTCGTGTGTTGGACGAGCATGGTGGCAATGAAGACGCGGCTGCGGAAACGCTGCAGAACATTCTTTTCCCGTCGGCTGCCTCAAACCAACAAGGTACAGAGGAATCGGGAGATGATTTCCTTGATTTTGGGACGCCTCAAGAACAATGGGATGAGGAAGTGGCCACATTAGAGTCGATCTACGGCACCAACTTCCGTCGCGATGGCGATAACATCATACAAATCCGTCTTGAGTCAGTCAAGGACGCACAAAACGGAGATGTGGAAACCTATCTACAAGTCCGAAAGGGATCAAGCTATCCAAGGCACATAATTCTTGCCATTGTGGCTAAGCTCCCTTCATATATCAAACTCAGTATTGTGAAGCAGATGCTGGCTCATATCGAACAAGACTTGCGAGACGAGCCAGCAAAGATATATCTTACCGTCGACTGGATTCAGCAAAATATCAACAGCATCATCAGCAACCCAGGCAAGCTGCTAGACATTTCGGCAGTGTCCTCTGCTGCCTCTGAAAGTCGGCCAGCAACATCTGTGTCCAAAAACAAGCGCTCCCGTGGCCCACCCAGGCCTCTCAAATGGATCACAGACGCAAAGAGTAGAGAAGAATGGTTCCGTCGACAAGAGAACCCGTCGCAGAAGAAAATGGTTACGAAGCGCCAGGCTTTGCCGGCTTGGCAGATGCAGGACGCCATTATCCGAACGGTGAACCAGAACCACGTTACTATTATTAGTGGTGAGACTGGATCAGGAAAGTCAACGCAGTCTGTTCAATTTCTGCTGGATGATTTGTACGAAAAGGGCCTTGGCGGATGTGCAAACATGATTGTCACCCAGCCACGTCGAATTTCGGCGCTGGGATTGGCTGATCGAGTGGCAGAAGAGCGATGCTCGCGAGTGGGAGGAGAGGTAGGATATGCTATCCGCGGTGAGTCCAGACAGTCGAGGGATACCAGGATCACCTTTGTCACAACTGGTGTGCTGCTGCGAAGACTCCAGACGTCTGGTGGCCGAGTTGATGACGTCGTGGCCTCTTTGGCCGATGTCAGCCACATCATCATTGACGAAGTTCACGAGAGAAGCCTTGATACCGATTTCCTCTTGAATCTGCTTCGAGAGGTTATGATCAAGAAGAAGGACATGTTGAAATTAATTCTCATGTCAGCTACGCTCGACGCCGCAACTTTCAAGACGTACTTTGAAACAGAGGGACTGAGCGTCGGGAGCGTTGAGATTTCAGGCCGAACATTCCCTGTTGAAGAGTATCATCTCGACGATGTGGTTCGCATGACAGGATTTGGTGTTGACGGGCCTGATGATGGGAGCTTTATTGGTGACGAGACGATGGGAAGAGTCATCCAGAAGCTAGGTCATCGTATCAATTACAACTTGATTGCGGAAGCTGTCAAGGCAATTGATTATGAGCTCTCATATGACAAAAACTCGGGAGGCATCCTCATCTTTTTACCCGGTGTTGGAGAGATTAATCAAGCCTGCAACAGCCTCAGGGCCATCAATTCGCTCCATGTTCTCCCCCTGCACGCTTCTTTGGAGACGAGGGAGCAGAAGAGGGTGTTTTCAAGTGCTCCTCCTGGGAAGCGGAAGGTTGTTGTGGCCACAAACGTTGCAGAGACTTCCATTACGATTGACGATATCGTCGCCGTCATCGACAGTGGAAAGGTGAAGGAAACCAGCTTTGATCCGCAAAACAATATGAGGAAGCTGGAAGAAACATGGGCATCTCGAGCGGCGTGCAAGCAGAGGCAAGGAAGAGCCGGTCGTGTCCAAGCAGGTAAATGCTACAAACTATACACCCAAAATCTCGAGCAGAACATGGCGCCCCGTCCCGAGCCCGAGATTAGACGAGTACCGCTCGAACAGCTGTGCTTGTCGGTGCGGGCTATGGGTATGAAGGATGTAGTTCGATTCCTCGGACGGTCTCCAACTCCGCCTGAAACTCCAGCAATTGAAGGTGCCATGACATTGCTCCGGCGAATGGGGGCTCTGGATGGAGATGAGCTCACAGCCATGGGACAGCAGTTAGCCATGCTGCCGGCCGACTTGAGATGCGGCAAGCTCATGGTCTTTGGCGCCATTTTTGGCTGCCTGGATGACTGTGTCACCATTGCTGCCATTCTCAGCACCAGGAGTCCGTTCATTTCTCCTAAAGAAAAGAGGGACCAAGCTCGAGAAGCTAGAATTCGCTTTTATAGAGGAGATGGCGATTTACTTACGGACCTGGAGGCCTTTAACCAGTGGGACGAGATGATGAGAGACCGAGGAACACCGCAGCGCCAGATTAGAGGATTCTGCGAGGACAACTTTTTATCCTTCCAGACGTTGTCTGACATTTCAAACACGAGAACCCAGTACTACGACGCCCTGAGAGAAATCGGCTTCTCACCGTCTTCGTCTTCTCAGGCAACTGGCAATACGCAGAATTCCCTACTCTTGAGAGCGTTGATAGCCTCTGCCTTTACGCCACAGATTGCGCGAATCCAGTACCCAGACAAGAAGTTTGCGAGCTCCATGTCTGGAGCCGTCGAGCTGGATCCCGAGGCGAGGGCGATCAAGTACTTTTGCCAAGAACCTGGCCGAGTGTTTATCCATCCCAGCAGCACGCTGTTTGGCAGCCAGGGGTTTTCTGGAAACGCGGCTTACATGTCGTATTTTAGCATGATATCGACGACCAAAATTTTCATCCGAGACTTGACCCGTAGGTTTTTTTTTTACCCTCTGCCATATGTATATTGGAAACTAATATTTCTCCCAGCTCTCAATGCATACACACTTCTCCTGTTCTGCGGCCCCATCGAGCTGGACACTTTGGGACGCGGCCTCTTGGTTGATGGATGGCTCCGGCTTAGGGGCTGGGCGCGACTGGGAGTCTTGGTGGCCAGACTGAGGGCCATGGTGGATAATCTAATTGCTGAAAAGGTGGAAAATCCGGGGCTCGATTTGGCGGGGAGCAAGACAATCAAGCTGGTGATTAAGATGATAGAGCTGGATGGACTGGATGCTTGAGATGGGAGCAGGGTAGAACATAGAAATACTTTGCTTAGAATCTACCAATGTTTCATGGCCAAGTTGAATTGAATATTATTTAACCGGACTGTGAGAACAAGGCGTGTCATAAAGATGAAAGACACACCAAAGAAGAAATTAAGTAGCAGTTTGTTATATCAATGGCATCGCTGGAGCCATTCCGTTCAGCACCTGCTAATGACGACCTCGTTACATAGGCAGTGAGCTGTGGTGGGGCTGCCAGATTCAGGCATTCCATGCAACTCACTCCATTTGCCACTTACTTCAACCTACTTCAAACTCACTTCAAATCCGACACAAACTGCTCTGCATTTTCCCTTTTTATTTCCGCTTCAGTTATTCTTTTCTTCTTCTTTCATAACTCACCTCGATCATGGCAGATTCAGACTCGGAAGAAGGATTGACAGGGGAAGAGATGCAGCAGCAGGAGGAAGTCGAGCCGCCGCCAAAACGAGCCAAGCAAGATGCCTGTACGTTCATCTCAAGCTTTCATCTCTTCACCATTCAACAATCATTGATACTGGAATTTGAATGACAAATTATTGCTTCAACTCTCAAAGAATAAAACAAAAACTTGAGAAAGCACCTAGCTAACCCAAAGCGCCACATGAAACCATCACCACATTCAGTCGCAAAACTCATGGCTCCCAAGCCAAAGCCCGCTCCAAAGCCTCCCGGCTCACGGCCTCACTTGTTCAAGAACCGCATGGCGCTGGGCGCATACATTGCCCATCCGGAATCGTATCCTGCGTCCGTCGTCATCTACCACAACGCAGACTTTGTCGTCATCCACGACAAGTTCCCCAAGGCGACGGTGCACACGCTGCTGCTGCCGCGGTCCGCCCGGCACAGCCTATTGCATCCCTTTGAGGCGCTGGAAGACGAGCAGTTTCTGGCCAAGGTGAGGATTGAAGTTGACAAGCTGAAGGTGCTTGCGGCGGGGGAGCTGCAGCGGCGATTGGGCATGTTTAGTCGGGCTGATGCCGCGAGGGAGGCGGTGCTGAATGGCGAGACGGAGGTGCTGGATGATGGGGAGCAAACAAAGGGCGAGACGGCAGCAACAACAGAAGATGGAGGACAAGACAAGGACAAACGTGACGGCCGTCGAGAGGAGCTAAGACTGCCGTTCGGAAGAGACTGGGCCGCCGAGATCAAGTGCGGCGTGCACGCAGTCCCCAGCATGGGCCACCTGCACATCCACGTCTTGTCGCGGGACATGCACTCGCCGGCCATGAAGCACCGCAAGCACTACAACTCGTTCAACACGCCGTTCCTGGTGGACGTGGCCGACTTTCCGCTCAAGGGCGCCGATCTCAGGAGGGGTTCGAGGGAAGAGGGGTTCATGAGGCGGGATCTGGTCTGCTGGCGGTGCGGGAAGAATTTTGGGAATCGGTTCAAGGAGTTGAAGGAGCATCTGGAGAGGGAGTTTGAGGAGTGGAAGAGGGAGTGATGTGATGATGGATAGGCAGGTATGGACAGTATCCATTCGACACGTAATTCATATATGATGCATGAATCCCTCAGAGATGCAAGTCCAAAAGTATGCAGAGAGAGAAACAAAGAGACAGAATATAAACCATTTGATGGTTATTTTCATCATCGTTGCGCACAGAAGTTAGTTTCATATGTGATGGATACTCGTGATAAGGCTCTGCATGCAGATGGAATAGATAGATGTAGCTGGCAGATATCCCGTCGCCTCATGCCAGGGCCCTCCCTCCTCATCCAGCTGAAAGCAAAGGTCGTCGTCAAATCCATTAATAATACAATTCGGAGCTCCCAAAAAACGCCCGCCGGTCCAAGTTGTTCTTCATCTCATCACCGCTTCGCTCTCTCTCTCTCTCTTGTATGTCAGCCCTGAGAATATCACCACTTCCTCCTCGCGGATGCCCTCTTTTTATTTCGGCCTCGTCATACGCACATACACACAAGCACAAAAAGCCATCCAAATTACAAAGAGCCCGACTCAGCTCAGTTCGCGCTCCAAACCGAGGCCTCATTCATCGTCATTGTCATAGTCCACCTGGTCCTCCTGTAACGAAGAAGAAGGAATATTGCAACCAGAATCAGCCAATCATGTTCTTGATACGTGAGAGCCACGCCGGTGATGTGAATGATGATGAAGGACCGACCTCGTATTCGGGAGACTGCTGCGGCGTGAGGGCCGATCTGGCCCCGGTGCGCGCATCACTTGCCACGTCTACAAGGGAGAATTGGGAATCGCGTGAGTGGTCCGTCTCTTTGATGATTTTGGAGATTTATGTGCTTTTGCGTTGGCGACGGTTGGACTTACCACCGATGCCTGGCTGATTACTGGCAGCGTCGTCCTCGGCCTCAGCCTCAACATTGGCCTCGGACTCTGCGGTCGCTGCCTGGTCGTCGTCGTCCTGGGTCTGCGTAACGTCCGACTTGCGCGGCCTGCCCCGACGCTTCTCGCCCGGCGCCAATGGCGGCAGCACCTTCTTGGCCGCCTTTGCCCTTGCCTGTGCTCCCTTCTTGCCGCTGCCCTTGGGCCTTCCTCGCGGCTTGCCGGTGGGCACATAGGGCTTTGCGGGGGATTTTGAGGTTACGCCCTTGGGCCGGCCGCGACCGCGACCCGGGGTCTTCTTCACGCCAGCATCTTCGGTGGCCTGGTGGGTGATGTCTGTGGATGCGTTGTTCGCCGCCTTGGCGTCCTCCTTGGTGCGCGCCATCGGGGGCCGTATGTTTGCTTTTCTTGCGACAGAAGAGATTGGGAACTGCGGAAAAAGGGGGTGCAGAGGTATTCGGGTCGTGGAACCTAGTTGCCACGGGAGGGAGATGAATTGCAATGTTTGTGAGGGTGCTTGGCTGGTTGGTTGGTTTGGTATGAGGAGAAGGAAAATAAAAGAAAAAAATTCTGGGGAAAAAAACGGGTGATGCTGAGATACGCGACTTTGTGCGTGACGAGAGACGGAACAAAAAAGACTAGGGACAGGCGGGTCAGCTGCGGTGGACGGAGCCAGATTTCTGGGGAAGGGAGCCAGCTCAAACGCGTAAAAGTACCTTTTTTTGTTTTCTCCAAATCACCCCTTCTGCACGTAATTGTGGTGACAAAATTAGCTGGACGAGCTTGTTGTTGTGGTTGCAGAGAGATGAACGCGATATTATGGCCGGGTAAAGCTGTTTTGCCCAGCTGGACTTAGCTAAGCAGCCATGCTATGTCAGCACTGAGCAGTGTGCCAATATATTGCACGCCACAGTTGCGCACAATGCGCCACCACAGCCACCAGCGCCTGGGCGGGCTTGTTTACCCCGGCAACCGCCGCCCAGCACCGCTTCGGGCAAGAGCGAGTAAACAACACCGCACCACCCTGGATAGCGACAACGGCCGACTAATGTAGCACATTCTTCGCCTCCGCCTCCACGAGAGCTTCCATAGCATCACTGAGACATTGCGCACAATGGCTCTCGACGACCGATTTATGCCCTCGCCGTCGCCGGCCCCCGAGGTGCGCTTCATGGCCTCCTCGGCCTCGACGCCTTCGCTGCGGTCGCGGGATGTCGATGTCACCACCATGCCTGCCATGTCGAGAATGGATCGCGGCGGCAACGTCAAGGTTGTCGTCCGCCTGCGGGCGTTTCTAGAGCGAGGTACTTACTATATTGCTTTCTTGCGATATCATTGTGCCAGAAACTACAGCAAAAGATGCAATGATAGACTGGACAGTTGCTGACATGGACAGACCTGGAACGAAATGCTCAATGCCTCGTGGACATGGACCCCGTCTCCCAAATCACCACCCTCAGAGCCCCCGAGCCAGAAGACGTCCGTCCTTCAAGCCCGACCAAATCCCGCAAAGTCACGGGCGACAAGAGCTTCGCCTTTGACAACTCCTTCTGGAGCCACGACCCCGACGACAAGGACTATGCCAACCAGGAAGACATATACAACAGCCTCGGCGAGGAGTTTCTCGATCACAACTTTGAGGGCTACCATACATGCATCTTCGCCTACGGCCAGACCGGCTCCGGAAAGAGCTACACCATGATGGGAACGCCCGAGAACCCGGGCCTGATTCCCCGGACCTGCGAGGACCTGTTTGAGCGCATCGAAGCCGCCCACAACGAAAACTCCAACGTCGCTTACAACGTCAGGGTCTCCTATTTCGAGGTCTACAACGAGCATGTCAGAGACCTCCTGGTGCCTGTCGTCCCCAACACTGCCGCCAACTATCTCAAGATCCGCGAATCGCCGACCGAAGGCCCATATGTCAAGGATCTCACCGAGGTGCCTGTGCGAAACATTCACGAAATCATGCGGTACATGAAGGTGGGCGACGCATCCCGCACCGTAGCGAGCACCAAGATGAACGACATCAGCAGCCGAAGCCACGCCGTCTTCACCATTATGCTGAAGCAGATCCACCACGACATGGAAACAGACGAGACCACGGAACGCAGCTCTCGCATTCGTCTGGTTGACCTGGCGGGTAGCGAGAGGGCAAAGACAACCGAGGCGACGGGAGCACGACTTCGAGAGGGTAGCAACATCAACAAGTCTCTCGCCACTCTGGGCCGGGTCATTGCGGCGCTGGCAGGACCCCCCAAGCAGCTTCGATCGGGCAAGAGAAAGGACGTTGTGCCCTATCGAGATTCCATCCTGACATGGCTGCTCAAGGACTCTCTCGGTGGCAACAGCAAGACGGCCATGATTGCCTGCATTGCCCCTGCCGACTACGACGAGACGCTTTCGACACTTCGCTACGCCGACCAAGCCAAACGCATTCGCACCCGCGCCAAGGTCAACCAAGACCACATCACTTCCGCCGAGCGCGATGCTCAGATTGCTGCCATGGCGCAAGAGATTCAAATGCTGCAGTTATCCGTCTCAGACTCCCGCCAGCGCGAAAAGAATGCTCAAGAGGCAGAAGAGCGCCTGGAAGAGTACCAGATCAGCGTCAGCGCCATGCAGCGCATGATGGAGGAGCGCAGCATGGTTGCGGAAAGCAAAATTAAGAAGCTGCAGACGGAGAACGAGGCCCTCAAGCTGCATCTCAAGCTGGCTATTGAGAGTCTCAAGAACCCCATCCCGGCGATTGAGCTTGACAAGGAGTCTTCAGACGATGAAGACTACGACTATGACTCGGAGAGTACGGCAGCAGATGACGAACTCCAACAGGAAATGGAGCGCTACTTGCAGGACATGGGCAATCTGCGCAAGCTTATTGGCGGCGATCTTACGAGATTCAAAGACAATGACAGCGTACGTATGCCTCTTGGCGGCTAACTGGCACCACGATGGTCAAGTTGACCTTGACTTGGGTTGCTAAACCGAGTTGGTGCAAGACAGGGGGGATGGGTTGTTAATTCTGCCACATACACAGCTGTATGTATGCGTATGAGCGATGGTGTTTTGGGAATAATTTTCTTTTTTTTTTTGCTTAATTTGAATTATCGATGAACGGCTGGATAGTTTGTTTGACTAGTTCAAGGAGAGATTCGTGTTTTTTTTTTTTTCCCCTTTTTCTTTTTCTTACGCCTTTTAGGTATTATTGGCGCGAAACAAATTCGTCAGCTCATGTCAATGAATGAAAGAGGCGTTAATCTATAGCTACGTCTAATTGAATCCAAGTACTACTATCTATGTTCTGCAGGAGGTCTGCCTCTTCTCTTGGCTACTCTTGGCCCTCATTTGGTTTCTCGCTTCCAACGCCGATGCCGAGGCCATCATTCACTTACTCCCTGTAGACATTGATGGAAATGACTTGACAACTCCAGCAGCCGGGACATGTCATCAATCAAAAATCAAGGCCGAAAGAGTTGAAACAGGCACCGCAGACATGAGACCACCCAAGGCCAAAGAACCGAAACAGAACGGAACAGAACAGATGAAACAAAATGGCAAGCCCTCCGCACCTGCGGCCTACGTGAAACAAAAGCACAGCCGGCAAACGACGCTGCCGAGCTGTCCAAGATGTTTCCGTGGTTGAGTGCGCATCCGACAAAGGAAAACGAGAAGAAAAGAGGGATGTCGATCACACAACTCCGCCGACGGGAGGATTTCCCGTCTCACGTTGTTTAGGCGGCTGCGTCAGGTGAAGCATGGAGAGAGAGCAAAAAGAGGACTGGACCCTTGTTTCCGATAGATTAGTGGCTAGGGACTAAGCCCAGGGGGAGAAAGAATACTACGGGTAGAAGAGTTGGGATAAGCTCAGCCAGTAGAGCCGCAACAGGCAAGAGACTTGGCTTTGAGAGGTCTGGCGTGATGAAAGAAATCATTTGAGCAATTAGAGCATCATCCTTTTTTGTTCAACTGGCGAGTCAGACGCGTTGCCGCCATCGACGGTGTTTCGAGAGGCGCCTGGATGCCCATCGAGCCACTAAGACGGCGCTGAACTGAAGACCCCCTCTTCGCTGCAAGGCCGCTGAACAGGCCGCTATGGCGTCCCCCCCCTGTAAAATCCGCCTCCCCTTCTAAAAGCTCAAGCTTTCAATTGGAGGCGGTATTTCTCTAGGCGAAGAAAGCCCCCCAGGAAGTGGATGCATGGTTTTTAGTGCTTGCTTGGGCCAGGACCAAAGTATCAAACCCCGCCACGACAAGGCTATGAGTGACACGCAGGAGGCCCTGTCCAGCTGTTACAACCTCGACAGTTGGTATAGATAATTGACGTATATCTGCTATTTAACGTCCTTTGGCATTCTGGTTGCTGGATAGGTAGACAGACAGACTGAGATATCTGTAGCCAGTTCTTTTGTTGCTGCTCTCTGTATTTTCTACTTCTTCTTTCACTCTTTCACTCTCTTTCGCTTTCGCTTTCGCTTTTTGCTGTCTGTCCCGCATCACCCCCCCAAAAGACAAACAACAACAAAACACCATGGCTGCAAGACCACAGCTCTTCACCCGCGGCCTGTCCGGCCTCGCGCAGAGCTCCAGCTCCAACGAGATCAGCTCCCCGGCCGAGCAGCGCGACGATGCCAAGAGCAACTTCTTCAAGTCGATGCGACCCCTGCCCACGCAGCACTACTGGGACGTCTATTTCGACAGGTTTGTTTCTCGCTCTCTCTCTCTCTCTCTCTCTCTCTCTCTCTCTCAGCCATGCGGGTGTGTAATCTGCTAACATTGGCTTTTCGTCTAGACAAGCCAAAGACCCCAAAGCCGGCGCCGGCGAGGGCGAATACACGGCCGAGCTCGAAAAGATTGGCACGCAGATCGAGTCGGTCCAGGACTTTTGGCGCTACAACAACAACACCCCCGTCGAGAACATCAAGATGCGCGAGTCAATATACCTCTTCAAGTCGGGCTTCCGGCCCATCTGGGAGGACCGCCGCAACATCAACGGCGGCAGCTGGACGTTTCGCGTGCCAAAGGCCATTGGGCCCGATTTCTGGACGCGCATCCAGCTGCTGGCCATTGGCGAGAAGCTCCAGAGCGTCATTGACGAGGGTGCGTTTATATATATTACTAAAAGCAGGATTTAAAGAAAGGGAAAGAAAAAAAAAAGAAAAAAACTAACTATTTCGTTGCGCAGCCGACCAAATCTGCGGCGTCGGCCTCTCCGTCCGCTTCAACTCCCACCTCGTCACCGTCTGGCACCGCGACTCGTCCAAGCAAAACTCCGTCGACGCCCTCATCGCCTGCATCCTCGAGGACCTGCCCGCCGAGCTGCAGCCCAAGCCCGACAACTACTTTTACAAGAAGCACTCGGACCACGCGGGCTTCAAGGCCCCGCCCGAGCTGCAGGCCGTGCTGGACACCCAGAAGCGCAATGCTGCTGTTGCTGCTGCTGCGAATGCCGCTGCTGCTGCAGAGTCTTCTTCGCCTGCCGCTTCGGCTTCTGCTCCTGCGGTGACGATTGCGTCTCCTCAGTAGAGGAAATCCCCCCCCTTTTTTTTTTTATTCTCTGAAAGCTGACGCCTCTTCTTTTGCTGCAATGAGCAAGCGGCGTGTGTGTCTGTCCATTACTCAATTTTTTTTTTAATGCGATGTAGTCTTCAACGTCACAGAGAGTCTCGTCTTGACTTTTTTACAATTACATACTCGAATCATCTTGGGCATGATAATGGCGTTTTTGTTTCATGGGGCTTTCTTTACTATATCTGTTTCAAACATTCCTACCTACCTAGTTACTCTTGGGCATATATACATCACTCTGTCTCTATATAGAAAGCGTTTTGTCACATCTGTCGTTAGATTCCGCTCTGATTTGAATTGTAGATAGAGCACAGCTGTGTTATGAAATACAATATACGTGTCCGCCTGTCAAGACTTGTATCAGTGTCGTATCAACCATATTCCACGGGTGAACTATAGTACTGTATTTTATATACTTTGGCCTTTCCTTATTGTATAAAACATGGCATCTAAGGAATATTTTTGGTCCTTTGCAGAGCCCAAATTGCTTGTTTAAGAAGTATTGAGCAAACACATGTACTCAGCTTAAACAATCGCGTATAGGTGGAAAAAAAAGAAAAAAGGTCTAGCCACTCCCAGCGCCTCGCAAAAGCCAAGTAGAATAGGAAAAGAAATCCAAAAGCTTGCTATCCGCCAAATCGTCAATGCCAAAAAAAAAAAAAAGGTACCCCGTCGTCCTCTTTGTTATAAGATAAAGAAGTCGTAAAAGCGCCGTCACCGCCACACTCCAGCGTTCCTCATCACGCCATCAAACTCATCCAGCTCCACGCCCCTCGCAACGCCCACGCCGCCATTCGCCTCGAGGATCATGTCCTTGAGCAGCTCCTCGTCCACGTCCTCCTTGAGCACGGCGGCGACGCGGCGCAGGTGGGCCAGCGTGATGGGGCCGTCGTGGCCGTTTGTGAAGAGCTGGAAGGCCTCGACGAGCTCCTCGCGGTGGTGGGCGTCGGTGTCGTCCTCGCGCGCGTGGAACTTGAGGGCGCAGATGGCGAAGAAGGGCTCGTAGGTGGCGTAGCCGTCGTTGTCGGGGTCGAGGATGGAGATGAATTCGTGGAGCTCGGCGGGCGAGGACGGGGGGATTCCGAGGGCTCTGGAGGAAGATCTATGGTGAGTATTCTTGATCTCTTTTTTTTTTTGGCGCTGCTGAAAGGTATATATATGCATATCTATAATGATATATATCCACATCTTCGGGGGGGGTAGGGGGCTGCTTTACATGAGCGCCGATTTGACATCGTTAATGGGCAAGACGCCGTTCTTCTCGCCGTCCATGGGCTCCGCAAACAGGCCAAAGGCTTCCTTAATCTCGCCTTCCTCTTGCGCAGAGACATTGTGTTCCTTGGCGAGCTTCGACTGGCGCGGCTTGGGCGCGGTGGAGGGACCGCCGGCTTTGCGCTTCGGAGGCTGTTTTTCGTGGTAAGCTTTTTTTTTTTTTTTGGTGAGAAGACAAAAGGGTTTGTGGTGTGATTTTGGGTGAGTCGCAGACGGTGCTTACCATGTGGGTTTCTAATTATATAATTAATGTTTTGGCGCAGAAAACCCCTTAAGTTGGTTTGCAAAAGGATTCGATCAGAGAGAGCTTTTGCTATTGGGTGATTTAGGCTCGTTATTGCTGTGCAGATGAAAATGCACGTTGATGTCACTGGCGATGATAATGCACGGCGCGAGGCTAACGAGGATAGAAGAGACGTGAATACAATACAGTGCTGGGTGCGACCAAATCCGTTGCTTATACTGTGGGTGCCACTTTTCGCTGCTTTAGATTGCTTGCGGTGCTGAAAAAATTCTCTACACCTCACATCTCTTTCTCGTCTCTCAATCCACATGACACACGAAAAATTGTTTGTGATGTCGAGCCTGCGCAACATCCATGGCAATTAAATGCCAATACTGCGATAACTTTCATCAATCATGAGATATCGCAAGTACTTCGATCCGGCAGGATGATGTCGAGCCGAGAGAATTGGCTTCCCAAGCACCAACGCTCCAAGGAAATCCTCTTACAAAACGGCCCCATCACAAAGGTTTGTATACACAACGCCCAATCACACGTGATGTCCTTGTCTCTTCTAGAATAGCCGCTTCAAAATTTGCTAGAGCTTGCCGCCTCAGATGCCCAACAGCGCGCAAGTGTGGACAGTGAAGCAAGAGTAAAAAACGCAATCAAGTCATCACTTCTAACTGACGCGATTGTTCCGTGTTAACGAGCGGCATCACGCGCATTGTGCGCTGCATGCCAAGTGAATCATGGAGACATCCCTAAAGCTACTATCAAAAGTGTTTTTTTTTTTTTGTGTGAAAGTAAAAACTCCCTGTGTTAAGGCGAAAGTACCCGTCTGCGAGACTTGATTATATCTTTGCCTCCAAAGGCCTAGAAAGCGCGCAGCCGTTAGTCGCCAGTCCTCGTTCTCTTTTCACATGTTTTCTGTTTTTTTTTCTTTGTTTCCGTCTCACTTGAAGTTGTTCTTCATTTCCCTCAGCTTTCCCATAATGGACACGGGGTCCGTCTCGCCGGTAACCTTTTGAATCTCGGGATCCTACAAATCAAATGGTTTAGCTCATCCCTTCTCTCAAGAGATTTTGTGGAAACCACTGGACTTACGTTGACTCTCATAAAGACATTGTGCTTCTGTAATTTCATCATCAGTCTGCTGCCATCATCTTTCCCCTTTCGAACAATCACGTACCTTCTCATCACCAATCGTAAATTTGCCCGTTGTAACTTGGTTGTTCTCCGCAAACTCTTGGAGTGCCTTGATAGGCTCCGTCTGGGACACGGAAATGGTGAATCGGACGTTTGACTTTGTGTACTCGTGTCCGGGCTAGAATGAGTTTGCACATTCGTTAGCCCAAAACTCACCCACGTCTCCCCCCTTCATGCCAGAAGTAAACAGATTGGATGGTAATAAACGACTTACATAGACAACAGTGTCCTCTGGCAGCGCTCCAAGGCGGTTGTTCAGCGCCTCATGCATCTCCGCCGCATTGCCCTCGAAGAATTTACCACATCCTACCATCCAGTTGGTTTGTCAGTAAACGCACACCTCTTGTAATCCAGCACCACGATAACGTGCTTAGCGCTTTGAAATCATTCCGTACCGCTAACGAAAAGAGTATCACCAGTAAAGACTGCCTTGCCAGTCGAGTCCTCCATAAAATAGCAGATGCTATCCTGCGTGTGGCAAGGGGTATGGACGGCCCTAACAGAGATGTCACCGATCTGAAAGGTCTCTCCGTGCTGTGGCGTCTTGGTGACTCCCTCGCAGTCCTTGCCGCCGATGATGGTGAGCTTCTCATTGTTCAGCTCAGCAAGCTTGAGGCATTATATGTCAGCCAATTTCTTTTCAAAGGAACAAGGAAAACGTAGGAAACGCAGGATAGCATATACCAGCTTCTTGTTGCCTCCGGCATGATCCCAGTGGCTACAATTATTTACTTGCGTTAGATATCTGCATGATGCATGCCTGCTATTGCGAGGGACGCATACTGATGAGTATTGGCAATGGCCGTCAGGTTGATCTGGCCCGATGAAATGGCATCCTTTAGAATAGGAGCGACCCTAATCACACCAGTCAGTTTGCACCAATCCTCACACACTCGACTCCTTAGAGAAGCGACTCACTCTGGCGGGTTTGCAGGATCGATAATGACAGCATCCTTGGACTTGTCATCAACCACGAGATACGCATAGTTGTTGGAGCTCCCAACCCCTACCAAAGCCCATCAATTAGCTTTGAAGCCCTTTGGTATCACCGCCGAAATCATCTTCCTCGCAAGCTCCAAAAATTCCTTCAGGCGCGCCCGGCAGCAACAAACTTACACATGGGAATCGATTGAATATGCATCTTGCGTGAGTTGTTTATAAGCTGCGCAACGGGGTTAATCAGCAATGAGGGGCAAAGCTCCAGATAGGACTTATATCATCGCCCATGACATGTACGATCAAATCTTTGACTCACGGAAACGCCAAATCTCTGGGTGAGAAGCTGTCTGCGAGGCAGTATCAATCTATTCATAAGTGTGACAAAGTTGACGTTGACACCAGTGGTCGGTGTTTTTATACTTGAGGGGAAGAAGGTGCGAGAAGATCCAAGGTTTGGTCAAGAGGTTGCTTACGGCTCTTTTGTGAGTGAGCCCGTAAATGCGGAGGATCCATTTGCTGTCGTTAATAGCTGCCACGTGATTGGCTGCAGCTTCGATGCGCGAACCTAAAGAGAGCTGACGATACGCTGATGACAGAATTCGGAAGAGGTTCGGAAGCAGAAATTTGGAATCCTGCCTTTTTGTTCTTTCGCAGTGAAAATAAACAGCCTGGGTATCTTTATTTCTACGCCTCTAATACAGCAACTGTTACACCGTACAAATCACACTACACCAATTGGCTTCGGTCTCCAGGCGCCGCTATATTGAGACCATCCCGTGTCCGGCTCCGAGCCACGGTCCGGCTCTTGCTCTTGCTCCTGCTCTTGCTCCGGCATCCCGCCCACTTTCGGATCCGGGTGATTCGCCTCTTCAGCCGTCATGGCTGCCATGTCTTTGGACAGCTTCAAGCACTTGAGAAACACTTGATTTCCCGGCAGCGTCCGCTGCAGCTCTGCAATCGTCTTCTGCAAGTATTCGAGGTCCCACCGGCGCAGCTGCCTCATAACCCTGTGCCTCGACGCCTCGTCGTCCCCTCGAAGATACGACAGCACAAGCTCTCTGCACGGATCCTTGGCCTTTTCTGCCTCGCCGAGGTGTTTCCAGTAATAGTCCCAGATCCAAACGAGAGCCTTTCTTGCAGCGGACCGCAGCTTGGCCAGCGACGGCAGCTGCTCATGCGTGGCTTGGTGCCTAAGCTCTACAAAGGTTGCCGGCAGGCCAATGTTCTTGGCGATGGAGTACATGCTCTGCTTGCGCAGCTTGTCTTGATGCCCGTCCAACAAGCCAGTGACAAAGCTGACAGCATATCAATTAGCGTCATTCTCCCTCGTGCTACAGATGTGTTTTTTTTTGCATGGCCATGTGAAAGGAGGAGCGAAAGGCGGTAACCATCACACCATCTCAATGCCGTGCTGCCTTGGACGGGAACTTCCCAAACATCGACATCGATGACGTCCGTGGCCGCATATCATATCATATCCATGCAGGCGATGGGTCCCCATCTTCTTCTGTTCCTTGGATTTCCTCATCCAACACTTTTCCCTCTTAGAGATTCCAGGCTGTCTGCAGGCCGCTCATCCCCGATGCATGCCCTGCCTTGCCCATGCCGCCAGAGAAAAGAAGAAAGGCAAAAGCGAAGAAGAGCAACAACCAAAAAAAAAAGCAGGGACAGGCAAAGCTGCCCCCGGCCAGAAACTTACCGACTAAACGCAGCTGCATATGCAGCCCTCACAGCATACGTCGATGCTCCTGCATTGCCCGCGGCCGCGGCCTCGTCGCTCAGGACCGCAGCCATGAGCAGTGCCGTCGACTCCACCATGTGCGGACAGTTGCCGCGCTGCATCCACATGGAGACGCGCCCCACGGCCTTGTGCTGCTCGTCCCGGTCTCCCTGCTCTCGTGATGAAGCCTGGCAGTCATTGGCCGCAGCAGTAGTGCGCCCTGCATCCCCCTGATTCAAGCGATCCAAGCCCTCCCCCTCCCTCTTGTCCTCAGCATATGCATCTCTGTAAGCTGCCTCCTCGACCCGACGACCGCTCGCTCTGCCGCCCTGGATACGACTCGACGATGCCGCACCGCCAGCAGCATCAGCCCGCGTCAACGCCTCGGAGCCGTAGAATTGGTCCCGCACAAGGAGCAATTCCTGGCGGTCTCGCCAAGGCGTGAACACATACTGCACCATCAAAAGGCCAGCAGGGGGTGGCCCCAGGCACCAACGACGCGGGTTTAAGAAAAAAAGAAAAAGGAAAAGGAAAAAAAAGAAGTTAGTGGAAGAGAGAAACGAATGGTGTGACGGCGAAAGAAGTGAAAAAAGGGCGTTTTCAGTTCACAAGCGTGCAAGACAGAAAAGATGATGCAAAAGCGGTGGACTGATTTGGTTTAGTGTTTGCGGTGGAGGCAGGCGATCGAATGCGCAAATTGAATTGTTTACCTATAAAAAGCTGCTCGAGGCTTTTCCCAACTTGGCAATAAAATCTACAACTGCCAACCCAATAAGTTGAGTGAAGGAGCAGATGCTGGGCAGAGCTGTTTCTTGTGAAAATAAATTCAATCAATATCAGAAATCAAGTTGGAAAACGGCAAATCAACTAAGCTGCTGCTAGCACTACTCGACACTCTCGCCGTCACCATCAATTAGTAATAAACTAGAGGACGAAAACCATTGTCATGTCGTGACTTTTACCCATTCCGTATCGCACTGCATGCAATAGGCTCAGTCACTTTTACACACCTCTCTCTCTCTTCAATATTTGTTTGCCACTTTACAAGTAGCATTTGCGTAGATACACCTCGGTAATCCCATGTCATGTCATCATCAACCTGTTCAGTCACCAGTACATGTAAAATCCAACTGACAAACGGTAGCACAATCATCCCACCGACACGACTGGGTCAAAAAAACGTAAACGACCCTGTTAACTCCGCATTAGAGTAGACAAATGGGATTCTTTTCCTTCATTGCCCCATGCATGGCAAATTTTTTTCTTCTTCTTTTCCCACTTGTTTTCCCCTCCCTTGCCCTGTAATTAACGAGCTTCCTCTTTTCAATTAGGCCAAGATCCAGCAAACAATTAGGAAAAAAAAAAAAAGAATAGCAGTAACAAGCCCAGCTAACTAATTAGCGAGGCCCACTTACGGCAGCCATTTCCAGCCGTCAAGAATGGGGCCTTTGCGATTCGTTGTGCTTCACCCGAGTCCTACAGCATGTACTGTAGTCTACATGGCACATAAAAAAGTTAGACTTGCCGTCATATTCTCTCTTCATCAGACCGCTTTCGGAAAGCCGCTTTAGTAATACAATTGCAGGACAAACGGTAAAAGCCGCCGATGGAGCCCTCTTCTGGAGGGCGTTGCTCAGTTATTAGGCTTACCGTACAGGTATGCTCGTGTGTCCTTGCAGCTGTTCATCACAAGCCATGCTCACGCTATCCAGAATCTACTCCGTGCTACAACATGCTAGTATTACTGCGACGTAGAAACTGTTCTTCATGCCCCATATACAGTACAAGGTAGGCCTACCTAGTTTTCTAAGGGGATCATCTCATCACTAACCCATCATCCTCGTTTCATTCTCAGTTCGCCTGGGGCTAATTGCAGCCGGTCATGCATATCCCACCCGGTCCTGGCGGATTACAAGCAACCAGCAAAGAGAGAGAAACGAAGGGGCCAAAGTAACGTAATAGTCCAACAGTATGGAGCTGCGTGCCTTGAAGATACTTGTATGTATCCAGCAGCTAGCATCGCCGGGACGTCTCCTGCACGTAACAAATCACGTACTCCATAGGGGGACCACTGCAAAGAGGCATTTTCCTTCCGGCATCCGGGGGGCCGCCGAGGTTCTCCATGCTCCAGATAAAAAAAAACCAAATGCAGGGTCGTGCTGCGGGAGGTAGGAGAACGGAAAAGCTGCAGTGTAAGTACGAAGTCGGTACTTACTCGCAGTAGCATGATGGAGCCTTTTGGCGGGCAACTCGAGTACATGTACATGTACATGGAATACTACTAGTACCTATACCATTATCGTAGCACTGCTCCAATCTGCATCAACCGGCCGCAGTGGACATTCGTCACAAGCCAGCGGACTTGACACAGCTCGGCGGTCGAGGCATGGAGATGAGCGGTGCTGTGACGAAAAGCCAACAGAACCAACACCATCAGCTGTTGCCTACTAAGGCTAATCCAGCCTCAGTCGCGCAAGCTGCGCTCCATATACGTGTATAAGGCAAGTCGGGGGGTTGCTAGTAGTAAATTGCTAACGCGAGACGCCCCCGTCCGTGTTAAACTCAGCTCTCAGCTCGCATCGTCACCAACGCCGGCAGCTCACTTACTCGTACAGTATGCGTGCCTCTAGTGCAGCAACAGACGCAAAACCCGGCAGCGTCGGGCTTGGACCCCCGAGTAATACTGCCTTGGAGCATCATATCCATCAGATCAGGCAAAAAATGGAAACGCCCCCCTTGATCTCCAACCTCGACCCTTCGGCCGTCATACAATCCGATCATGGCGTTAACCCCCACTCAAGAGTAAGGACAAGAAAAAAAGGCAAAAGGGCAAAAGAGTAAAAAGGACCGCCGGTTGCAGCCAGGGATGCGCCGGGTACAGAGGTCGGTACGACGAATCACAGCTGAAAAGGGCAATGGAACAAAACAAAATGCCACAATTACCGGCATCCAAAGCCCAGGCCCAACCCAGGTAGGGAACTGCATAATCTAGAGAAGAGAGGGAAAACCGCCTACAGGCATCATCTAGCTAGCACCTTGCTGTAATGCTTTACCGCCCAAGCCGCCCCCTCTAAACAAAAAAAAAATTAAACCCACTTGCAGGCGAGGAAAAAAAAAATAGAGGGCCAGTTAGTCTTGCTCCGTAGCACTCGGCGAAACGGGGGGCCACCTATTTCACGATTTTTAGCACTTGTTCAGGTATATGAGTATAGGTACTTTGCAGTAAGGGCCGTCCTCGAGATTTGGCTGGATTCCGTGCCTGCAAGATGATACCCGCCCTCTCAGTCCCGTTTGCTAAGCACTGCTTGTCGTTCCTTGGCTCTGATCCCCGCCCAAAAGCGAGATGGCATTCAGGAGACTCGTTAAAACGCCCCTCATCCACCTAGCAGTGGTAGTAGGTAGTAGGAGGATCTATTAGCATCCACATGCTGTGTAAGGAATAGAGGGATGGATGGATATTCAAGGGTTTCAAAGGAGAAGAAAAAAGAAGAGTAACATTGGCAGTGACGCCGAGCCGTGGCTCAGACAGCCCCAACAAAAGTAAGACCTCAACGGTATGCCGCAACGTTAGGGAGCCGAGGATAGAAAAAAAAAATCACAATCATATCATATCCGCCATTGCCGTAAAGACTGCGCAGTCGGAGTGCAGGCAATCAACAGCTTTCTCGTCCACTTTTCCATCTCTTGGGCACGACAAGGCTGGGATGAGGGGCACACAGTATGCACCACTTTGCCGTTTCAACTCGTCAGGCGTTCCTTGTGTGTCATTGCAGGCGCAGAGCAGCAACGCTCGTAAGTACGAGTACGTAATTCCAGGCTCCAATAAAAAAGAGAGAATAAAAACTTGGAAATGCGTCAAGCGCTGCCGCTAACACTCCAAAAGATTAAAGAAAGGAAAAAAGAAAATAGGAAAAAAAAGGGACTTAAAAAAGAGAGAGACTAAGAAGAAAAAAAGATGGGGAGTGCACATTAGCCCGGCTCGGATGAAAGGGGTGGGGTGGAGTAAGAAAGAAGGAAAGAGACAGAAGAGACAGAAGAGACAGAAGAGGGGTGGCTGCTAAAAGGGGACCGATGGGCAGGATGTGGGGAGCAGAAAACAGAAGAGGCCCATGCCCTTGGAAGAGCGCAAAGGCGAGAGAAAAAAGCAGGAGAAAACTGGAGATTTTTGGCCAGTCAGCAGGCGCCCCTCCTGAGTACAGCCTTCCAGAATGCAGCCGACCCCACTCCGGCCCACTCGCCGACGCATGTGCGACAGGGGTCCGCTAGCGGCTGTGTTAGCGGCTCTGCTCGCCTGCTGGGGTTTTTTGGGTTTTTGGCGTGACGACGAGGCCTGTGTTGGTACATGTCACCGAACGCATGCTTGCACGCACAAAGGAGCATCAAGGCTCAACCTTGGTAGTGGTGCTCAACCGGCTGGATTAGAGCGTGTGGCGTTGTCTGCTGCCCTGCACGGACAACGACATTGCTGGTTACAAGGTACCTACCTGCCTTGTAGCACCGTAGCTCCTGGCCCCCTCCCGCATTGTCACCACAGCTTCCGAGTGATCAGTCTTCCTTACATGTCATACGCACTTATTGCAAACGGAGGCATCTCGTTTGTGGCATTAATGCTTGTTATGCTAAAGTCTGCGTGGCGTGAGCCAGAGGAGCTGCTAAGCTCCTTCGTGCTAATCAGGCACTTGTGTGCTCTCTTCTATGTACATGTATTTGCCCTCCAATATCCCATTCCCAGTCTTGAGGGTATTTTCCCTTGGTTCCAAAAATTCATCGCTATCCCAGGATCCATCCAATAGTACACATGCTTGGTTTGCTCATCTAGAGCTTCCGCTAAAAATACAACAAGTGAAAATCGTAGAAATCCGTATCTGTGTAGATTCCCACATATATCCCTTCCGTGAGTTGGCTCCCGCTAACAAAAAGAAAAAAAAAAAAGAAAACAAAGCTATTGCTCTTCCAAAACCTGTATCAAACCGTGGGTTGTCCATTATTGATCATAAATCTCGTATCGTAGTATGCTTAGCCTCATATGCATTTAATTATCGTCATCTTCTTCCTCTTCGTCTTCCTCTTCCTCTTCATCGTCTTCGTCATCAGACTTTGGAGGTTCCCAAGTCTCTTCCAGCTTCAAGCCCTTGCCGGTAGGCTCTTGATGCTTGAAGGAAGATCCAAGGAGAGATGATACCGTAGAGCGATAGTTGTTCAGGTGCGGGTCATCTTCGTATTTGCCAGGTGTATCATAGAGTCCCATTCCAATGAGGATTTCTCCCTCTTCTTCAGAATCATCCAAGGTTTGAATAGCTGCCTCGGGGACATCCGCTTGGGGCTGTTGTGCGGAAGGGAGGAAAGAATCAGGTGTAGGTGGAGAGGTCTCGCTGAAGCCTTGGTAGATGTAGCTGTTCCAGTTCAGGGCATTGGTAGGGGACCTCTCGTTGATAGCGCCGTTGAAAAACTGATTATCAGCCAGAGTGTGATAGTATGGAGCCGACTGGTTCGCTGTCTGCTGCCACTCATCAGCCGAGGCGGTGGCCATGACCTCTGTAGATTGGTAGGGCAGCGGCAGCGGAGAAAAGTTTGATGATGGCGAGGTGCTGTTTGAGTAAGATGCCATTGGAGGGGATGGCTGGAAGGCGGTATGGTACCCCTGTTGCATGGCCGGGTATTCATAAAACGTCTGCTGTGGAAGGTATTCAACCTGAGGTGTTTGCAGGTGAGTTGATGGATGCCAGCTGACAGGCCGTGATTGCCTTCTTGGCACAAACGATTCGGTGTTTTGTGTTGACGAAATGTATTCCAGGACTTGCTGTTGTCTTCTCGCTGCCTGAGAATCGTTGATGATCGTGCGCCTTCTTGAATTGGCGGCGGACGATCGTGGGCTGGTGCTGGTGCTTGAAGGCTTGACAACTCGGAGAGACGAGCCCGCAGATGCTCGGGATAGCCTCTGGGTGACTTGTGATAGAGCCATTTGAGTGTTGTGTGTGTTGTCGTAGAATCTGTCGTATGGATATGAGTGGAAAGGCTCAGCAGCCAACGCTCCCCCATAGGATGAGTGCAACATGTTGACGTGGTTGGATTGCTGGTTGGGTGTGTTGAAGACAAGACTGCAAGTGTAGCTGATTGAATGTCAAAGGATGATTATCGAGTATAATATGATGACAGTACTGGAGGATAATAGAGTAGATGAATCGTAGAATGGAAGAATCGTAGCCTGATGAAGAGCTAGCTATGATGATATATAAGAGGTCAGAGATGATATACTGCAGGCACTCCGGGTGAGAAGGAAACTATTAACACAAACCCAAACACTAATAGCCAACTCCGTATTAATATGGGGTGGTTCCCAAGGGGGTGAGGGGTGTGGACATCTGAGGGATCAGAGTGGCACTAACAAGCGACCCAGCTCTGGTAAGGATGGCTTGAAGGATAAATCACGGCCAAGGGAATGGCAATGCATGGGTCTGGCACACTGCTACTGTCCGAACCAGATCCAACCGACTATGGATCTGGAAGTGGACCAACGAGACAGCGGTTCAGAGGGCAAATGGCCACTACCAAGTGGACTATGGTGATATGTTCCTCAGACTGGCCCTAGTGCCACCAGCACTAGCGTTGCCTCTCCGTAGAGTAGCAGTAGGCGACATGGGACGTTTCTTTTTTGGTATGACGACGACGGCACGGGCAAACGTGCGGGCTGCATGGAGATTAAACCAAGACTTGCTAGTGGGCATCCAGATCCCGGATTGTCTTTCCCTTGTACATGCGTGCATGCTTGATACCGTACCTAGCACCCAAGTAGTATTGCCGCACAGACCTTTTAACGTTCTTTCAAGACATTATCGGCCGGGATAGGAAGACAGCTTGCGAGCCGATGTGCTTTACAGACCTGTACCAGCAGTAAGACAAACATGCGCTCTTCGTTCCTTGGCTGGTACGTCATACGGGGCGAGCCAAGGGTGGTGTAAGGGTGTCTCATCGACCGGATCCTCAACCTCTAGCCGGCAAAGCAGAAACGAGGAACAGAAAGAGGGAATGGGGCGTTCATCATTAGCCACAGATAGTCATTGCTCTGGAGCGGCGGCGGCCGTGCCGGACGCAATAACGCGAAAGCGCTTAGAGAAGAGAAAGATGGAGCATGTGCGCTTGCAAAGTTCGTGAGAGACGCGGCCATCTGGTGAGAGAAGAAATGTACTTTGAAGATACGGGTACTTCCAAACTAGCGCATTTGTCCGTGAGCGACGGAGTATCCACCAGATTCAGGATACCTCGGTCTCGCGCGGCGGTACTCTGCGGTCACATACCAGCAAACCAGCCTGATCAAGGGATGGGCACTGGCTTTTGGCGAGATTGATGAGCAGTCCAAAGACTCGGTCCCTCGACAATCTCCAAATCTGCTGGCATCAGTGTCAGCAAGCGTTCAATGCTGCTGATACGTGGCACAACAACAAATATGCACGGATACTCGGACAGGTATTACCAAAGGAGTCAGGTGTAAGTGGCTTTGGACTAAAACACCCAGTGATGTGTAGAATTCGTAGCACATGCCTGTACCGTATAGAAGCCAGCAGCATCCCCAGCAGGGCTGATACTTGCAGATGATGGTGTGATAGTGCCAGTACAGCACAGTACAGGTACTCGTAGAAGTCTTACCCAGTGCACCTATTGCTGCTCCTCCGTACGAGCACAATGACTAGGATAGCAGGGCGCCAACGAAAACGGCTTGAGACAGGGATAGTCCGACGCTTGGGTCAAAACAGCCACCATTTGGGCTCTGTGCTTGCGCCGCCATGCTGGATGCCAGGGCAGGCCGCAGAGGCTCACGAGGAGGATGCCAATCAGCTGTATGGCCCCTGCCGCCCCACGTTGAAAGCGTAAAGGTCGCAGCAGAGAAGTGATGAAAAAACAAGAGCCCCCGTGGGGCCACTTTCGGTCGCTTCGTGGAAGGGATGGCGAAGGATTCAACTCGAACCCAAGGGGGTCCAAGTAATAACGGCCTGTCAGCGCAGCCAACCAGAGCCGGCCGTAGGGAGACCGGAGCGTCCGTTGCAGCTCAACTGGAGCGAAAGATTTCTGTTGCCAGGGCGTGCAAAGGGCCGGTGCACACCTTGTCCCCTAGTTCGCGGGCCCTTCACAAAGCCGTCCCTTGGCCTTGGAATGCTCGCTCCCCACTCACGACGTGGCGTTTGGTGGTGTTCCAAAATAGTGCGGAAGAGGCTGTCCACAAATCTCACCCACGCAGACGGAGTAGCTAGATGCACATCACGGTCCAGACAAAGTGATTGACATCCCCACATCTCGAGAACCCTTGCCTGGGCTGATGCAGGCACCCCGGGGCCTCGCTCGAATTTGCATCAGCAGCACGGAATGCTGCGCCGGCCGAGAGACAGCGAGGCGTCCATCTATCCAGAAACACGAACGAGCGGGTTGGAGAGACAAGACAGATCTCATCACTAGTTCATCGGTCGTTAACGACTGGCCAGCGTCTATGCCGGCCACATCATATTAGCGGTCCCTTCCGTCCAGCCGCTTACCATCTGTGCACCCATGGATGGGATGCTGCTAGCGTGCAAAAGCATGTATTCGTAATAAAACTCGCGGTGCTTTTTCCATATCTGCCGTTTGAGCAATCCGTAGATGTACAGTCAGACAAAGTCCATGACGCCAGCCCACAACAATTGCGTGGCTGCAGCAGCCAAGTGCAATCCTTGCTGGAGCCGACGGGCCCTGTCACGCCTGGCGCTCTCGTCGTCGCCGCTGTTGTTTCCATTGCCAGGGCAGCGTTGCCTGGCTGCTGCAAGTGTGCGGAATACAATACTTGTACATGCGTATGCCTGATTTCCGTGGCGTGCATGTATGTAGCATGCAGGCTGATGCATTCTGTAGCTGCTCAATCCTTTCGATGAGTGGGTGACTGGTGGAAAAAAAAAAAAAAAAAAAAACAGATCGGCTGTGGATATTGAAATCAGTTTAACATAAAACCTGGCACGCCAAAGCGAGAAACTGCCAGCACCACAGTACGCATGTAAGGAGAGAGGCAGCCGCAATTCACCGTCAATCTGATGGTCCGCGGTCGCCCTTGGCGTAGCAGGGCCGTCGGGGGCGATAGAAAGGAAAGAACAAGGCGGCTTCAGGCCCCCGCTAACTCGCGTTCGCGTATCAACGGCCGTCCAAGTGCGCAATATCTCGGGATGGGGGGGACGCAAAGGTAAAAGCTGCGGCTGCAGCAAAGCGCCATCCCTGGTTGACTGCGCGGCGCCAAAATCGCCACCGAGCCTTTTGGGCAGGGGACTCCGTGCTCGTAGCGCCCAGTACCGCCTAGGTACCCTCACTGGACGGGGCGGTGTATCGCTCACCGATGATACCGCTAGTTACCTCTCAATACCTACACAGCAGCATCCGGGCTTTTTCTGGCCAGCTGATACAAGGCTGTGGGCGCCTGTGAGAGAGCGCTAGATTACTCGTGCTTGTTCGGGCTAGCAGTAGCATTGATTGCGCTGGGAGCGGCTCGGGCTTTCGCCCACGGAGAAGCTGCTGGCGCTGCTTGCCCACAATTACCAGGTTCAGCCGCTACTCATCCAAGCGTTGAGTCTCATCCTGCATTGCCTGCTTTACGATACTCGCTAGCAAAAGCGCCGCTCAATATCCACTGTGTGCAAGACACTACCAACACTATTGCTTCTAGTCCTCTTATCCTCCTAGTTACTATTTCACATTTACAGTAATTGTGAGCTTCCCAGTCGATACGTCACCCTGGACTCCGAGGCCCCCCTGGGTCTCACCCATATTTCGGGATTCGCATGGTATCAAGGTAGGAATAAAGTACGAAAACGTCTGTGCTCGTTTACATTCAGTATTCGCTCAACGCCGTCTTCTTTGGTGCCAGCCTGCAATCTTGTAAGAACCCGAGTGTACCAGGCTCATGTCACGGCATCTGTCCCACCTTTGCTCAATTCTCTGCCTTCCGACCTGGTAAGTTTCTAGACTAGATACCTAGTACCTGGGAGGTAGTATCAGCGCATTGCGTGGCATGGAGCTTGTCCTCTGAATGTTCGGCACAAAGGCGGGGAGTGAGAGCGCCACTGACTATGGCTAGGTACTGCTACCGGCACTCGTACCAGTATGGCAAATGAAATGAATGATCCAGATTGCTCGTAGGGGCGCTCCACCCTGAACTGCCCAGTGCGAGCATGTTGGTCCGCTGTGCCAGCTCGCCAAGTTGCAAGTACAGTCTATCCCTGGAGCTCTGGCGTCGCTGATGTGGGAGGGATGGATGGATGGGAGACGGACAAATCAATGCCACAAGCGTAGCACAGGCACCAAGGTCCTAGTACGGAGGACCTGACACGCTCTCTGGATCCGCTAGCACCGCAAGCACTGCAGGCGCAGGTCGCCCAGACTGGCAGGCGGAGCGACTGGCCACCTTGAACCGTCTTCAGGTGACTCCAGCAGGGGATGGCGCTCGATGCTCGGCGCAGCAATGCCACTCTCCATATGACTAGCAGTGCTCGGACTGTACCCGTACTGTAACTCCTCCAGCTACGCTCATACTGTACTTGAGTGACCCTCGCTCGCCTGATGCAGCTGTCTGGGCACTACAGGTCCGCCACGCACTCCACCATGGCTGCTCCGTGGCCGTGCTTTGCCTTGCATTGCAAGTTCTCGTCTTCCTTGGATGTCATGTACATGCCGTATACAGTACTGTACAGCAGTGAAGCAGCTCCCACGTTGTATGGAGCACCTACCGTACCGCATGCATGGAGCGGCGTGGCCTTCTCCCCTGACTTACCAAGGACAGGTATCGTCGGGGCGATGAGATGCTTCTATGCTTGTATCAACAACCAGTCTGACTGCTTCTCGTTGGTTATAGGAACATGCCTTTTGGGCTACAGTCCTACATCGTGGCCAATAGCACAGACTCATGTCTGGCTTACCTCTCTGGTGGAACTTGCTGTGCGTACCAGACCAATAGGCGTCCCATCCGGACACAAGTTACAAGCAGCATCGTCCAAGCCCGCTGCTTTACGGATGGTCATGCTCCATAAGCAGAGAGATGGTGAAACTTGGTTGGATCAAGTAGGGAGTCATCCATACTTGGTACAGGCGGTCAACATCTCCAAATAGCAGGCAGGGGCAACGACGGCAAAGACCACACGAGCACTCCGCATTTGCACTCAATACTCGAACTCGATACCTTGCAAGTAGTGCTGCTAGCACCGGAATACCCATTGGGGACGCAACACCGCCGCATGCACACGAGAAACGACCTGGAGCTTCTGCTAGCACCGCAATTAGTGCAGTATCTACAAGTACATTCGACTGATACTGGCAGCATTGACGCCGGCTGGTGGAGTGTCTACCACTTCTCCTCAGGCACACGATCCATCCTGCTCCCCTGAGCGTCTAATCACCGGCCGTCTCCAAATTACTCGGCTTCCAATCATAAGACCTTGCCCGTGCCCTGCACATGCACGCTCAGAGATGGGGGACGCTTCTTTGTCAGTCAATGGCTGAATGGGCCTCAGCACGGCTTCTACTGTGAGGTAGACCCGACTGTAGGGAGCCAGCTCCACTGTGCGTTGGCGCCTGTAGCTGAAGTGGTGATGGACAGGTACAGTAGTAGCTCACTGCGGTCAACTTCATACCACAGCACGAGTATAGTGCAAAGAGCAGCGCTAGGCAATGCCTGCAGCGCCTTGGAGCCCATCGCCCGTTCGCCCTTTTGCGCGCCCATCAGGTCCAATCCTTCGCCAACGCGCCACCATCAGCTCCAGGTCCTGCAAGAGCCCTTCATCAAGAAAGGGCCCGGCCAGCATGTGATGAGTCCGCAATGGGCACTTTGATGGAAGCAATAGCGCTCAGGCAGCCCCGTTGCGTGCTGCAGAGCCCACGGCAATGCGGCTTGCCAGGACGGGCGCTGCGTGTCATGTGATCGCCTGTCGCGCAGGCCAGGGAAACACCAGAGTCGCATCTGCCCTGGGCATGGCGCTCCATCGTCAATCTTCGGTAGCCTTGCCAGGGTGTCGCCCCCAGCTACGGACTCCCAAACCTTAGAACCGAACCCCTCGCCGCGATTGTCCCACTCAGGCCTCCGGTGACTTGCAAGACTTCGGGCGGCTCTGGATCCACTGGCGCCGTGACCTGGCGGGCCGTGTCCTTGTCGCACAGGTGGGGTTGCAGAGGGCTGGCGTCGACGGCATGATGCCCCTTTTCCCTTTCAATCAGCGTTCCCTTTTTTCCTTTTCGTCGCGCCGCAGGAAATACGATGATCGGCATCAACTCGTTCACACCCCACCCTTGGCCAGGTCGAGACTGAGCCACCCTCCAGATGGGCTGTTGGCTGGCCGCCTGGCCGCCTGGTCGCCGCATAACCCTTTGACCCGTGGTCCGGTGGCGCACAACAGCAGACAGGATTCAGTCGTCTCTTGTGAGGACTGTCTCAGCGACGCGGTTGCACTGTACAGTCTCATCTCTCTAGACAGAGCCTGTGGCTAACCCCATCCCTAGACACCACCGGCTTTGTACCGCCGCGCGCCTACTTGGGCAGGGTTCGCCGGCCATGGTGATCATGATCCCTGGGCCAATGCTGGCCTCGGCTGCTCCAATAGCCTAGTGCTTGGCATGTTCTTTAACTTGTCGTTGCAGGCCTCTGGCTGCTTTCCATCCACCACAGCCCAATGCGGGCGTCAATGTCCCACGCAGCCATGTTTCAACCATGACAACTTTATTGCTCAGATCTCCACATGAGAACCAAAACATGCCAGACCACATTCGTTATGCCCGTCCAACCTGGGGGCATATACCAACCACTGATGAGCCGCTGAAAGACAAGGCATGGCTGCCTGTAAGCCACGTTTTGCGAAAATTAAAACACTCTCTGGTCGCTCGGTGTTCTACGCGGCGCAATTCTTTGACCTGATGCGGAATGATAGGGATGAGAAGCATGCTCTATCCCTGGCCTCATGGGATTACCCAGTACGGACTGCATGCCTCTGTTTCTTGATGCCGTCTACTGAAGGGCATACGCCATCTTCTCCGAACAAACTGTTGCATGCCCACCGCTAATAACCCTTACTTGTACACCGGCAGAAAGCAGTAGTGGTAGCAGCAGTATTACTGCTAGCGGTAGGCCGCTTACAAGTGCTCGAACTTGTACACACAACGACACTGTGACGGCTGCGGTGGCGCATATCAACTCTGCAGGCCAACCCGAATCCCGTCTTCCATCCCCCACCTGCTTTAAAGGCGCTTGCTGACATACTGCATGTATGTACGGCTTTAGTCCATGCAGCCAATTCCACTGACTCGAGCAGTGGTGCGCCTTGTTAATACCCTACAGCCTCCGTATTAGGATGGATTTGTGGCCGCACGTTGAGCTACGGTAGAATGATTCAACGATTCTTCATAAGCAGAGAGGGTAGAAGAATATACCAACGCTGGGTATGTATACTGGGCAGCTGTTTGATCGTGTTCAACAGATGTTCTAAGCCAAATGTGCTAATTACCGCCCTCTGCTAGGTGCATACATACTGGTGGCTGGCAACACGTTATCAGATTTCACAGCTACAGTACCTATGCATGGTAGCCATGGCGCTGGGAGCTTTTTGCAAGCGGTTGGCTCACAGCTATCAAATGTAAGACGCCACCTTGGACTGTGTGTGTCAGTCAAGCCCAGAGCGCAAGTTGGCGTGGTCTCCGAATCGTTCGCACTTCCCCACAGCGATAGCGTACAGTATCCAACAAATATAGGTACCGCAGGCACAGCGCAAGACGCATGATTGCCTGAAAAGAAGAGGTCAAGGTTCAGCAGCCAGGCGTCAGCAAAGAGATGCCGAATTGGTGCCTGCCGAAGACAGGCGCAGCTAGTGCAACGAAACAGAGCATACCTGCTAGTATGTGTGTACTTGTATGGGGTACGAAGCACTTTCCACCATTTTACTACAAGCAGTAATAGTGGTGCTACTCCGGAGATTTCGCACTGATTACAGGTATGGTATTGATGGCTTCCCGGTCTCACAGGCATAACCTGGATCCTGGCTGAATGTGAACGCCACGCTTTCGCAACGGCTCTTCGCCTGAGTGCCTTGCAAATAGCCCCCGGATCAAGAGTCAGAGACGGATTAGTGCAAGTGCATGCCTCACCCGATACGAAACATTTTTGCGGCGCCGACTTACTTCCCCAGGCCGCCAATCTTTTCTTACCACGACGATTCTGTCGCATATGATAGAGGGCAGCGCTATCCATCGGCCCATGCTGTGGAAATCCTTCCGCGTAGAGTGGCATTTGCTATCTCGCTTTGAGACAACCTTGATGCTTCCCAGCTGACGGAGCCGGCAACGCAGGGATGATACAGTAGGCGAAAAGCTCCGGCTTTGAGAAGTTGTCACTTGGTGCCGCGCAAAGTGCTTTGTATGGAGCATCAATGATTTAGCGAACGGTCACATTGCTAGCGAGTGACCCAACGCCCGGCAGACTGCCAAGGAGAAACAGCAGCAATAGTCATGGTTGTACAAAGTATTGTATAGGTTGCTAGAAACACTAGCATTGCTCCGTGCGAAGCAGACCTTTTGGCTGTCATCCCAGTCACTCAGCTACCGCCTTGGCGCCGGGTGCTTTCCGACATCCCACCCGCTCTCTTTGGCCTGCGGCGATCGACGTGTATGTGATGCATGGGTATTTACCACCACTTGTAGTAGGTACTCCTGGTATCTATTGCATCACTTTACTTGGGCTTCGGACCTTTGTCTACGAGGAACCCCTCAGTAATTATACTATGGGTGTAGTGATTGAACGTTGCAGCCTCGATCACTATCATCTTGCTTGCCTCTTATAGCATGTCTCAATCTGAGTACATAACTCATAGCTGAGACAGCACGGACCGGATGATTCCAAAAAAGAAGAGAGAGAAACAGAAAAGAAAAAAAAGTCTAGTTGCTGCAACAACATTTCATTTCTCTGGAACAAGCTCACATCGAGGGGCCCTGCCAACAACAGCGGCGGCAGTACTAGCAGCGTGCAAGTACAAGTATGGAGAATGAGACTCTTTAGCTCTCATCCATCGTACGAGGAGGGCCTTTCCCTTGCTTTCTGGCAGAGCACTTAACGCGCCTGGAATGTTAGATTAAGAGCTCAGCCTAGGAACTGGTACCTGTACTGTATGTTACCGTGTGGCCCCCATCAACAAATCTTAGACAGACACCCCTCAGCCTCTACTGCTTGCCACCCCTTTTAAGATCTCCCCTGTGGCCCTGATTTGTCCGCTTCACTTGACGCCCGCAATAGCCACTGATCGTTTTCTCTAGGACATGGCGGCGACAGCACCGCTTGTTGGACTTTACGATGGCTCTGTGCGAGGCGCTTCGCACTCTATCTCGGACAGTATCACACCCTTGCACGGCTTTGCAGCGGATGCCTGCTCTTATAGGCAGCAGAGTCCAAGCCGGTATCGACAGGGCATTGTCGATGTACAAGTGGAAAGTGCCGTCTGCTGCACTCCCTTCTTTGCGGGAGTGATCTGGATTGGCTCACTTGGCTCTGGCTAGGCGCCTCGTCTGCTTCCCCAGTGGGTGTGGCATTAAGATTTAGGGCAGCCACAGGCTGATGTTCCCGATATAGCTTCTCGATCCTTTGCGTCTCATCCATCCACTACCCTTTCTTCGATGCTTGTCCCCCTCCAACTGAACAGCTTCCACGTCGATCTCGAGCACCCGGTGACGGATTTCGAGCGCTCGGCTTTCCGGTCCTTTGAACCATGGCCGCACCCTTTTCTTGCATCCACAGTCGGAAATTCCTCATTCGAGCAACGCCACCATCGTGTGCGACGGAGAGCTAGCAGCCTGCTTGTGTGTGACTATTGCCAGTGGTGGCGTCATATTTTACCTATAACATATAGGAGATTATGTGCTTTCTGCGTGCGAGGCTGTGGGCAAAATCTACCTACTTGTACTTGTAGGCACTGCAGCTGCAGGACTGCCCCATGCATACTACTTGTAAGTACATGGCACGCACACGAGAGGCCGTTGGCAGCCAGGCTCCAAGGGCGCACAGCAGTGGAGAGGGGGGGGAAGGGGCACGAAAACCACCAGCGGGTTGGTGACCAGCAGCTTGTTTGTACACAAGTATTACAGCATGCATGCGACCTGGAATGATATGCCTAGCGATGTGAGAGACCGGGGGGAGATTTTGCCTCACCAGCGACTGCAAGCTGCCCGACGCCAGCCCCACCAAGGCCATCAAGCCGAGACGCAGCTCCAGCTTTTGATTGTCTGCCCACAGTCAATCGCTAGGCTGTACAAGGACCCCTCGCTGGCACTGTCACTTTTTGCCCTTTTCTTGTTTGGCGTCGGATACTGCATTGAGATGGCACCTGCAAAGCCTCGCGTAGCCAATGGTGTACTTGGAGGTGCTCTCCGTACATGGTGGCTTTTTTTTTTTGTTCTTCTCTCTCATTTGACTCCGTTTTCGCTCTCCACTACGCAGACTCTTTCGTATACACGCCAGACCGTTTCACCGCCTCTTATTACCCCTTCCCTTGAGCATCACAACAGACACAAAGCCTCCGGCCTTGATAGGGTTTCCTGGCTGTCCTTGTCTAAGAAGCCGCCTTGTCGATTATTGCCCAGAACGGCATGTCCTCCTCTTTGATGGTACAGAAGAGGCATTCCAATAGTTTGTTGGTGATGTTGTGCTCAGATGATCCCTGCGTGGATGAATTAATATCACCTAGCCCTGGATGAGTGAGTGCAATGGCCAGCTCTTCTGACTGTTTGTTCTCGTCCCCGCCCACCATCTCTGGTGGCTGCTGCGAGTAGTATTGGCGCGACGCTATCTCAGGGCTGCGCATTTTTAGATAGAGCAGCAGTGTCGCTTCCTTGGCCGTCAAGAGACCACCCAGACCCGCCCTCTACTGTGTTAACTTAATTCTCAGTATCCGTACAGGGAGCAGACACAGGTGAGGGCCTGCTACGGTGAATGCTAAAATCGATGGGATCGATCAGGACGCATTGCCTACTAGCCAGTCGTGGACATCTGCGCCGAGCCCCTGAAACCCCTCCCTTTGGACCTTTGTCGTGGCCAGGTGGACGGCGAAGCTCAGCCCGTGGCTGACATGCCAGGTCTTGTTTCGACAGACCAGGCTGTAGAGCATTCCCGCTATGAAAGTATCACCCGCTCCTACCGAGCTAGACGAAGACGTGTCAGCTGCTGCGGTGCCTCAATGCTGCTCTGTGCTGCTAGCGGTGGTGGTGCTCCTCACAAAAGACTAGCAAGGTTGAGTCGCGATAATCGTGTCCAGCCAAATGGGGAGGACGGCACGGGAAAAAAAGAAACGAGAGGAAAGGGAACAAAAGGGCAATCAAAACGACCCTCGCCGGGTGTAACCTACTCGACGACAGTATCGGACTTTGCGCGGCTTTCCACGGGACAGTGGACGACCTGTTGTTTGGCGAGCTGGCACATGGCGGCTCCGTCTGCACCCCAAGTGCAGAAGGCAAGGGACCTATTGCGAGTCGCATCAGTCGAACGACCATCTCCTATCAGCGGCAAAAGACGAGGAAGAAGAAGAAGACGAAATGCACATTAGGCAAAATAGGTTGCAGCGCCCCCCCCAGTACATGTACATGTAGGCGGACCTTTCGTTGGAAGGGCATGCTTACGCTTTCTGCTGCTTCTCGCTCATGAGGCAAGATTCGGCAGACCCATGACCAGAGTTCTATGCAGATTAATCTGTCAGCCTTTTTTTTTTCTCTTTTTTCCGTATGCCTTGTCCTCACGGTCCAGATTTCTCTTCTCCTGAATTTCCGTCCTGGAGCCCCCTTTGGCAGGTAAGAGCCGGGGGGGGGGGGGGGGGGGGGGGAACACCAAGAAGAACTTTGCCCAGCTTCCTCTGTGGCGCAGTGTCACATACCTCTGCCCAGGACTTGGAATAGAAGACGACATTGGCCTCAGCTGCGAGCTCGCGAAGGCCGTCCCTCCCCGGCTTCTCGACTTCGATACTGACTTGCGCGTTTGGGAGCTTGTCACGTAGCGTGCGGACGCACTTTAACGTAGTGTGTGGAATGCGGCCCTGAGCTGGAGCTGTCAGACAAGGATTTGCTGCCAAGAGGGTGTCGCAGGATCAAATGCAGTGACGCTTCTCTTGCTTGAACCATCCATATGGCTGCTGCAACTACGGTCATTCGCGGCCGTCACTCGACCACGCAGTAGCAGCAGCAGCAGCAGCAGCAGCAGGGAGAGGAAAAGAAATAATTGATAAATGCACTCACTTCAAAGTGCCACCAAGTCTCGTCGTCGGGGCTGAACCTCTGCACGATGGCCTCGAACTCGGCGACTGTCATTTCTGGTAGGTCATTGTAGTTTACGAGCGTACGGCTTCCCGAATGCTCGCTACGGATGATGTAACTGCTGGCCGCTTCCGTGTACGTCTCTCGGTAAAGACTGTGCTCGAGACTTACGGGTGACGACTCACCAAATGAAGCCTTGATGCGCTGCGCGGCCGGCGATGATTTGCTCGGCAGAGGCGAGATCAGATACATGCGGATGGCATCTTGAGGCTGGACGAGCTGCTGAAGCACCTCGAGCGAGTTGGGGCAGTTGCCTCCCCGGCGAATGGTGAGGGTCGATGCGCGTAGCTTTTCGTCTTCTTCTGGGTAGTGCGGTACGCTGTTGGGGAAGAGTTAGTAAGAGTTGTGATGATTCATCGTCCATGGCCACGATGTTGCTCAGACGTTGTAGAAAGTTGGGCCTTGCCTCAAGATGGTATCTAGATAGCAGGCTCCGATCAGGATGAGATGCTTCATCGTGCCGGCGGAGCAAAGAGCTGCTATATCTTGTTCTTGACTATATCTCTATTCGTCTTGTTCTTTATTTGGCGTGTTTTTGTGTCCGTGAGACTGCTGCATGAGCTGGTGACATCAAAGTTGGGCATATGACAAGCAGTAGTAGCGGATTCTGAGGCTGAGAGGCTCTTGGTTCATGATCCACTCGCTGTATCAATGCAGAGTCAGCACAGTGATATATCTACATCGATTGTAGCTCTAGATACTTGCGTACTCGTTTCTACTTTTTTTCTTTTTCTGAGAGTGTTGCTCTATAACCGCGTATTGTGAGACCTGATCATGTGCGAATGAGCTTTGAGAAGCTTTGATGTGGCTGTTTGCGAGATCCGACTTCCGCCACTGATACCCTAATCATCTTACTTTTTTCATCTCATCTAGCCTCGGCCAGCTACCCGGGAGAGATTCCAGCTGTGCTCCAGAAGTACACGTAAAAATATATATTGGGCATCATATCTCTGTTGGTGATTGTATACTACAGCTAGCTTGTGACGATGCATCATGATGGAATGCAGCAGCGTTATTTGGGGTAAAACCCATGTAAACGCGACATCTTGACGTGTACATACAACGGTTTTGACGGGAACTTTATGCTCCACATTTCGGCTTAGCAGGTTCGGCATTCAGCTGAGAGCACTTGCTTCCGTCGATCCTCGGATCTCGTCCAGCATTTCTTACAAATGCAATGCCTATTCTCTCCCTTTGCTATCCATGCAATTGACAAATGAGAAGGAATCTCCATCGCCATCATCTAACCCGAGCGCACGATATCGACCGTTGCTTGTAGCACGGCATCCGGACAGTGGTGCTGCGACCCCGCGGTACCGATTTCAGCCATTACATCATGGGTCGCGAGCACGAAGAAGATGGGGCCAAGACAAGGCTCAAGCACATAACATTCGACCAGGCGAGCCTGGATGGGAGCGACGAGGACGATGGAGCTGTCGAGGTGAGTGCGAGGACGAACTACATTACCAGTCTCTTCTTTGTGCTGGGCGAAACCTCTGTCCGGGCACGTAAAGCTATGCCTCCGTCGCTAACTATTCCGAACATCACAGGTCACTTTCGACGCCGGAAGCCCATACCGGAGGAAAAGCTCGATGGTTTCGTCGGAAGCTCCTGCACCTGCGACGAAGCGCATGCAGCCGGGCCGACGAGCCGAGTGCGTGGTTCATCAATTGATCGAGGAGCAACGAAAGTCCAAGGAACGATCTGCTGGCAACTCCCCCAGCCGCGACCAGTATCATGCGCATCCGATATACTCGCAGTCACATAGAGACGACGACGCTGTCGATATCAGCAGTGAGAAGAACATGGACAGAATAGTCGATTCAAAGTGCCCTGTCGACAAGCAAAAGTGCCGTGCGGTCCTGGACACAAGTTGCTTGGATGCCGAAAACGAAATAGGACAGGTGGACCAGGAGGCGTGGACGAAGGAAATGACAAAGTCGGATTCCGAGGCGGAACCTCAACAGCAAAATGACCCTGTTCATAGTCGAATGTTGACGAAGAAGCAGCTGAGTGATATGGCTTGGGGGGTTCGCGAGCTGAGCAGGCGGCTGAGCAGCATGCGCATCCGCTTCCGAGTGAGGACCATCTTTCTTCTGACAAAGATTCACGACTCGGACTTGATTGTCAACACGAGGGCCCTGGCGCAGTGGTTGCTCGGCAAAGAGCGAGATGTCAAATACATTGTGTATGTAGAGAGACAGCTCAAGACCAACAAGAGGTTTGACGCGGCAAAGCTGATTGACGAGGTGGCTCACGAATATGCCAAGGACGGTAGCGTGACAGAGGACGCCGCTCGCGAAGGCGTCCAGAGGCGCCTCCGGTACTGGGACGAGTCCATGTGCAGAACGCGACCCCATTCGTTTGACTTTGTCATTACCCTCGGAGGAGACGGAACGGTTCTGTTCGCGAGCTGGCTCTTCCAGAGGATCGTGCCGCCGGTGCTGAGCTTTTCGCTGGGCAGTCTCGGATTCCTGACCAAGTTTGAATTTGAAGACTACAAGCCAATCCTCAACTCTGCCTTTTCAAAGGGCGTGACGGTCAGCCTAAGGCTTCGGTTCGAGTGCACGATCATGAGGAGCGTGCGTAAGAGGCTCTCGGAGTCGGAGTCTGACGAGGATGATGACGAGTTGCACTACCGGCGGGATCTGGTGGAAGAGCTGATTGGCGAGGAGAATGAGGATGAGCATACGCATAAACCAGAGGGGACGTTTGAGATTTTGAATGAGCTGGTGGTTGACCGAGGTCCGAATCCAAGTGAGTTTTTGCCTCCTTTATTTTCTTCTCTTTATCGTATGTTGCCATTTTATTGCACCGTTATCGAAAACTGCGGTTTGCTGACCTGAGGTATCTTCACCCCTTTCTCCTGTCTATAGCCATGTCTTTTACGGAAATCTTTGGAGATGACGAGCACTTCACTTCGGTGCTTGCAGATGGTATTTGCGTATCTACACCAACAGGTTCGACGGCTTATAACCTCGCCGCCGGGGGCTCCCTATGCCACCCCGAGAATCCCGTCATGCTCGTCACTTCCATCTGCGCCCATACACTGTCGTTTAGGCCAATCATCTTGCCTGACACGATTGTGCTGCGTGTCGGCGTGCCCTACAACGCGAGGACGGCCTCGTGGGCCAGCTTTGATGGACGCGAGCGAGTGGAACTGAACCCCGGCGACTACGTGACGGTCAGCGCGAGCAGATATCCCTTTGCGTCGGTCCAGGCAGAAGGGCGGAGGAGCGAAGATTGGATCAATAGCATCAGTGCCAAGCTGGGATGGAACACGAGGCAGAAGCAGAAGGGATTCAAGGAGTGGGATAAATGAAGAAAATGTTTATGGCTACTTGGGATATGCTAGGATACTAGGTACTGCATCTGCATTATATGCTGTTCTTGTCTTGTTTTGAATGATATAGGCGGGTTGTTATACGGAGTTTTGCAGTCACTACCACCAACTGCTTTTTGACGTTTGTATAATATTCAAGAAGAAAGAAAAAACAACAGTCTGTATATGAGTAGTAGGTTAGCTGCCAGTATATACCTACATGTATGCAATCAGATACTAGTAGCTGTATAGAAACATCACATCAATCTTGTTGTAGTATCCAAAGCGAGCACTTCCTTGCGCTGAAGAAGAGAAACCATGGCCCCGCCCCCACAGCGACCGTGGCGGGGCACATGGCCAATTTGTCGTGATATTGCAACCCCACGCTAATTAATGTCCAGCGCGCATCTCTCTTTTCAAAAAGTGGTTTGTTATTTTTCTAACTTTTGTGACTGCTTCAGTGATTTTTTTTGTGTGTCCGTTGGAATACAGTTCAATCGATTCAATTGGACTCTAGCACTTGTTTTTTGATTCCTCATTAGCGTCGTCAGCATCAGCATCAGCATCGTCCAGCTCTTTAGTGCTGAAAACCCCAAGTTTTTCTTCAACTCCCAACTTGAAGCACAACCCGAGAGAACAAAAAACAACAACAACAACAAACCGCAAAAATGGCCTCGTCCCTCCCGCCCGACCTCTTTGACCAAACCACAATCATCTCCCTCCTCTCGACCCTCGCCATCGTCCTCGTCGCCTACGCCACGTCGCGCCTCGTCCTCCCCCGCGCCACAACCTCCGCCACGCTGCGCTTCCTCTTCATCTGGCACCTCGCCGACGCGCTCTGCCACTTCATCCTCGAGGGCAGCTTCCTGTACCACTGCTTCTACTCCTTCATTCCCGCGGCTGAAGCGGCGGGCAAGGACCTGGTGCCCACGCCGTATAATTTCCTCGGATTGGGGGATAGCAGGGTCTATGGCCCGCAGAGCGGCGGGGATAATCCGTTTGCGCAGCTGTGGATGGTGTATGCGCGGGCGGATAAGAGATGGGCGGGAGCTGATCTGGTGAGTCTTGTGCTCTGCTGAAACATTTGATATGGATTGTTTGCCAACTGAACTATGAAACAGGGCGTCATCAGTCTCGAGCTTTTGACCGTCTTCTTTGATGGACCCCTGGCGGTGTACATCTGCTACCTGATTGCAAAGGGAAACCCCAAGGCTAGCATCTGGATGATTGTCCTGGCGACTTGTGAGCTCTACGGAGGTACGTGCGCTGTGTAATCATCCTTTGGAGAGATGGTAGACGATGCTAATGAGGACTCGACGCTAGGTTTCATGACTTTCTGCCCCGAGTGGCTCACCGGCAACATCAACCTCGACGGCAGCAACTTCATGTACATGTGGGTGTACCTGGTCTTCTTCAATATGCTGTGGGTCTTTATCCCGCTGTATGCGGTTTGGTACTCGATCAACGACATCTCAAACGCCTTTGTTGTGCGACAGGCTGTCAGAAGGACGGCGAATAAAAAATTCGATTGATATCAACAGTCGCGTAGGTATATATTCTGTGATTTGGGATTAGGAACTGTATCTCACAAGAGATGGAAACTCTGTGATTTGAATTGTGTGACCGAGATACAGGATATATAGTGTTCAAAAGGTAGAAATGAGATCAATTTACAAACAAGTATCGCGTCGAATGTCACAGTCACAGGAAATGTTCAAGGCAAAGATGTAGGTCCCAAATTGTATTATTGAGCTATGACGGGGTATCGATATTCATGTCGCGTAGACACTCAGCTGCGGAGTTGTTCCATCCTGTGTAATTCCACCACAGTTGCTCTCATGGTCGTGGCTGTTTAGATAGCCTGCTTGTGGGCCTCGCCCTTGGCGTCGTGCTTGCTCTCGTCCAACTTGTTGCCCAGAGCGTCCTTGGCAGCGGAGGCGCTGTGAAGAGAATTGTCAGTCCGTGTCGTACCATTACTAGATGATGAAGAAGCTTACCGAGTGCCGACGGGGGCATCAGAGTCCTTGGCGACCTGCTTGTTGGCCTCCTTCTCGGTGCCAGTAGTAGCCTGCTGGACCTTCTCGGAAACGTAGTTGGCACCCTGCTTGATGGAATCCATTGTGATGGTTTGTTTGGTTTGTTTTGATTTGGTGTGGAAAGTTTAGAGGTGTGTTGAATTGAGGTTGTGATGAGATTGTGATGAAGAAAGATTAAGTTGAGAGATGGGGGGACGGAAGAGTTTATATAGACCTGAGGAGAGCGGAAAGGCCAACGAGCCACACGCCTAGAATAGCTTTGACATGGCATTCACTCTTTCCCCATGCATGTGAAGCAGGAACATGGCGTCATCGAATACGTATTCCCCCTCCAAAGCTTGGTGAACAACTGCAAGCAAGATGGAGTTGATGTAGAGCCGCTGCCTTGATGGCGGGGCAGGTACTTGTGAGCTTTGCTGCTTGAACCCCGATTGACTTCAGATCACGGTGGGTTCTTGCCTGGAGAGCATGTAACACTCGCTTCCATCATGAATCATTGAGCGTAGATACCCGCTTTGCGCCGCACAGGCTGCCTTCTCATACGCAACACGCAACACTGAGTGAATACAGGGCGTTTTGGGTAGCTGTTGGTGAATATGAATGACATCACGACGAAGAGGGCAAAACGTCACTGCTCGTGTGAGCTGCCGAGTAAGTCGAGGTCTGTCTCCATCTGCCTGCGAACAGCCTGCATGCTGTACTCAAGCTTATTTCTCTCCATACAGCGGAAAGCGGGTCAAATCATCAAACGCGCAATGGGTCGAATCGAGTGCCATGCAAGCTGCGAGCAGATTAAATGAGAGATGTGGCTTGTGGCTTGTGGCGGCTCCATTCAAGCAGCGATTCGAGCTCTGTCAGTGGACGCCGCCACGTGTGGCGCCTGCAGTTGGAGCTGCGGGATGTCGAGATGTGGGGCCACCGCAGTGGATGACGTCGTCGTGGCATAATCGCTACGATGGGCTTTCCTCTGTGAGATCGAAACTCGTCTGCGCTTTCTGTGTTTGCTGGGTCCGCTGATGCTCGCATCGAGATCTGCAGGACCCGGCCGGAATGTTCACTCCGGAGCATCCAAAGCGCAGCGCATCGGTTCTACGAGGCCTTGGCTCTTGAAGCTTGTTTGCAAGTTTCTTTGTTTTTGCGGGCAGCTTTGGCAGAGGCTACAAGCGGGCTATCCTGGCTTGCTTGGCAAACTCTTGTGCAATCTCAATCTCATATTCACATGCTTGCCACACAGAAGACCCCGAAATTAGAGAAGGTAGAAGATGCCAGATAATCGTTTGCTACCGAGTGTTACTGAGTTTGGCAACCCATGACGCCACGATGCTCATCCTAACTCTTTGGAGAGGGGAAGCGCCCTGCTCTCGCTGTCGAGAGCCGATGGCTGACGAATTCCTTGCTGATGGAAACTCCGCACACGGAATCAGAGTCACGATGGCAAATGTCGGGTTTCAATTTTGGGATTCCGACAAAGTTGTCACGTGGATTGCCGCGGGAAGATTCTATCAACCTGTGTACACGGTTGTCGTCTTACCATCTGATGATGAGTGATTTAAGTGTAGCCTTTCGATGTCAAGTGGCATATTGGAGCGATAGATTCCGGCCTGGTGACTACCGTTCTTAGAAAGCAGACCATTGAAGAACATGGCCAAATTGACTCGGTTCTTAGTCAATACTTTTATTAGCTGCCGAGGACAGTGCTGGCCATTGGGAATCAAGAAATCGAGCTTCTAGAACCATGACAAGGGTGTGAGAAACAGAGAAGTGTCCGTGCGGATAGCTTCATGGCTTGGTCCAATGTGCACGAAGATGCCATCATTTCATCAGAGGCCTCGCCACTTTTGAACTTGGGAATGGCGATGGCCCATCTCCTGGGACAGATCTAGCCTTGCACCTGGTCCAAACGATGCGGATAATAACCTAGACCAGAGGCATGTAGTATCATGATAACCTGATGATAGATCGAGACTTGCTTCCAAGTTGCCAGATCTGGTATCTTATCAACGATAAAGAGAAGCAACTCATGCTCTACTCTGCTATTGGTGGTACGTCCATTCAACCCTCAGTAACAGAGTATACTAGACCCACTGGCTGCTCAGGCGATGGTCTCATTGTCACTTATCACATCGGCCTAGGTATTTACAAAGCCAAGGCTACTTAGATAAGCTTATGAAACCACCCAACACTGACAGTTCCAGCTTATCATCAGTGATGAATGCCATATCACCTGGAAAAATTGGCCAGTGGATTTTGTCATAAAAACTGCCCCATTGTTTACGTGGAAGAGTAGCCGGCTAACTTGTAATAGTAAGCATGCAGAAGGCTCACTGGCCAAGTTTTCAAGATTATTCGGTATTGCTCCTGTCAAATTGAAATCCAGATTCCACGCACGCGTAGTACAGGTATACAAGTCAACAACTGCTCACCACATTGGTCTCTGACTTTAATGTTATTTTCTTGTCCAAAAATGACCCGCAGCCATTGAGCCAGCTCCCGGCACCAGGGGTTCTCCGCCAACGACCCAAGCCATTTCGAGCATAGCGGCACTCCCGCGTCTTACCGCATCCGGGACCAATTCGGTGACTGCCTACGGCAATAGCTTCAACTCGTCGAACCTCTTACAAGGGCTCCTGACTTTTGAAACTCGAGTTTGTTCCACGTCTGCTTCAACCCCGCCGCTACCGGCCCTTGGGAAACCGCCATCACAGCTGACGCCAAGATGAATACGGGTAATGAGAGTGATGTCTTGGTGAGAAACGCGGCGATAAAGGAACATGTGGCAAAGCTTTGGAGGCGGCGACCGAATATGCCCTATTTGCGCTTCTCGGGTTATCTGGCTGACGCAGCTAAGAGACGCCACAGGGACTCGGTATAGACGGATTGTAATGTTATCCAGATGAAGGGGTCTGTTTCCTTCTTGGACGACTTCTTTTCATGCATCACATTAAAACCACTACTGCAGCAGTAGCAGCATCCCGTCAATAGTCCATATCAGGGCCTCATCTGAAAAAGGACGGCGTGAGGGCTTATTGAAAGCATGAGTCCGTAATCTCGACGGTCAATATACTTATTATTTTATCCCCCCCTGGCCAAGACGATGGCGTCAACTCCAAGTTGGTGTCGATTGAAACACAACACCCATGTCCCTCTGGAATCGGGCTGTGTCCCTGTATCCTTTCTCCCATGGCTCGTCCGGATCTCCATAACCCGGTATTCCTTGCTCTTGACTTGTTTCTTTGCCCCACAATGTTCTAACATCTCAATCTTCTCGCCTTTCCCTCTCTTTTCTCTCTTCTAGGTGTTTTCTCTTCTTACCTCTACCAGCTCTGGTAGCGATCCCTTGGCGTCAATCTGGAGTAGATTGTGTTTCTGCCACTTCCTTTCTTTCTATATTTTTTTTCCATTTCTTTTTCTTTTGTGTCGATTTTTCTTTCTTGTGGTTGTAGTCGTCTGGACGGCTGACACCACTACCGTTTTATACTTGGGTTATTTGAGTAGAGAGAAATTGGGAGCACTTGCAGGCATGCGGCTCTTACCTCTCTGAGCCTTTTTTTCTCTTTCACTTCTTTGCTCCGCAGGACGATAGCAACATTTTCTACTCTCGCCCCTCCCTATACGACGACAACACAACTCGACTGAAATAAAGAGTGTCGATGGCGATCTGAGGCGCGGCTCGCTGGGGGGCTTCGACGCCGGTGTTAGTTTCTACCAACTTTCTCTTCTCTCGCTACACAACGCAACTAGGGCCGTAAAGGGTCGACCAAGGCAACCATGGATGGCTGGAACATGTTATTTGAAGGACAAAATGGGGCGAATGGGGTATGGGCCAGGCAGACGGACGAAAGTGCGGCAGGATTCCCGTTCATGGACAATTCGACATCTTCAGTCATCAACAACCTCAAGTTCACCATTGCTAAGCAAGTTCGGTCTATGATTACTATCCTTGCTGGGTTTAATACTGCCATGGCTTTGATACTGGCAATCATCATCTTTCGGAATTGCTATAAAGCGACAAAGCAAAATGACCCGACTTTCCGTCTTCGGTATGTCTGCTTCTTCAGTTGCCACGGCAGATATATATGCTATACTTTGCTGACATCAAATTAGTAGTGCTTCCTTTTTCCACGTTATAGACGTATCGGAGATATTCCCGTTTGTCCTATCCATTGGCATAGCGGTACAGGGGATTATCTACATCGCTTGTCAGACCAAAGGCCTTGAAGGTTTGCTTATACTTGGATGCACGTCCATTTCTCAGGCCATGCTACCAGGTGAGTTTCTGGCGTTAGATACCACTCTGACCATCTTGTTAACCATTGCTACTAGCCCTATTTCTGGTACCGTATATCCAGCTTTTCTTTGGGCTGGAGACGGTTGTACAGGCGCTGAGGCCGCGGCCGTTTCCACGAACTTCTAAATGGGCCATATTTGCCTGTCTCTTCCTTGTTCTCATTGGAACATTGGCCATGTTCGTATTAACGCGCGTCATTGAGGCTCCCGATTTTTGCTATGCATCTCTCTTCTGGTTTGTCCAAACCTGGAGACTCGAATCAGCTATTCTCCTGACTACAATCGCTTGTATCTTGATCATTGGGGCTGTCATCATATTCGCTCGGCTACATCAAGGTGCTTCAGTTGGCCATGTTGAAAGGGCGGCCGCATCCAGAATGGTATACTATATGATTCTAGGCGCTATATTAAACGTATGTCCTCGCAACGAATCTTTTTCCCTTTCAAAGTGTGGCCGGCTAACAAAGAGAACACAGGGGTTGACGGCTCCCTACTTCTTCAGCATCTTGTCTCAAAACCCCATGGCATTAACGACTCTGCAATTGGATTTGAACATGGTCTCTTCGGTGGCGAGCAACGTGTCGGGAATCACCTTTGGCGCTCTCTATCTATTTCTTCGCTCCCGCAAGATGCAAAAGACTGGACCGCTTGGACATGTTGAGGTTGGTGGCCCACGAGAAAAGTCTATTGATTCTTGGCCTGGGTCGGACATTTTCAACAGGCAAATCGGACAGCCCGTCTCGCCGGCGAGAATAGTCCAATCGCGCGCAAGCACGACGAGGTCAGCAGCCAGCGAAGAAAAGAGAAGCATTGACGGACAAGGCACAACATTCCACGCAATATCTGACGGAGATGCTGCTGACGGCTTTGATTTGGTAAATGTGCCTTTGACGCCGGTTATGCCTCGAGCCCGGAAAGACTCTTATAGCTTGTTTCCAAACCAACGGGAAACGCTCGACATTAAATCCCAGAGCACCACTATTCTTCCCTCTACAACCTACTCGCCAACAAGAAGCAATAGCAACGAGGCACTGGGCAATCAGATGTTTGACTTTGAAGACCTGTTACCGCCGCCTACAATCCGCGTTTCAGGGGCTCCCAGACACAACCGCGACTCTTCTTTGGTCTCTGGTCTGACCGTCCAGATTGGCCTCAGAGTATCCAACCTCAGCGACGTGAACCGCCTAGAGGCCCCCTTTTTCTTTTCTCCCGAGGTGCCATTTTCACCAAATTCACAGAACTGGCCATTGGCTCCAGGGACGCCCACCGACCCCACGAACGGAGCCGCTTTTCGCCTCAATAGCATGGCTTTCAACGACGACAGGAGCAGCAATGTACCTCGTTCGCCCATCAGAGCAACTATCGAGGTGAGGCAGGATCAGGATCAAGACAAGCCAATCACCCTGAGCCCTACGGTGTACAGCCCAAACAAGCCGCCGACTCCGCCAGCAGCTGCGCATCACAGGGGCATGGCATCTACTCCGTCAACGCCAGGTGCTGCGAGAACTGATGAACGATATTCAGTAGGCACTGCTGAGTGGATATAAATGATGACTTGATTGTTCTTTTACGACTTTTGGCTGTGTTCATCATATTTCTCGGAATCGAGATACATTCTTCTTAGACATACACACACACACACACTCTCTCTCTCTCTCTCTCTCGATACCCCGATACGACTTACCATTTTCCTTTGCCTCTCACATCCTCCCCCCCCTTTCTTCTCTTTTCTTCATTTTGTCCTTCTGTGAGGGACGCTTTTTTCTTGACGGCTGTTGGAAATGGCAAGGGGACCATGTCATACAGGGTTAAATATGGTCTTTTCTAGCAAGCGAAGATGATGTATTTCTATATTTCCTTCTTATTTTTTTCCCTTCTTCTTCCTTCTCTTCTTCCACTCTTTCCCCCCATCGCTGGGACATGGGATATTCGACGTATGAAATGGGCTATTTTATGAACAACCAACATATAGAAGAAATAAAGCTTTAGACAAGTCAAGTCTGGGAAATTTTGTTATAACTGTCCGTGTCAAGTTTGCAGTTGCTGTTATTGTTCGTACCATGTAAAATGAGTTGCATCGCATAATTACGCATATCCGCTTTGCTGACATGGCTATCGTGATATTTATATGTTATACATGTTATTCGTAGATTTCGCCCCCTTTCTTCTTTTACTTTGCTTTTGCCGTCTTCTTCTCTTCCCACTTTTCCCATCCTGCCTGGCACATGTCCTCTTCCACCACCAGGTCGCGTATCCTCAGCATTCTCGCCGGTGGAAGCTCAATGCCCCAGGCCAGCCAACCCGTCCTTCTTAAAATCTCCGTCGCTACGAACCAGACCAGCGCAAACACAAAGCCAGCACTGACGCCAGCAGCCACTTGTGTCGTCGTATGGTAGTTTAGGTATATCCTGCTCCACGCCGTCGCCGCTGCCACAGCAACACCAGCAAGACTAACAGCCAGCCTCTCGACCAAAGTCCAAGGTCGACCGCCCTCCCATATCTTTGCCTTGCCCCGAGACGACAGCGGCTTGTGTCGCACCAGCAGGAACAAGGCAAGGGAGAGGCTCCAGAAGGCGACGAACTGGGCGTGCGAGCTGGGCATGCCGTAGCCCTTGCCGTGGATGAGGCGCGGACGCTCCTCCTTGATGATGCGTTTGAGGACGAAGTTGAGGGCCTCGCAGGCGAGCTGGCCGGCAAAGGCGAGGCATATCTCGGCCTCGCGCGTTGAGAATATTAGGGTGGCGTAGACGACGCAGAGAGCTTGCGGGAGGAGGGCGAGGTAGGCGCATAGAAGGGAGATGTAATCGTCGGGGTCCTGGGAAGAAGAAGTAGGAATGAATTAGCGGGAGAGAAGCAGATGGAGGGCTGGAGTAGTAATCGGTGGAAACTTACATAGTAGACGTGTGTGACGGAGAGGGAGGCGAGAGTTGGGGTATATTCGTCGGCCATTGTTGCTGATTTTGGCTGTAGATGGCTGTATTCAAACAAAGTTGCAAAACGCAAGTAGATGCATGATATCAGTCGTGGAGATGAAGGAGTAAAGAGACAAGGCAAGAAAAGAATGCAATGGAAGAAAACAGAAGCCAGAAATAGCTCGTGAGGAGAGATTGTATGTTATTGACTGTCGGCCTTGACCATCATGTATCGTGCAGACACGCCAGATGGAAGACGAGAGTCAGGATGAATGACGATGCAAAAAGAATCAAACATGTCAAGCTGCCTGCATGTGACGGAAGGGCGGGTGCTGAGGCTGGAGAACAGAAAGAAACGTGGCTTAATTTCCAGCTGTGGCGCAGAGGCTCCAGGCGCTGGGCAGACTTTTAGTGGTGACATTAGCACGGCAAGTGACGCATACAATGGACGACTTTTAGATTACAGGCAAGACACTAATCGAGGTTTAGCTATCAATGCCAAATTCTAGGCTGTGAGAAGAACCTACATCTACTATTTTGCCCTAGGTTTTATTTCTTAAATATCGTCTCTGCCTTGTCATTTCTTTCGGATTCCCTCCATCAAACGGACGTCTCGACCAAAGCTGTTATTGGTAGCTGTGTGCGTTAGTCGCGGGTGCCTTGGATATGATTGGATTAGCAATTCTCAGCGACTAAGGCAGAACCTCACTTTTACTCACGCTTTGCCACAGCGCTCGCAGCTTTTCCCGCCAGCTCTCTGCCAGCTCAGATTTCTTCCTTCTCATCATTTATTTCTTGTCTCCTCGCCATATTGCTCTGCTCTCGCTATCCATCCCGTCCCCGCAGCTTTACTTCTCCAGCAGCCTCCCATCTCATCCCCTCTTTTCCAGTCTTAGCGGACATGCTGCAGCTGTGCAAACAACATGGATCTTTCCACAGCCGATGACGACGATGCTCGCGCCACCGAGCTGGAAGCCCTCGAGGCCATCTATCCCGAGCTCCGGCGGACAGACAACAGCTGCTTTGCCTTTGAGCTTGAGCTGCCCGTGGAACCGGCGGCGCCCGTAACCGTCACCTTTCCAGCGGCGGCTTCATCTGACCAGCTTCTCAACGGCTCAGCATCTGCCGCTCCAGCCCTGGAAGACTCCCTCCAGGTCTCTCACCTGCCCCCCCTTGCCCTGCACATTACGCTGCCAGAAGGCTATCCCGCAGAATGCGCCCCTCTGGTCAACATCTCAACCACGCCTCAGTGGCTCTCGGCTGAGATGCTTTCACGTCTTGCGGGAGAAGCACCCCGGCTGTGGGAAGAAATGGGACGAGACCTGGTGGCCTACACTTATATCGATCATGTCCAACGGGCCGCTGACGACGTATTCGGGGCCATCACTGCCGAAGGCACTCTTCAAGTCGACCCAGAGCACAAACTCGCTGTGCTGGACTATGATATCAAAGCCAAGAAGGCGGCGTTTGATAAGGAGACATTCGATTGTGGCATTTGCTTAGGTATGGAATATTTCCAACATCTTTACGCTCATGTGCTTTACACTAACCCGCTATAACGCTGCATAAGATCCCAAGAAAGGGTCAAAATGTCACAAGATGCTTGACTGCAGTCACATCTTTTGCTTGCAATGCCTCCAGGATTTCTACAATGATGCCATCAAAGAGGGCAACTTATCAACCGTTCGCTGCCTGGCTCCCAACTGCGCCAAAGAGCGTGCCGCCGCCATCAAGGCTGCAGGAAACAAGGCAGGCAAGCCCAAGACCTTTGTCAGCCCCAGCGAGTTGCTGCAGATTGGCCTCGCTGATGACATGGTCAAGCGCTATGTTGATCTCAAGTACAAGACGGAACTTGAGTCCGACAAGAACACTATATATTGCCCTCGGCAGTGGTGTAATGGAGCTGCACGCTCCAAGAAGCACAAGAAGCCTTCGGGGCTCAACTTTGGAGAAACGTCAGATGCCGAGTCTGACCAAGAGAAGGAGAATGAAAAAGGGGGAAGCAAGTTCAATCTTGGCGACTTGCTCTCTGTCTGTGAAGACTGTGGGTTTGCTTTTTGCAGTCGGTGCTATCAGTCATGGCATGGAGAATTCTTCCACTGCGCACCCAGGCGCCAAAACGGCGAGCTCACCGAGGATGAAAAGGCCTCCATCGAGTATCTCAAGCTGCATACGAGTCCCTGCCCAACCTGCAACGCCCCTGCGCAAAAGACTCACGGCTGTAACCACATGATATGCTCACGGTGTGACACGCACTTCTGCTATCTGTGCTCTTCGTGGCTGGATCCTGCCAACCCGTACCGACATTACAACCAACAAGAGAACGGCAAGGTCACATCATGCTATATGCGTCTGTGGGAGCTGGAAGGAGGAGACGGCGATGACGTCGGCCTGGAATTCGCTGGCGGTCGAGGCGCCGCACTCCACGAAGACGCCCATGAAGCTGCACCAGAAGATGAAGAAGCTCAGGAGTGGCTTGCCATAGCCGTCGAAGGGGTGGACGACAATGTTGAAAACAATGCCAATGCCAACGCAGCAGTACAGCTCGACGAGAATGGCCAGAGAGTTGCGGTAGCTCGCGAAGCGCCCCTTGTTCTACGACTCATGGACAACCCCGTCAATAATGGCCACAATAACGATGATAACAACCAGGGGCGTGGCGGGCATCATGCTGCAAACAATCTGCCCATCAGAGCACCTGGTGGTGGAGGGGCCGGCAGAGGACGTGCTCATAATGCACATGGCCAACATCGCGGTGCAGGCCAAGCTGTCAACTACAATGGCAGAGGCAATGCCGCCAATCGCGCCAGGGGCGCCAGAGGCGATGCCCGTCGAGGCCATGATGGTGGGCGAGGAGGAGCTCGACGACGAGAAGGCGGAGGCCCAGGTCGAGGCGGCATGGTTCGTGGCGAACCTGCAGCAGCAGCGGCAGCAGCGGTAGCAAGACAGCAGAACCCAAATCCCGAGAACAACGACGACGGCGTGCTCGATCCTGCTCAAGAGGCGTGGATCCGACACTTTGTTCAGATGGCTCTCATCGATGCTGAAGACCAAGTAGAAGGCGGCGATTCAGACGAGGATAACGAGCATTGGCGTGGTCGGTGACAGTTGCGGCGACGACACAAAAAGCATGGCTTCTCCAAAGGAAGCTCTACGAACGACATACTTGTAAAAGGCATAACCTCTTGAAAAGGAAATTCTACGAATATACATGTCCAAATTCCAACGTTTTGATATTTCTCCTTGGGCCATTCAAAATCTACACTTGTTTATTTGCTCTAGGCCAGTGATTCCATCTGTACGCATCTACAGAGCGATCTAAGCAACACAATTCCCGGGATTATGAAAAATTTGTGCCAACAGGAATACCATTTTCAGCTGAAATCTCTCATCTTTGCTTCGGCGATGTAGTCGGGAATTTGCATCATTGCGTGGAGACACTGCATGTGTTTTGTCCGGCCAAATTCAAATTCTGTCCTTAGTATTTAGCTTGAATAGAACGTTACATACCCGTACCTGGGTAGACGAGGGCGTATAATATTGATCAGTTTATTCTTAGTGCTTGGACGCTTCTTTAGCGAGCGGACGACGCCGCTATGCGATCTGGCTTTTTAGTGCTGTCAGTGCGTATGGGTGCTAACTTACAACCCGCAAAAGCACTAATTTCAACTTGACCAGAAAGGAAGCCTGCGACTCTCGGGGAGAGATGCAGAGCAAAGCAGATGCCACTACCGGGCCCGAGCACGCCTGTAGTCACTTTGACGAATATGTCGATCCCCGCCTATCGTGTTGAAAACAGAAGGTTGATGATCATGTCATCCGGCACCCAATCTCCAGGCCCAGGCACGCACGACCAAGGGCCAGGGACCGCTTCTAGCCAGTAGAAGCCCCCGTCTCGGCCGCCTGACGAGAGCATTCTCCGTGGACTTGTATATGGAGCCCTCTGGATCGCCGTGTCTCTACTTGTAGCATCGATGGAGCTGAGCCGGAACGTAGCCACCACATACCTGCTCGTACATACTGCCGCATTGGGCCAATGGTCATGGCGGAGAATCCCTTTCGGGCCGGCCGCCTCACCTGGCCGTCGACTCAGGGCTCTCGTCCGTCGCCTCTTCGCTGCTGAGAGCTCTCTGGTAAGACATGCTTGTACACGCTTGTACATGCTGCAGTGACTAACGGGTCCCCTGGTCTCCGAGCCCACGCGGCGAACGGAGCAACAAATCGTGCAGATTTTTTGGGGGCCAGGGGTTGAACAGCATGGGTCTTTCTATAAGGAAAGAAAAGAAACGAAAAGAAAAGAAAGCAAAAGGCTGTTAGACGAAGAGGAGGGCACTGTAAGACAATCTAGCCAAAGAAGAGCAAGTTTCGACACTGCCAAGCATCGGAACTTGCACCGCAGGATTCACCAGCACTTGCTTGTATAAAGAGTAGCATACTTTTATAGTACCTATATATCAGTATAGGCGGCATGTAGACGAGCAGTAACGGCTAAATCAAGATTATGCCGCTCATATAATTCAACGTACCAGCCTATCAGAGCCCAGGCAGAGAGGCAACAGAGTTTGTTGAGGCTAAAGGCCAAGTAAGGAAATGTTAAGCTTGAAGAGTATATGTTGCTTAGTCCGTTAAGCATAAAAGGTCGGGTTTCTTGCGAAATGCCTTCATCTGCGAGCAACAAGTCGCGTTGGTCTGGGCTCCCCTCCTCATCTTCAACTGAGACATGCAGCATAAATGGCTTGGCCATACAGCCGTGCCTCTTCCCTTCAGCAGCAGCCAAGCGGTCCTGTCTCACTATTGTGGTCCGGCTTTGCTGGACTCGGTCTGAAATCAAGGCGGCCGACATTTATTCACTCGCTAGCCGAATGCTCGTTTCCTTTCATAGGTAGGTAAGTAGGTGGTAGCAGCCATAAACAGTCTCGAACAAAAGTGCACTGAACTCTGTCGTCCAAGCTTCTCAGCCGACCTCATCACACCTGTGAGTGATGAAGATCCACCTCACGTAGAATAATAGCGCCCCGCGAGAGTAGAAACATCAATTACTGCTATACCGTTATTAGTGCCCAGGCTAGTGTCAGTACTGTACGAGCGATACTACCCCCTCGTGCAGAGTAGCAGTGCATGGGCAGGCGACTTTGTATGAGGAGCAGTAGGTAGCAGTAGTAGTACTACTAATATGTAGGTACTGGTACTACATTTTGAATACGTCCGATCGGCTACTTCGGGACGGTACAAGAGCCCGTCTCATATTGACAACATGAAAACAGGTAGTATTATATTCCTTAGCAATGAGCCGGAACCTACCCCTAGCGCAGGATCGATGGTACTTTGAGGAGTCGACGGCACTCGCCAAGAGTAGCGGAATGCCGCGTATGAGTGCTCTACTACGAGCAGAGCAACCGGTACTTGCTGATGATGCCAAGTTGACACCTGATGAGGATTTGATAACGTGATGAGTGTGTGTGCATACATACATGCATCCGTAGTGGCATCATCCGCTAGGAATAAATGATAACCATGGCTTATTTCATAATGATGCGTATGCAAGAGAGATCTGACAATAGAGTGCCACTAACATCTCAGATCAACTCGTGGAATTCCGAAAGCTTGATACTACAGCGTGTATGCTCCCTCTGCTGGACATCAGTCACAGGGCCATGCGACTACTTCTTGCCTTACCCTAGCCGTGCTGTGGCAGACGTCTAGTCAAGTTGCAGAGATACGACACCAGGTTGAAGAAGATGCCAAGGGTGACGCCAGATATACGACTCAAAGCAGCAGCAGATCCGGCTCGTGTCGCGAGATGAGACTACAGTGGCTGATACTATATTTTGCTGCTTTCTTTGCCGCATGAAGATGGGGTTAATGATCTGCTCCGTAATACTACCACTTTGAGCAGTGTAAAACAGCCACTCGTACGAGTATAGTACTTTCGGACGGTGTAGTCTCAAGACAGGGCGGATGAGGTATTATTCAACAGTGGGTGACATCCCGCTAGCCGTATCTCTGGTCGCTTAACTGGGGTATACTGCTTCGGTTAGAATCAGCGTCTCTGTTAATTCCTGCCGTTGCTAGATGGTGCGGGTTGATAGACGCCCTGCGCTTATTTCATCGTATAACATGCTGAGATCACTGAACAATTGCTGTTAGTTCGGAGGCTTTGCGGCATTGCGCGTATCGGGTGCGTGCTTAGCGACGTGCCTACCCCTTCCTAGAGCACCCAGATATGTATTTTGATGAAGGACGGCAAGGACTCCAGTATTCGCGCATATCATCAAGCCAGACGCACGTATAAAGCGTGGCCAAAACTGAATCGTCGGCTTTTGAGATTTAAGCACATAACACCGCGGACCTTTGTTCGGACTTTTTGATCATCAGCCGCTGTGTGATAACGCCGCTCCCTGGATATACTTTCTCTATGTGTGTCTTTCTCTCTCTCTCGTTCTTTGTCTTCTTCTGGTTCGGTCGAGCGCCGCCCATGTAGTAACAGCCGACAATACTTGCAAGTAAGAAGCGGCTGGCATAGCATGCCCCTGCTAGGCATAATTCGTGAATTGATCTGGCCAATCTGCTCCATGGCAAGCTATGCGGCCGCGGCACAGGTGCTTGTATCCGCGCCCACAGCTCTGTTAATGCGGCGGATGCTCGCTCCACACAAGCTAAAACGAGTAGCATATCCACTTGCCACTGTCACAAGGATTACTTCGTGGTCGTACAGACTACCTGTACCTCGTGGTACCGCACCCTGTAGTCTCTTCTCTTGGCAGGGCATGTACTTGCGAGCTGTCCATGCACTACAGAGCCTTGTAGTACTTGTAGCAAAGCGACAACCTCTATCGCGGGGTTTCTGCGGGCCAAACCACAACGGCGCCTGTTCCCTACGGGGTAAGGTGGAAAAGCAGGGGCACCGCTGCTGCCGGACCAGGAGTTTAGGCGCGTTCTGGCCAACGCCGGCTGTAAGGGCTCGGCCGCCGGTACAATGGCCAATAGAGGTCTTTTCGCAAGCGAGACTGGCAATCCGTCTGTCGAGAACTGGTCGCGGCACCGTGATCGACGCCCAGCAGCATTCCAGGTAGGTGGTCTGTTGATTCGACCACAAGCGGGGAAGGCGACTCTCTGTTCATGACCCTGGCACCAGGCATATGAAGAGGCAGGCTGATAGTAAAACGCATAGGGAGGAATGCAGTATACCTAGACCCCTCTTGTAGTTACAAATTCATCTCGCGATCGCAAAGGCCATTTCTTTATAAATAACCCTAGGGGCCCCGTTGTTCAAGGGTTGTGAATGCTTTGCAGACCAGGGATCTGCATCTTACTACCAAAGCGTCGTAGATCATCACGCCTGGGGATGGCACCCTGTACTACTAGTACCGAAGTAAGTATGTGGCAGTAGGCAATTGCTGCCGAATGCGACATGACAAGACGACTAAGAGGTCTTTTCCTAAGGATCTTTTGATTTGAAAATCGAAGCGAACTGCGAAGTCGTTGCCTTGGATATCACGGAAATAGAGGCAGCACTGAGCTTGATGCCTTGATTGCGAAGGAACGGATTACAGCGAGTTGGACCGCATGTGTGCTCCAAATCCCCCAAATAGCTCCGAGATGCCGACGGAGCGTGTAGGTAGATATTATACAAGTACGTCTGTATGAATATGGAGCACCATTCTTGCGTAAGATAGTAGTATACTACCTGGTCGTATGGGTAATAGGCAGTAGTAGATAGATCCGATACGGAGCACCTGCGTCCTGCGGTGATAATTTGCATACAGTGGCCTCCCAGTCTGCATTCAAAGAAGGCCGGTTAAGCTGACACTCCAATTATAGGGCTTTGCAAACGAGTAGTAGTGAGTAAATTGGACGTATGTGCTTGTGTTTTCAGGAGGAGAAAGAGCGCCCCCAGTCTTTGAATTGTTGCTGGTGATGGAGAAAACACTTGGATGTGTCATTTGACAAATGAGATTGCATGAATGCCTCGGATGATTGTTTGTGATCTCATAGATTCCTAGCGGTGGGTGGTGAAGCTTGTACTCGTATGTAGTGGCTCGCCGTAATGAGTGGCGATGGGTGATGGGCTCGGCCCTCCCTGCGAGTGCCGATACAGCTCTGTGACGTCGCTAAAATGAGTTCGGGCAAAAGCCGAGGGGCTAGCCATAGCATGTGTGTATGCATGTTTGTGTGAAGCTCGGGGAGTCAGCGCCGAGTGCCCTGGATAACGACTTTTAGACTGTACTTGTGCGTGCTTTGCTCATAAAACATCCGTCTTTTTGGCCTTGAAATAGTAGTAGTGCACTCAGCACCGTGGACACGGGACGCAAGGTAGAGCGGTGGTGAGGCGCGCTGGACAGATGCTAGTACATGGTGAGGGCATTGTCTAGACTCTCGAAGACGCGGATAAGAGGATCCTGAAGAAGCCAGGGGGCGAACGAAGCTCTGTCTAGGATGGTTTGGCACAGCCGACACCAAGTACAAGTACAAGTAGTTACGCACGCAGCAATGGTAGCTTGTAGTACGAGTAAAGTACTCGGCGGAAGCATCGAGTAAAGTAGCTGCCCTGGCCCCTCGTCATGACCTTCCGCCATGAATATCTCCCGCGCTTGTAGATTGCCTGTGCCCCGTTCGTGCTTGAACGATATTGTATGTACTTGTACTGCTGTAGGAGTACGAGTACCTAGGTACTGTACAGTACTAGCAGAGGCCACAGCAAGTGGCATGCTTCCGCGTGGGACGCCAAGGATGCCTGGTGATGGCAAAAGAGCATGGGAGTGGGGAGACGGGAAGTAACCCATCAGCCATCTTGCGCTGCTCGTTGACCATCACGATGAGAATCAGATGGGCGCCCTGGATAGCCAGATCTCCAAAGCGGCCCCCAAAGAGCCCCTGATGGTTACATCGCCAGCGAGAAAAAGGCCCGGCGCAGAGCGATGAAACTTGAGATGAGGACAGGACGATTGGGGCTATCACCTATACGGCGTGGCTGCTGGTGGGCGCCATCGAGGCCAAGACGGACGCTCCTCGAGTGCTTGAGCAAGCCCGAGGCGGGAGACGCAGAGTGGCTGACCTGCGCTTCTGCGCTTCTGCGGCCAGCAGCCCTGCCGTCACATGGATGGCCTGAGCGCTACTGATGCCTGTCAGTGTGCGGAGCAGCTGCACGGAGTGGGATAAGGCGTGGCGCGCATGAATGAAGGCCGGAAATACTGCCTCAGATGGGTAATTAATCGCAGGTGCAGAAGTGATGAAGACAAGTGATGAAGACGAGAAAACGTGTCCTGAGTGGAGGAGGCCTCAGCGGATTGGATTCAAGCAAGTGCTACATACCGGGCAGGTACTTGCAGTAGTGCCTGCCTGGTCGGCCCTTCATTTTTTCCAGCGCAGGCAACTTGAACCTTACAGACTCAGAGATCTCAAGCTGTCGGCTGCCGCGAGCACAGGCACCTGGTTCACTGCCGGATGTCACGTTCTGCAGATCTCATGCTCCGTGGTACCTCAACTCTTAGTACCTGTGAGCGGCATCTGGGGGAGTAAAGCTGCAATGTGCCTGCGTACCTGCCATCTTAGGTAATATCGTTTGATGTCTCCAGCCATTGCGGGCTGCCAAGAGCTGATTGGCTGCACTACCTGTAAAGGTAATTTGAAGGAATTTAGCCCATGAAAAGAGCCCACTAGCACTCCGTACCTGTCTAGAAAGCAATGGCCGCTTTTGCTAGTGCGACTTTAATCTTGCCCGCACCTACAGTAAAGAAGCCATGGCTGTCGGTGAGGCAATCACTCTGTAAAATGACATACATATAAGAGTTGCGGAACTAGGTTGGCGATATGAGGAGTGCTAAGCTATCATCTGCCAAGGGAAACTGATGATATGGGCGACCAGATCACTTGTGGTGAACAGTACATATTTGGTACCTACGTGTGTTCATTAGCAGATGCTGAAAGGGGCAGGTAGGGGAAGAAAGAATGCTGAAGACATTGAAGCTTAAAAAAGCTCGATACTATGGGTCTTTGGAGGTTCTCACTAGGAAAATAAAGAGGTCCTAGCTGCTAGCCTGCTAGTGCTAGGAATAAGCAGGGCAGAGCAGGGCAGGATACAGTAGTTGAATCGGACGGCAACATCAATGTGACCGTGTATGACTTTATTTCCGCAGCGCAAGCCGAGGTAGCACAGGTATGCATACAATTCCGCTCGGCAGTTGACAAACAATGTATCTCCCCTGCTAGAAATGGCGCGTCCACAGTGGATCTCAACGGCGAGCCTGCCGGATGTTACTGTAGCGTGTGGTAATCGATAAAGTTTTCACTGGTGCCTGCAAGGAGGTCATGCCTGTGCAAGTTGGAAGATGGTCGAACTGCGAACTGAGAGCATTGCTTGAGACTCGGCGGCAGTTGTTATTGTTGCTGTTGCAGATTCTGACCTGCGTTACGGGAAAGCCAACAGCGCAGGGGGAATGGCCTTTGTCGT